GCGACAATGTAACGGCAAACACAATTCTACAAGCTAGCGACAAGGTACACTGAGTTCGACAAAGCTTACGGCAAGACTCAACCTAACTATAAAGCCACCCCTTATATACCCTAAGAATAATTCAATTTACAGAAGCTGATGCAATTGCAGCGCAATGATGCAATTGTAATGTGATGTCCTGCAATGAATGGGAACCCTGTGTTCTAACAATATTAGCCATTTCAACTGCCCAAAATTATTTCCTCCTTGATGCAAAATTTTCAATCTTTTGCAAATTCTAGTTACAAGATATTTTTATGCCAATTTTAAGGAGATGAGTGACACGTACGACAAGTTTGGACTTATGGAACCTACTTATGCGCTTGGATAAAGGTAAAATCGCACCTAGTAAACTAGGCCTAACAGTTTTTCAAAATAAGGTGACTCGGTCTCAGGATTATATCCGTCAGGAGGCCAAGAGGTTGACCAAGATCTACTAAGGCGGTATTGTTTAATATAGGATTATTGCCCGAGTAACGTCATCCTTCCCCTCGAAATTAAATAATTTGTCTACATAAAAGTTAAAGCAACGTTGCCTGTAGACAGATAAAGTGTGTTTTCATGGGACACAGTGTTATTGTGGGCCAAAAAATAGGCATTAGCGCTGATTGGTTGCCTGAAATAATCCTATACAACAAAAGTGGTGTATCTGGGTCATAATACTGGGATCTCAACACATAAAGGGTGGATATTGCGCTATGTTTGGGCGGCACGCCTCAAGCCATTCCCTGGCTAGAGCCAACCCCTCCCCAACCCCCGGGCTCATTACAGGATCACGCCGAAACAAGATTCAATGAAATTAGTTCTATCATTTTTGGACCGGTTCCTAAATTCAATACAGTCAATTTTGAATTTTAACCACATAACATAAAAGATCACCATAAAAAAATTAGGTATGCAAAATTAGTCTAATATGTCCAAAATCAGTTGAGATATTGCCAATGAAAGATTTGAAGTTTGCTAACGAATCACTGTTATTTTGGCTCTGTTCATAAAGTTATGAACAGAGACCAAAATACAGAGGTTTGATGGGGGAAAGAGCTAATACACATGTGGGCATAACTCAGCCAATTCGTAACACGTTTGACTGATTGTGCATATTTAGAGGTATTTCATGATGCTCTTTCAGGCTATGGGAGTCTATATGGCTATGGCTATAGATCTGTGTGACGTCATCACTTTAGAACTCTATTATGAGGCATCTAAAGAACATATCATATAAATTCTTGATCATGAAGCCTATGATGAAACATCACTTTATCTTAGGAACATTGGCGTTTCCAGCAATAAAGACGGCATTGCCTCTAAAAAAATATCTGGACAAGCCTCCTGATTCTCTGTCAATTCCACAAATTTCCGGCTGGCGCTGCTCCTGTGGAGGAGAGAAATAAATAAATCACGGTTTAATAATAAAACATGAACATAAGAATAGCAACAGAAAGAATATCAATAAAGATTCAGGAATATTGGAAGTTTTGGGCAATTTTTTGTAAAGTTTGACAACAAAATATTCGGGAATATAGTGCTTTTGATAAAAACGTCTCCAGACTTATAAAAATTTTCATCTGGGCTGGTCAAACGAGTTTCAATAGAAATTTTAGTGGATAGCTCGACAGTTTTTTAGTGTGAAAGAACATTATGTTTTGCGCTTATTTAAAACTCCCTCCAGAGAATAGAAAAAAGAACACTGCAAAAACTTTTTCAATTCTGTGCTCCCTCTACCACAAAATATTCGTAACGGGCAACGAAGAACAGAACGTGTTGGTAACTAGATACCAAATGTGTTAATGTGAAATTGATCTTCTACAAGGTCAAGGTGATCTTTCTCAACAGACCCCTGGTCTGTTATTCTACCTTAAAGAGGGTAAGATCTTGTTATTTTATGCACCGCTCGATGGGAGTCAGGGGGGCCGTCCAAACAAGTTAGGAAAGGGGATGTAAGAAGCCACACCCAAAACCACACTCATGATCACACTCTATTTGCTTGTTTTCGTGTTTAAAATTCTCACTTGTGTATACGAAACCTTTTAAACTATCCACCGAATCCTAGAGGCTAACAGAAACTATTCATTCATGGAAAGTCAATAGCAATATATAGGGATGATTCACATTGCCAAGTAAGGAATTCGCCCAACCAAACGTACACTGGATTATTGAGGGGGGCTGAGCCCCCCAAATCCCTTTCAACTTTAATAAGGGGGCTGAACCCCCGGAGCCCCTCAACGACACCACTGATGGGACCTTCTTGTAGACTGTAAATAATGGCCACGTTGTCACCGATCGGCTACTTCTATCTGGGCAGCCGAGAGGTTTTGGCAGCCCTGCGGCAAACTCATAAGAAATCTTTTGCGACCACGTCCTTTAGATCAGCTTAAATTAATTCATTCGTTTAACATTCTTTATTACTTTGTTATTCTAAGACAATTCCATTTTGAGGCCTCTAGACCTAGAGGCCTTGGGGTAACCCCCCTTTCCCTCCCTATAGGTGGCCCTGAGTTTATTTTGTAAATCAATTTACTTATGGTCGATGTCCCATTGATATTCATACAGTCTGATAAGGATGGTGTTATATTTTTTTTCTAAAAATTGAATCATAAAAGGCAAATTTTATTTTATTTGACACCTCCCCTGGCAAAAATTTGAATTGATTTTAAAGATATGAAATTATACCATTTTTGCCAACATTGAACAAATATTAATACTCAAAAGTGCATAAAAACCAAAATTGTGTCGTTTGGTAACATCAACTTTTTCTTCCTTACTTGGTCCTTGTTTGGCAAGTTCTTCGCCACTGACTGACGTACATTACATTTACATTTTTATTTATTTAGGCGCGGTAGCCCCGTCATTCCATAAGAACTGCTTTTCAGCAGGCCGTGACAAAAACATTAATAAGTAAGAAGATAGATACTGCGAAATAGGAATGGCCGTCCATAGTTAGTTTCTGATTTCAAAGCTTTGAAACTCCGTCAACCGAAGCTTCTATAACTAAAGCTGCCTCCTCCTAGTTAACGAGAAAAATTCACATTTTTACATTTAGCTATTGAGTTTGCCCCCCATCTTAATGTCTATCTTTAGGGTCCCAGATGCATCTGTTACAACAATGCTGATAACAGCATCTAAAAGTTAAATATCCAGTCTATAATTTTTTGTGCATATGTCAAAGACATTTTTATTGTTTTGATTATTCTATCATTTTCTTTTAATACGATTTGTTAAAAAACACTTTACGATTAGGCCGCTCGTTGGATTCTCAGAGCAAAAGCACAAAGCAATCCAATGCAATAAGAAATGGTATTTTGGTACAAAATATCAAACTGAAATAAACAATTGAATAAACGAATATTTCATCCCAGCAAACAGGCCTGTATCAGAACAAATGACAAATAGATGTATGATAAATATAGACAAGGCCAAGGTAAAATAAAGAGCAAGACAAACATTATTCTTTGTTTCATCTTGATAAGGCAGTATATAGATTTTACTCAAAGCTTCAAATGCCACTTTAAAAAAAACACATCTTTAATTCAATCTGTTTTAAGATAATCTGTCAATATTTTGTTTAAAGAATATTTGAAAAATCAATTTTATTCTCAAAATGCTAGTTATAGCTTTCCGACATCGTAATAACCCTGTTTTTGGTAACTGGGACGCTTTTAATCGTTCATTAATTCATTCGTTAATTCACAAATTTCCTTAATAATGGTTAGTTTTTTCTATTCATCGTGAGTTCTTTGTTAACTTGAACCTCAGTTTAGTGGGGTACTTCACTACTTCATATGATGAAGGGCGATGGGGCTCATGAGACATGCCCATTAGAAAATTATACTTAAAATACAAGATCAGAAATTTCATAAAAGTTTGGAGGAAAATAAAAATTTGATGTTACGTTTGCTTTGGTTTTTTATTTTCCTTGATTTGGCTTAAAATCTCTGAATTTTCTCCTGGAGCAAAGAAGACAATGCATAGATTAAAAACTGATTTAAATCTACGGACGCTAAATGAATGAATGTAGTGGTTCTGCTTTAACTGCTATCTGCATAAATTAAATAAACCTTTATTATATTTATGATAAATTGCCAAATATAGATTATCAAAACCAAAAACTGAAAACGCTTCTAAAGAATGCTGAAAAATGTCATGCAGTCAGTGGCGTAGATAGAGGGGGTCAGAGAAGCGAAAGACCCCCCTGTAAAGCTAAACTGCCATTTTGTCGGAAAACATCTGATCATGTCGGAATTATAACATGATTTCCAATTTTTATCTAAATGTTAAATTTTGAAAGGAAAGATTTTAATCCTCCGTAACAGACGAAGATATGAAAATAGATACAAAATTCCTTCATTCAAAGATGGGGTGGATGGAAATGATTCTCTTCTATGATGAGGCACCTATTGGATATTTTATTGGCATATATGATTAAGAGCGTCGTTATTCGTTATATATAATCTCTTATATTGCATCATTTTCTCGTATTAGGTTTTTTGGGGCTAAAAAAAGAAGCTCTTTACATCTGGCAAATAAGGGACCTTTAAGAAACTTTTACTCCTAAAATTAGAACAAAAAAAGTCAATAAACTGTGTACTTATCTCGACATTAGTTTTCTTACAAAAAATGTGTATACTCTGAAAATGAGTGTATCTAGAGATAATGGAAGTGTGACACTTCCATTATCTTTAATGTATTCACAACGTTTCTAAAATAAAAGAGCCAGGAGAAATACTGGAATAGTTGGCTAGAAAAATCCCCGCTGCCCTAGAACATTTCGAATTTTCCCATGAAACCAAGCCGGTTTGCCGCCGAAATTCAAATTTTTTTCTTAATTAAAAACCAGACGTACCACTCCAAGCCCGAACTGATGAACAGTGAAACCGGAAAAGTGATTCTTTCTTCGCTGCATCCGCCAATTCGCCTTGTCACTCATTCACAGCTTGATACTACTTATGCCGAAACCACATTTATGGAAGACCATTGCGAAGCTGATCCTTAGCAAAGCATCTTGTTCGTTGTACCCTTCGAGCAGGGTTTGCGGAGCGTTCAACCTTGCCATAACGAGCTGGCCTGCTAGCTTGCGAGAGAAAGCTCGCGGGTTTCAGCCAGCCCGCCAAGATGTGGGTGAGCTCCAAAAATCTACTGGCGTTCGTGCTCTTGATAGGTGTATTCGTTTGCGTCACCTCAGGTAAGAAATTTACTAGTTTTGAGTGGGTTCGTAAAATAAAGCCTCTAATTACATATCCAATACATTTTAACATCATCAGTTGTCTTAACCATGTCTTAAAAGTTTAGAATTGTGTCAGTTGTGCTCAAATGTTTGCTTTTGCTTGTGAAAAGACGCAAAGTCTTCTCGCGAGTTTTGGAATTCTTACCCTCGGGGCAAACTTTTTCTTCAAGCTTGAGAAACGTTATAGTTCCAATAACTTTCACATAAAGAGTCCTAGCAGAAGTTGTATCTGTGTACCAAGAAAGTCATGAAGGAAAAAAAGAATGTTTGCAGCCGGTAGGGCCAATATCAGTCGCGAGCAGCAGTCGCGAGAAATTAGACCCCTTTTAAAACTCTAGGTTTGTCACGCTTCTATATTTAGATGATTAAAATTTTTATTCCTTACGCAAAGGGAATCTTAAACTACGTTCCCAAGCCGTTTTGCGTGATTTTAAGGCATGAAAAGATGGGTAACCCAACTGATTGTATAAGCAAATTTCTCAGCGTCAACCCGAAGGACCTCGGGGCATTACCAAAGAACTTTGCTTGCGGTCCTCGCAAATAATTTCGCTCAACTGGTGCACGTAAAGTTTTAAAGTTGTACATATTTCGAAAGATTTAAACAATTGCAAATTTTCTTGTCTACGTACAAAATCATGGTAGATAGTGTCAATGTTGTTTCCCTGCAAAAAGTAAATATCATGCGAATTGTTGTGGAGTCTAACCTAAATCATTAATGTATCAGTTTCTCCCTTTGCCCTGAATCCGTGGAATGCTCCTCGACTGGGTGGAGCAAAAGCCTCATTGCCGAAGGCTACTTGCCGGAAGCCATTCTCGTCCACAGACTCGTCTGCATTTGATCATGCGTGTTCTATCAACTCTCCAATGTTTAAGTTCCAGAATTGGTCCAGGTAGGAAAAGAAATTATAACAAATTTTAAAAATACCTTCGCCATAATGGAAGTTACATGCAATTATGTGACGATACACTTCCTATAGGAAGTGCAGTAACAATAGCTTAGCTACACCCTGTATGGAACGAATGGTTTGCGGTTAGCAATTCCAGTGGCCGATTGTTGTCAGACATTGTTTTCCTTTGGTTCAGTGCGCAGCCTGCCTTGAGGAGATTGGGAGATTCCCGTTCTTGTAAATTGTGTTTGAATGCCTTAGGATCGCCTAAAGCCACTGGACAACACTTTGAATTACTAAGCATTTAGTAAGCAGCGAAGACAGGACATCCTTTTCAATCAATTCATTGGATTGAAATGTGTTTTTACTTTCGGTCATACATTTAAATGTATTATTGTTGCAACTACCTTTGTAAATATGTTATTCTGTAGCTTGTACATGACAGTGTGTGGAATAGCGTGGGATAAAACCTTACCGAAGTTGATGTGTCTTTTTGTGGCATAATCAGCATTTCCTTTCTGTGGGTACCAGATTCAAAATGAGACCACTGACTCAAAATGAGGCAGAAGATCTGAGTAACAAATCGCGATTTGGGAATTAGCATCTTGGTTAAATTCTTCATACTTCATAGGGCTTCAAAGAATTTTTGTAAAGGAAAAATGCATTAATAAAAACCACTGAATCCAAATGACCTATAGTAAAGACAATTACATGAGAAAAAGACATATTGCTGCATGCAAAGTTTATCAACTGTTGATGAGGCTGGCATTCCAAAGTGTGGAGAGCAGCAATTTACAACATTGCTAAACATTACAACCAAGGAGTAAAACTGGTGTGCTAACATTTAACTATTATAACAGGAATGGTAATACATACTGCTTTATCAAATGGGGGTGTATGCATGGCCAAAAACCGTCTGTTTGCAAGAAAGTTTTCATTCTGTTGTGATTGCAAGTGCATGTTAAATTTATTGCCCAAAATGTCTAGTCTGTTCCTAAAGCCAGCTCTTCTTAAAGCTAAAACATTAGGAACTTTTTTTGAATTTAAAAATGTGACAGTGTCCAGCTTTTTCCAATCATACTTATTAGTATTTAGCAAAAATTTCTTTTGTTATTAGTATTATAACATATTTATTAGCTTATTTTAATCTTTTAAACAGGTCAGGTTGAAAAACATATATGTATGAACCTTTAACCTGTATAAATATTATAAAATGAAATGAAATGAAAACTTCAGAAACAACAGCAGAACAGTACAGGTTTTATATTGTCTGCTTGCATAGATTATTGAATTGCTTGATAAAGTCAACTCTTCTTATAATCACTGCGGTTGAAGTCACACTGCTGGTTACAGGCACAAAGAATTTAGACCCAATATGCTTACAGTTACACTCTATTAACAGTTATAAGTTTTCAAGCAACATTTGGTGTGACTATGACCAAAATATACTGTACATACATTTAAAGCAGAAGTATCTTAATGGTTACATCCACACAGTGGTTGGAGGTGGCCTCCGCCAACACCTGGACAGTGGTGTTGCCACAGGGTGGACTAGGGTGATCAGATTGATTTTGATTTTTGCATTTGCAAAAAAGCCACCATTACAGAAAAAGCTGCTTGAGATAGTTGCTTGCCCAAAAATAGAAAAAAGAGAAATTACAATCGGAAATTATGAAATAGATAAAAAATGTTAAAAAAGACCCTTCCAAGAGTCTGAAAGGCGTGGCAGAAAAAATTAGTTTCGTTGACCCAAATTTTTTTGAGCTGGCGATGCCACTACACTCTAGCATAGACTCAGTCAAGAGCACTTTGTTATTCTCATTTTTTTGTTAATATAAAGTTTTCACACTGACACAGCATAACCTGCTTGCATAATTGTTCATTCGATGCAACATTTTCTGAATAAATCAAAGCTAGATTTACTTTTAGTGATTTAGTGAATAATTTAAAATGGGCCAATTTAGTAAGAAACCTTTAGGAGTTGTGTATTGAAAATTTAATGAACAATGCATAATTTTTTTTTGAAGCACAAAATATAGACCTGAACGTGGAAGAAAAGGTTGGCAAATGTCCAGATGTAGATGAAGAAAGAGAATGTCCACCAAGAGGAGATGGTTCTCTTAGCGGAGATTGCTTATTCGACCGTGACTGTAATGGAACAAGTAAATGTTGCAGACTAGCCTGTGAAAGTAAGTGTGTTGAACCTATTGCCGTCAAAACCGTAAAACCAGTGGTTGTTGTTGGTGACAAAGGAGATCCTGGTGACAAAGGAGATCCAGTGAGTAACTTTTTTGATCAGTATATATTTTTTTAAGAGAAGGGGAAATATATTTACCCTCTTATTCCTTTTCATTTATTTCCAATCTGCCAAACATCTATTGGATGGATAAACCTCATTTCAGTTCAATTTTAAATGTTGATATAGGTCTGATATAAAACAACGTTAAAGACATGAAGAGATCATGCAGCTTTCAGCTTTTTGCATCCTTTCAAACCAAAATTGTAGTGCAGTTCCAGAAAAGTTAAGAAACAAAGATTCACTTCCAGCAGTTTTGACCAAATATGAAATTAAATGTAAAATTGCTTTTTCTTTCCTGATGCTCTTTTCCTTGTTTATTTCTTTAAATCCTTTACCTTCTTATGCTGCTCCCTTCTCCAATTCTTTGAAGTAAACAGCTATTGTGAAGTAGCTATTTACTCTGCTGCATGGCTGTGGTGCATGCCTTAACTGTCTCATGTTTTTGTCTTCGTGTTATGAATTAATTTTATTTTTTATTTCAAGGGCCCACCAGGTCCAAAAGGCCCAACTGGTGATGCAGGAGATGCAGGACCAAGGGTTTGTTTCTTCTAGTGCTGTTCACAAATACCTTTTAGTTGTGTTTTTGAATTGCCTTTGTTCATTTTGCAACTGAAGAGAGCTTTTGGTTTCTATCAGTTTGCTCAAACATTACAGATTGTGGGAGTTAGGCCATGGGTACCTAGAAATACTGCAATTGGAGCAGTCAGGACAATATAGCTGGTCCTCTAAGTTCCTAAATTCATGTCCAAAATTTAAGAAAAATTAAAGGGGTAAACATTGCTATGTTCTAGCTTATCAATATGTTAAGAAACGATAGAGGAACAATTCTTAAGAAAATGTTTTCTTTGGATACCCTGTGATGAAGTTTTAATGTTAGCAGTTTTAATATGCAGATAGTTAGCTTCTGCCCCCAAATTTGTTCTGTTGTTTCAGAAAAAAAAGGGTAGCAGATATTTTTAAGGTGTTTCTGTTTGCAAATTTTTACAAATTTACCTTCCTTTTTGTGAATGTTTTCTGTGTCTATATCTATATATATTATAAAATATAATATATTAGATGTTTTACCTATTTTGACAATGTGTTTGTTTAGGTATATTTGTAATTTAATGACACTTTATCTTTTAAGGGTATCAAAGGTAGTGCTGGAAGAGATGGCAGCCCAGGAAAAAATGGCCGACCTGGTCCTCCTGGGCCACCAGGAGGGTTGGAAGGTGATGAAGAGGAAGGGCTTGTCCCAGGGCCTTTAGGCTCTTTGACAAATGTAATTTTTGTCTTTTTTAGTCCTTATCAACCCTGGACATTTAATTTAAGCAATGCTCCCAAGAAGTTATTGGGTATTATTTTTTAGGGTTAAAGAATTATTTTAACATGAGTTAACTTCAACTTTTCTCTTAGCTATTTGGCCACTATGATAGTTTGACAATTGTTTATCTTGATGCTAGAAAGCCTTATGGTGCCCTATATTGGTTTTTATAAAACATTTTTAGGGTTGCCAGGGTGTTTATGATCCACAAAGGGCTCTGGTTAGGAAGGATGTAACAGAATTTGCAATTGTCTTTCTCTGGGTGCCACAGCTTTTGTATAGGTCATCTATTGAAACTGTGGGAAGACACAGGTACATTCAGTACAGGGCTGTCAGAAAGCCTGCCAACATCTTCACTGTCAGTTATCCTAAGCATCTTTTTTCCAACAGCCCTGAACTTTTTCTGATAAACTTCCAGCCATTGAATTCCATCAAATGGATTGTTTATTTTTTAGTTTTTTTTATCACTCCATATAGATTATGTGAAAAGATACAACTAAAATATGTTGAGAAATAATTACATCTATATAGTTTACATAATTCTTTCATTATTTAGTCCAAAGGCCCTGGTCCTGGTGATCTACCACTTGAGACAGGAAGTATTGGAGAGGCAAAACAGCCAACTCTTGGCCCTGCTGTGAGTTTATATTGAATATCCTGTGTAGTTTTTCAAGGTTTAAGTCACCTATATAAAGATGTAAATCCTCTTACTGATAGTCAATAGCAATTTTAACTTCTCAACTAACATAGATGCCTTCAGTTTCAGTTTTGTTTCATATGTTAATCAAAAAATTTCTAGCTTTAATCAAATGGCTATTATAAAGATAGATGTGTTGCATTTGGTAATTTCGTTAAAGGGGTCTGTTGCTAACAGGATAAAGTCATTCCTTGCTGTAGGAATTTGGCATGTGAGCAGTTTATCAACTTGCTTAAAAGATAGGATTTTGACTTAGTCTGGTGGCAGTTTCTCCGTGCATATTAGCAACTTAGGGGGTTTATTTTTTTAGCTTTTTCTACCTTGGGCAATAATGGTTAACACCTTATACTGTTTGCATGAAGATCTTTGACCTATCCACTGCATTTTGTAGGGACCTACTGGAAATGCTGGTGCCAAAGGACCAACTGGGCCCAGTGTAAGTAACAATAGTTTTCTCTGCATGTATATTACCATGAACCAATTTATCAATCCTTGGAATTAGATTGGTATCCTCATGAAACAATAAATTAGAATTTCCTAATCATTAGTGTTTCAGTAGAAACTGTTCTGGATCTGACTGAATTTGCTCTGATTTTGTGTTTGCATTATGTAATTTTTGCCCTTTATTCTATTACTTCTAGGGTGAAGGTGGGGAACCAGGAAAACCTGGTCCTATGGGAGAAGTTGGAGATGTGGTATGAAAATGGTTTTTCGTTAATGCAATGATTTAGCTTGCAAGATATATACATTTTCCCATGCCTGGGGACTGGTAGAATGAGATTCTGTCTCATTTCTTTTCATTTAAATCTTTGCATTTTCATTTGTTAAGAATTAATTTGATAAATTTGGGTCACATCTTTAGTCAAATGCTAGGTTCCTAACCCTGTCATAAGATCTATTTCATTTGGAGGCAAATATCATGACAAAAGTTTATTCAATAAATATTGAGAGATTGTTCAAAGTTTTGCTTGTAGGTATTAAATAGTTGTTTCAGAATCACTAAATGAAATGTTTCAAGTTGCAATAGTAATAAATAACTTGATAGAAAATTTTGAACCTGGGAATAATTTCTTTTTGGGCTTTTGTTGTCCTTAGAAACTTGAACCAACATAAAAGAGAGATTGGATGTTAAAATACAAAAAAAGTGTCAGAAGAATTTTTTATTTTATAGTTTTATTTTATCTGTTTCTTTAAGGTTTTATCATTTTTACTGCTTGACATACAAAGTAGCTTGCCCCTACTGTCATATTTTTCATATGTACATTTTTTGCATTTATATCATAATCCTGATAGGCAGTTTTGTAACTTCTATTTTGTCTGTTTGCTAAAATGTGTGCTGGCTCTTATCGGCTTGTTGTCATTCACCAATTGTTTTTACAGGGACCACAAGGACCACAAGGACCACAAGGACCATCTGGCAAAGATGGTTCAGATGTATGTATAGAAGCACCAGCCATTTATTTCTTTATATAATGCTTTTCATGTAGGCAATTTTCTACTGTACAATGATTGGGGGATAGGATATAACAAAATATTTCTTCCAACATAAGAAACAAAACTGCTCTTTGAGAGAAAGCCTTCCAATCTTCTAGGTAAAAGAGCAACATCTTATTGACAAGCAAGATTGTTCCAAAAACTATAAGGAAAACATTTTTTCAGATAATTGGCAGAGCCTGGTTGTCTTTTCATCTAGTTTTGGAACTGATCCACATAAAAAGGAGAAAGTATTATGTAGACAGAATAAAATTTTCCCCTGAGCGTCTCCAGTGGTTATTTTTCTATAGGCACACAGCACTGATTGTGTAACTATCCCAGTCATGTGCTCCTGTTTTTTATTTGTCTGTTTTGATCCACAGCTAGGTATATATTTCAAGCTTATATTTTTGCCCTGGTTCTGACGTTTTATATACTCTGAGGAGTTCAGACCAAAAGCTTTAGTATGTTGTAAAGTGTTTGCATTTTTCAAAACCAATTATTTTTAGACATACATGTCAGCTTTCATATGGTTTAATCTATGCTTCCCCATGGCTTTAATCATGTTGTGATATATGTATCTTTATTATTTCATATCCCTTTCTTTTTAGTGAATAAATTTCTGTTTTCTTTTTAATGAATCAAAAAACAGAATATTGCACATTAAAAACAAGCATAAATATGATTGATGTATGAAACATTTTTTTCATTACAATGGTATGGCCCTGGCTAGCAGCCCAAATGTAGAATTAGCTAAATGTTGGTTTTATTATGTTGTATTGAGTAGTAGGAAAAGCATCTTGTTCATCAAAGATTTATATATGTTTTACAGGGAGCCCAAGGAGAGCCAGGAGCAAGTGGCCCAATGGGAGACAGGGGTGCAACTGTAAGTTTATTCAAGCTCTTGATATCTATCAAAATGTTTTTATACTACAGTTTCATTAGATTAACAGCAATTGCTGTGTAAATAGTTCATGTTGCTAAAGTTTTTTGTTATAATGAGTATGTAATCTACATAACTTTATCTCTTACAAAAGACTGTTATTTTTATTCATGTTATGATCGATGTATTTAGCCCCAGCTAGACATGATCGCTCTTATCGTCAATTTGGTAAATCTTTGTAGGGTCAAAGTGGTCAGCCAGGACGAAGAGGTGCCCCAGGTTACAAGGGGTTGAAGGTATGGTTACATATTAATTGGTACCTTGCCTAAAAATTCTTTGTTTAATGTTCAAGTACTAGGTGTAAAAAACTTCTCTATGTGAAAGTAACTTTTTTATGAAATAAGGACTACTAAGATTTTGAAAAATGATTAATTGCTATAAGATTTTAGAAATTAGTAGGTACTGGACATACATTTAAGGAAGTGAGCAGAAGGAAATTTAGTTTTTGCCGTACTGAAGTGACTTATATATACCCAATTATAACACAATAAGATAAGTAGAGACAATGTTATATTACATTATATATTTTTATTATCTTTGTGCATATTCACACACTCCTAATTTTTGACAGGGAGACAGAGGTGTGCAAGGAGCAAAAGGCAGTGCTGGAGAAGATGGTGCCAATGGTGAAACTGGAGACCCAGGTGCTGCTGGGGACAAAGGGCCAACAGTAAGTCTTTTACCCTCGTGCAAGCCTGGAAATTTTGCAATTGCTTGTGTCATTACCATAGCATTCCACAAATGGAAGAAATGATAGAGAGACTCTGGGAAATGAATTATAATCAATACATACATTTTCAGTCTTTTAATGTCTTATTTGCTTTTTTCATTTGCCTTTTGCCTTGTCTTGAAAACTGATTGGTCAATCATGCAGAAATTTTTATTTTTGGATCAACCTCTAAATAAGCACCTTAAATAATGCAATGCTTAAATATTTACAAAGTAGCATCAGTTTTCATGCATCATTTCCACAAATTAAAAATAACTGCAGCAAAACATCATTCCATTATCACAATTTCATTCATAAAGCAGTATGTTCTGTTGTTGCTGTCACATTAATTCCTCACTTAAATCACAAAACAGAGTAGTATTTACAAAATTTCCACAACTTCTTCTTTGACTTATGAAAATTTCAGAATTTTAAAGCAGCTTAAATTTTCCCTAGGGACCTACTGGACCAAGAGGACCAACTGGTGCATCAGGACCCAAAGGACCTCTTGGAAGCCAAGGTCTGCCTGGACCAAGGGGATCCCCTGGTGTATCTGTAAGTATATATAATTCAATCAGTGGCCAATATTAATGGCTATATAATATTTGAATTTTCAGTTCTTTCTTCCTCTTGGATTGTTGGGGAGATGAGATGCAGCAAGTTCTTGAGTATGAAATGAGTACCCCCGTTTTGGGGCCATTGCACATGCGTATTATATATTCTGAATCAAAGAGGCATAGAACCTTCCGAGAAAGGAACAAACAGAACTTTGCGATCGAAATTTCAAAACTAAGTGAGCGGTCGGAGCTTATCATTCACATTGACATGGGAGTTTGATCATAGCAGAAATATCTTTTACCTTTCTTTTGAATTCAAGGGACCACCTGGTTTGCAAGGTGTGACTGGAAGAACTGGTCCTTCGGGAGTCAAAGGAGCACGTGGAGATGCAGGACCTCAGGGAGGAAGAGGAGAAGCTGGTGAGCGTGGAGAAACTGGAGATAAAGGTATAAAGGGTGTTCTTGGAGAGAGAGGTATTTCTGGAGCACCAGGAAGACAAGGACCTAAAGGAGCTATGGTCAGTTTACCTGCTATAATTTGCTTTGACTCACTTTGTTGAAAAATTTGCAGTTAATTTTAAGTGAAAAGAATTTAGATTGGGTAATAAAATAGTGAATTGCAATTCCATATCAATTAACAACATAGTATTCTATATTGAATGATAGATACATTATTTGATAGGGTGATATATGTTTCTAAACATTTCATTTATAATTCCAATGGTCTACAGTGTCAGCACAAAAAATAAATTTTACCCTTCTTAGATGTTTATCGTGGCAGATAATGATTAGCACCACCTTCAACTTTTTCAGAATACAATTTTCTAGATTTATGCAAATTCAATGAAACAATTGATTGTGGTGGGGTATGTTTTCTTGATAACAGAGACAGACCTTTTTTAGCCATTTTGATGTACATCTACAAACATGACTTGCATTGAAAAAGAACTAGATGCCAATGGCCTGTGTCCTCTATTTTTGTGGAGAAGCCATTTTGAAGGGGCATCTCTCAATTCCACCTCCCCTAACTTTTTGCAGCTGTTACCACCACTGTATGCTTCTGTATTTTTTATTCAAGGTTTATTGAATGTTTGTTTTAAATTTTGCTTCTTCTTTGCTAGGGAGATCCAGGCCCAAGAGGACCCAATGGACCTGTTGGAGACCCAGGAAAGCCGGTAAGATTTCTTTGACACTTATTTTTTCTTTAAAGAACTTACTTTTTAAAGGAGTTTTATACAACTTAAACAACTGTTAAACAGCTCTGGAAGAATTGAATATTATCATGATTTCTGTTGGAATTTTGATAGTGTAATGAATATTTATGAATTGGTTTTGTTTTGCCTTTAAAAGGTTGTCTTTTTAAGATGCAAGCGTTTTTTGTTATCTGATTTTGCTTGGCAAAATGAAAAAAATAAAACTATACAAAACATAAATTTCATCATTAATTTTGAGGATTGATTAATGCTAATGGAGATTGTTTTATTTTTTAGGGTGCACAAGGTGCAGCAGGATCTCTTGGAAATACAGGGCCCCAGGTACGCAATAATGTAACTTTCCATCAAGTCTGAGCTGAAAATCACATATTTTATGTTCAATAATTGTCTCTATTATGGTGTTACTTATGTTGGATAATAAGCCTGGTCATTAACACAGGTTTACAGCTTTGTTAACAATGCTCACAGTGGTTTACCTAGGGTTTTGTCACATCAATTTTTTGTAAGCAACTCTCCACTCTCGTCTTTAAAAGATATAAGTGGCAGTTATACATGAGCATTTACCTTTAAAAATCAAATGTAGGTATTTAAAAGTTTTTAGGTGCATGTTTGTCCTTGATTTTTAAGTTGGGCTTCATGTTATGTTGTTAAGTTTACATCATGATTAAGTAAAGTCTCTAGGCCCTTGCACTTGATTGATCAAATCTCTTTAAGTCATACAGAACCTACTTACCTTTTTTCATTTTCACTCAATATTGTGAAGCTTTATCATTTATATCAAGGGTGAGGCTGGCCAAAAAGGAGCTGTTGGACCTAAGGGAATCAAGGGAGCATCAGGTGATGCAGGTATACCAGGAGTGCCAGGCACTGTAGGACCAGCTGGGAGAAGGGTAAGCAAGATGCCAACTTTCTTATTCTGTTTTTGAATAATTTATTAGCATCAAACATGAGCATGTTTTAACTGAATTTTCAATTTTCACAGATTTATCCACAGAAATTGATTTATACAAAGTGTAGTTTCTGCCAAGTATAATGAATTTTTTTGTATAAATTAGAAAGATATATATACATTACATGTTTTTTTATATTTTGGTATTGTAATTTTGCAGGGAAAGTCCGGAAAGCAAGGACCTCAAGGAGCCCCTGGAGAATCAGGAGAAAGGGTATATAATCATAATTTTTGTATAATTCATATCTGAATATTTTTGTTGTCTTTTCACATATTTCATTGCAATTGTATCCAAAATAAGTAAAATCGGTAGGATGCATTACAGAAAAAATGGCCAAAAATCATCATTACAACACACTACATTTTTCAAGTAAAAAGTGTCTTTATAAAAGGCATTGATTGCTAGGGTGCCTGTCCATGCAAGCCAAAGTTTTCCAGTTGTACATTTTTTTCAAATACCAATAGAAAAATTACCTCATATCAAGAGATAACACCAAACAAAATAACATGAACTGTAATTTTCTTCATGTGTGTCACCACTGGATCTTCTCATTTTTTCCTACCACAAAAACAATTTTAGCATAAAAAATGATCATGTGATGATGAAATCCAAGCTGTATTCAAGGGTCATACCAAAACATTTTTCTGTTCAACAAAAACTTTTACAATAGCAAACTACATATGAATCACCTTATGACACTAGAGTGATAAAACCAAGGGGAGTAAAAGACAATGACAACCCCATGACAAATTTTTATTGTAACCAGATAATTTTTATTTAGGATGGTGTTAAGTTTTAGTTGATTTGTTGATCTCAACATTGATAAATGTAATTGATTACATTTATCAGTGTTGAGATCATTGACCTCATTTCATTGGGCACTTGATCTGTCAAAAGCCTACAAATATCAGTGACAGTGTCTGTCCTAATACATTTGTTGGTAATTTAGATAGAATGTTTGCTCTGGTCTGCGGGTAAATATTAAGAAATTCCCTCTAAGTAGAATAATTTTGAATGTGCTTTGATTGTTGCAAGAAGTATAAAGCTTTGGTATTGTATTTGACAAGCCACTTTTCTCTTTGCTCCAGGGTCTACCAGGATTAACAGGTCTTCCAGGAACACCAGGAACTCCAGGACCAAAGGTAAAGCATACTGTTGTTCAACATAACCACATTCCCTATATCTTATGCTTTTCTACTGCGAAGCTATCTTTTTGTTGCTATCTTTTTGTTGGGATGTAATAAATTGTGTCCAGTACACTAGTGAAGGCACCTTTTGCCTTGTAAATCCATTTAGAACCGTTATCAGATATCAGAACCATTGAGATTATATTTTCAATCCTTGCCAAAAGAATCTGACTTCCATTACACACCTAATTAAGCTCTTCAGTAGCTGCCTGGTTAACTGTAAATGCTCATATATTTTAAATTTGACTGTTTAGGTAAAGATATACAGCTACATTGAAAGGAGGGAATGCTTTGACAAAGTAACGTTATTACAACACCTGTAGAAAAAAGTCATTTCACTAAGCACATAACAATTTTTTCCTTGTTTGTTCATACTTTATTAGTATAGAGGTAAATTATGCAGTTTGTTTGTCTTCAATTAAAAGAGTTTTTTATTTAGGGAGAGACTGGTGCAAGAGGATTGAGAGGTTTGCAAGGTCGCAAGGGATCAGGTGTAAGTATTCAAATATTATCTTTCTATTATTCTATGTTTCGCATTCTCTAGCTGCAAATTTGGGTGGTCTCTGTCAAAAATTTCTGATTATTACTTGGTTTTCTCAATTACGTTCAAAACAAAACATTCTACCAGAAATTCTTTCGAATTGCAACTTGACCATAAATACAAGCAAAGTCGAAAATGTTACTTTCATGGGATGCAGAAATGAACATTCATGCGAATGTAAATTGAGAGATTGCAAGCTGCTTGGTAGTGTACTAGATACAGAAAATGACATCATCAGACGCAAAGGTCTCGCCATTCGATTTGCAAACCCATTGAACTTCATCTTCAACAACGAAAACCTCGGCATCAGCACAAAATTAAAAGCCTTTAACCCTTACGTGACATCCATATTCCTATACAACTCAGAACTCCTCTTGAAAATCAGATTGACAGTTTCCATAAATAGAAACATACATCTTAAACAAAGTTTATCCACAAAATAATGAAAGAATGATGTCTACCAACAAACCAATGAAACTCCATAGAGGAAGATAATCGGAAAACGTCAACTTAGATGTTTAGGACATGCACTTTGTTTATCAGAACAAACCCCTGCAAAGCGAGCCTTTGCATACACAGATGAAGAATATGCAAAACCAAGAGGCCGCCTAAAACTAACTTGGCTCTCAAAAATAAAATCAAACTTACGAGCATTTATAAAATCGAATGGATAAAAGCTTGTAAACTATCAAAAGGTAGACTTGCCTGGCAAAAACATTTAGAAATCCTGTGTTACACTAAGTAAATTTATTTACAAAAAAATGTTTTATAAAATTTATCAAGTAGTTCACATAGCTTGTTAATTTGGGGGTTAATTTGGGGGTCAATTTGTTTTCATGCCCCTTCTGCGTCTCTACCATCTCCAAAGAAGTTATTGTAGAGATTTTGCAGTTGAAAAAGGTGGTAAAATAGAAATAATGCAATCTATTTTCTATTGACATTGATTTTTGGTCTTCTTTTGTTAGGGTGCACCTGGTATTCCAGGAGAAGCTGGTCCTCAGGGACAAGTGGTAAGATTTTGTAACTTGTTTTTTGTCCTAAATCCTTGCCAGTTTTCTTAAGGAGCATCCAGATGTATGAATCTTCTCTTTGAAATCGCATGTATAATATTTTTCCTCCTGATCAAGTTATTTTATATTTCTACTCATGAGTGATTATTTTCTTTTCTAACTCAGGGTCTGCCAGGAGAACCTGGACAGTCTGGAAGGGATGGCAAGGACGGACCAGAGGTTTGTTATTGTTTTGTGATTTAGTGGTCCAAGATATTTTTACAGCTATCAACGTATAAAAAGAGTCAGTGCAGTGTTTGAACTGCTAATGGTAGTATTTTTCAAGCGATTTCTAATATGAAAAACTTCTAACCTTAAGTGTGAATTTTCAATCAATAAATCTTTGTCTGATTCTTTTCAACAATTTGTTTCACTGATTTAATTATTTTTCTGTAGGGAAACCCAGGTTCTGATGGAAAACCCGGTGGTCCAGGAATGCCTGGAGTTCAAGGTAAGCGTGGACCCACTGGTCTTGCTGGAGTGAAAGGAAACAGAGGACCTGGTGGAGCTCCTGGGGAAACTGGCAAACCAGGTGCTAAGGGAGATCAGGTATGAAGAAGATAATGATTGGATAGAAATATTTGCAAGAAATGTTTTATACGTTTTAAAGATCACTTTTTGAAGTTATAGACTTAAATTGTCTTTAATTTGTTGTTTTTTCCCAGTTTCAAAGGTTTAGAAAAGATCTTTGTATTGACATGAAAGTTATGTTTGACATAAGGGATTTTTATGTTGTTATAATATTTTGTTATTGTGTTCAATATTAGGGAGACACTGGTTCAGTCGGCCCAGCAGGAAATACCGGTGCTCCAGGTATTGATGGTGTAAAAGGACCTACAGGTGCTCTTGGGCAGCCTGGTGAACAAGGATTAAGGGCATGTATATTTTAAACATAAACTCTTTCCAATTTTTTGTAGATGTACAGTTACCAGTACTGTGAAATGTATGTAGTGATGAGATGAATTATTTATATAATCTCGAACTGAAGGCCTACGTTTGTATCTTACTGTAAAATTTAGACTGCACACTCTCAGATCTCGTTTTGTATTTAAAGTGAAGTATATCATTTATATATTTTATGTTTGTCTTATTCACCTACAAAACTTCAGAAAAAAAGGAGCCCTAAGAATGTGTATCTCTCCAATCTGTTGCATATACATGCTAGGGGAGATGATAAATGCAGCCACAATCTATATGTTTTTAGAAAAGTTACAGGAAAATTCAACGCACTTGTATTTTCTTATTGATATTAAAGATATTTGTGCTCCATTTTGATTCAATTTTTCTCAATGCAGGGACCCAATGGCCCTATTGGACCATCAGGGCAGACTGGAAGAGATGGAGAACCTGGAGCTATGGGTGATCCTGGAGAGGATGGAAAAATTGGTCCTTCTGTATGTAGATAATTTTTTAAACTTGTCGTTATAGTCTCCAAGAATTTTGATTTTCTGTAGGTACATTTTAATGGCAGGACACATGAGAGTCTGACCTTCTATGTCCAGTCCTTAGAAACTGAATCTGCATAACTTTTTACCTGTGTATTGGAATTTTTTGAATCACCCATTAACTGAAGGAAAATCCTTAATGTTATGCTTTTGTATTTTATAGGGAGCTAGAGGTGCACAAGGATTGTCTGGTCCAAGAGGAATGCCAGTAAGTCTGTTACTTTCAAATTAGCGAAAAGTATTTTAATTTTGTTGTTAAAACCTATTGTTCTGTTTTGAAGGTTAAGATAGAAAAATGTTCTGCTCATGATATCTAAATCCTTGTAGCTGCAAGTTTTCCAAGCTAAGATTGTTATGATATTAGATTTATTTTGTTTCCTTTCAAACATTCAAACCAAAGTTTATTTGGGAAAGATTGCAGTTGGCTGTTGCTTTTCAGTGTCACATCTTTATACCCTCTGTATTGACTAGTTTAAGAGTACTAATATTTTAGAATTGCTTCAATTTTAGGGAGCACCTGGTCTGCCTGGAGAACGAGGAGAAGCTGGCAGTGAAGGTCTACCTGTAAGTAGTATAATTATTCAATGTAAAAATGTTAGGATCATACAATGCAACTTAAGTATCTTAAATCAGGTTTATTGTGACAAATCTTGATTGGGATTTCATCTGTTCATCTGTTTTTAGAGCCTAACTCGCTGTCTATTTTGAAGGAGTGGTACATTTCCACTTTTTTAAGGTTCATAAATGAATAGTTGCAATAGGCTTGTAGCAATTTCCGTATTGTAATCACTATAATATTCCTCTTCAAGGGTACCAGAGGTCCAAATGGCCAACAGGGAACCGCTGGGGCCCCTGGACTTCCAGGACCTCAAGGCCCAACAGGTCAACCAGGCTTCAATGGAGCCAAAGGAGACAAGGTATATTACTTGTTACTTTAATGGTTGTAAGTGATCTGTTCTTTTCTATAATCATTTGTTACATCTTTTCTTGTTTCTCTCAAGTAACCTCTCATTATTAATTAGAACTGATTATTGATCGTTGTTATCAAAATTGATCATTTAGGAAACATCATAAACATGTAGCTCATTTCGTAAACATGCAGCGGTGATGTAGGTAAGGTAGCCTTGATGCTTCTAGTACTAAAAGTATTTGTTATCCTGTTTAGGGAGATGGTGGAGCCAAAGGAGAGAGAGGATTAGATGGTACTGATGGCAAAAGGGGAGCTGATGGTTTGCCAGGAGCTAGAGGGGCACCTGGAGAGCCAGGACCCAAAGGAGATGTTGGAAGAGACGGCAGTGCTGGATTACCAGGAAAACGTGGTCCAACAGTAAGTGACTATTATACTTTAAATTCTATACCGAGCGGTTGGTGAACTTAGTTTGTTCACGAGGCTTTTATTAGAAAAATTGTATGGAATATTTTGCAGAAGGTAGGATAGCAATCAACGTTTCCTGTACTTGACGCCCCTCCTCTTTAGAGCTAGCCTTTTTAACTCCTTGGGGATTTACCTGGGCATTTGATGTCAAAATATATTGTAATTATTCCATTGTGATAAATTTCAAATGATTAAATTGAAAGACTAACTGTTTCTGGTGGTTTGATTTTCGTTGCATTTCTAAGACGTTTTGTATTTGATAGCCTTTAGGCATCACCAAGCAGGCATCTTCTGTTACGCAAAATTATCACATATCTATTGCCTTATTTCACAGGGATCCAAGGGAAGTAGAGGAACACGAGGACCAAGTGGACTCACTGGACCACCGGTTAGTCTTAATTGTTATCTGGTCTAGGAAACTTCGAGAAACCTTGTTTTGTTATATGCCGCAGCCTCACTGGATCTTACAGTGTGACCATAGTTACCGTAGGCATTAGAACGTTTTTGCTTTGGCAATTATGTGAAGATGATTGATATTAAGACGCGCCTGAAAGAAGTAAAGAATGTTTAATGGTGCATAAAAGAATATATGTGATGGCAATGGTGAACAGGGAAAACAATGGCAACCCAAAATGACTCATTAAACAGAAAGTGATGTCAATGGCCTTATACAGCAAGGATCTGCTGTTGCACCCATTCATATATCAATTTTCATTCACTATTTCCTTAAAATTGGCTGTCTTTCTTTTTTAATACAACACCACTTTTTCATGTTTAGGGACCTACAGGATCCGCTGGAGCAAAAGGAGCCCCCGGAGACCGTGGTGAGAAGGTAGGATTCGCACATTAGTATTATTCTTCAGTTCATTTTTATTTAGCTTCAACGTGACAAACGATTTGGAAAGCTGCATAAGTTGCTTTGATAGAATAACAAAACACATTGGTTGTCAACAATTCTAGTGAAGAATCAACAAATCTAGCCTTCTGCAATTTCCAAAATCGTTGCCAGGAAGCCTTGTCTTAGATTTTCTTTTAACTCCTTTTTGAGACCATGCCTCCCTGTTTTAAAGAAGCTAAAGTATTTGAAGTAAATAAGCATCTCCAAAAGCTAACTATACCTGTTAAACCGCTGAGACGTTACATCACAAGACAGTCACACTGTCAGCATTTCAAGCTGCTTTCCAGCATTAAGCTAAACCCATTATATGTTAAGATAAATCTGAATTTCTTAAAAATGGGTTTAAAGTCAGATTTAAAAGTTATTCTTTGCTAAACATTTGCTATGGTCCCATTCGGCATTGGCTAGCCACAATTTCCAAATGGCTTATTGTCGAATCTGCCCTTCATAGATAGTAGAACGATATCGCAAATGAACAGTCAGATATAGTGACAGTTTGAAGTAGTGTCGATTAATATGATTGACAGTAAACGGATGATGGAATGCATAAACTCTAATGCTCGTTTTGAATTTTTATCAACAGGGTGAAACTGGAGCTCCAGGAGAGCGTGGTCTTCCAGGCCCAGGTGGAATAGTTGTAAGTACTGCTCTGTCTAATATTCTTTGCTGGCTGCTGCTCTATTTATATCACGTCTAATGGAAAATTATTGTACTTTTCAAAGCGTTACTATCACACAAAAGATAACCCTTGTAAGTTGTAGATACTAGCAAAGCTTTATAAACAAAAATGTTATTTCGAGTCCAGACTACATATTCATGCCTTGAAATATTGTTAAGATTTTTTGGGGGGGAAATTAAAGCCTATATACAAAAAGCTGGTTGATTCAGTGACAACTTAGCTAGAAGCTGTTCAATTGTTGGAAAACCTTCTTTGTCCAGTTTTTAGGTTGCCTTTTCGACATTCAGTTTGTAGTTTTTTGTCCTTATACCAGAATTTGAAAAATCAGAGGCTTTTTGTGAGAATTTTCACCTCGCATCTTATATAATTAAGGCAGTATTTAGAAGGTAAAGAAGATTTATTCATTTAATGTTGTATTCTGATTTGCATTTTTCACATTAACAGGGCAGACTAGGTTCAGCTGGTGAAAAAGGATCATCTGGTTCTAGGGGAGCCCCTGTAAGTTGCATTTAATTCAAGTTACTGAAGCTTTAAAGTGAAATACCTCTTTGCCCTGGCATTAAGCACTTCATGGATTACATGTAACAATTCTTAGAGCAAGCTGTAATAGACAAATATAATGCATGTTGATGGCATTGGACATCAAACTTGGAGCTACTTCTTAGAACCAACTGTAGGATGTAATACATGTGCAACTTCATTTTTGTCCATGATGCATAAATAAACCCTCTGTATTCTGGTTATGCAAGGCCCCTAAAGAAAGGACCTTATAGGTCGCTTGAATTAGAAACTGTATCATGTTGATGGAAAAAATGGTGCATGTTTATTACTTGATTTTTCTTCTGGTTTGTATGATAACCTTAGTTATTTTCATATCAACTGTGGCCAATCGCTAAGCACTTTCCAAATTCATTGAACACACTTCTATAGACGCCCTTCTGTTTGGTTTATAGAATGTTGACCTATTGCTTATTGTCAAGGAAATTACTTTTTCAGGGTGCTTCTGGTTCTCGTGGTGATACAGGTGCAAGGGGAGCAAGAGGAGAAATTGTGAGTTTCTTTTTAGTTGTTCGTTTGGAAAATCTAACAGTGATGGGTTTCATAGTTATTTGCATCATAATAAATAGTCAAGTATTGACATTGTTGCAGTTAATTGCATCATCCAATAGACAAGCCAAGAAGATTGAGAGCCACTCATTTAACGGTGATATTTCCTAACGATAATATATCCTTCTCATGATAATCTATAAAAACGCTTTTTAAATTTCATGAATTTAATTGTGAGCGTTTTTACCTAAGGGTGCTGATGGACCCCCAGGACCTCCTGGCCCTGCTGGAAATGATGGAGCTAAAGGGTACAAAGGCGAATCAGGCATGCCAGGAAATGCTGGACTCCCAGGAGAACCCGTAAGGACTACCAAATCTCCTTTTCAATCGTTTCTGTCTAGTGCATAGATGAATTTCATATTCTATACTATTCTATCTCGTCAAACTGTTATATATACTCTGTAAAACCGAAAGCATTTAAGAGATTTGTCTGTGGTTTTGGTAAAGAATTATAACATTATCGTTCACGTTTTTGGACATTTGCGTTTACTCGTGTCTGGCTTTAAACTTACCTCTTTTGGATTAAAAATGCTCTAATAGGGATTAAAAAAACGGATTGATTGTTTCAATCGAGGTAATGCTTTGGAACAGTAGCTCGTAGAAACTTTAATGAAGTATGATTTGCTGCCTTACAGGGTAAGAATGGCAGAGATGGTCGCAATGGACTCCCTGGTGAAGACGGTGCAGTTGTGAGTAATAGTTTACTTTCATGATTGCTTTTGTGGAGGAGAATGTAAGCAAGATTTTGAATGGCTTATTTGTTCAAAATGATTTTATCTTTTGTTTTTCCAGGTCTCTTAAATTGACAGGTATAGGTTTAAGATGTAATCATTCCGCAGGATGATACAAACGGGTTCCTTCAGTCTTAATCAATATGCTCTGATGTTCACGTACGCTCATATGTATTTTAACGTAGGCTTAAGAGTCTTGTCAGAATCTGCGTTGAAGCGTTCTGCTGGCAAACTGCTCTCCGCACAATATTAAGTTGAATACTATTTCATTCTAGGGAGCAATGGGCCCAACCGGAGATCAAGGACCTGATGGACTTGCAGGACCCAATGTATGTTTTAAACAGAATAAACATTTACTTTTTCTCTGTCTCTACAGTGTGTTCCTCTTGTCAGTTGTGGCAGAATGCAGATCAAGCTAGACAAAATCAAAATATTTTATATTTGTCTCTATGTATTAAATGAATGATTTGCCGTGGTTGGTAACAGGTAACTCTTTTCAAAACAGGGGAAAGTTTGACTTTTTTAGATTTAATCCGTGCCGTCCTTGATTGTGAAACTTTATCTGTTTCAGGGAATGATGGGAGCACCCGGCTACCCAGGCAGATCCGGAGGACCAGGCGCTAAAGGAGACGCTGGTAGAAACGGAATAAACGGTGACAATGGCAAGAAAGGCCAACCTGTGAGTGAAGCTGCGCGTTAAGATATACATATCGAAATAACTATAAGAAATACATATCGGCTTTCTTTAAATATTTCGGTTCATCCAGTGACAATAGACTTGAAAGCATTGTGTAAACTGCTCGTTACTCTTTCAGGGAGCAACCGGACCTGCTGGACCACCTGGCCCAAGTGGACCACCCGGAAAAGAGGTACTTTATTTTAAGTTTTTTCTAAAACCCCAAATGCATTAGGAAATATAAACAAATTGAAATTAGTAATATAATAATTTTGAACGGTTCCTTTCTTTATTGCTTTCGCTTGGAAAAGTCAGCTATTTTATTAAGTTCCCAAATCGTGCTTGTTTTCTGCAGTTGGAAAGCTCGGTTATAGAGCCATCTGGTTACAATTAACAGCCTGGCTGATTTTTGTTAAAAAGAGTCTTGCTCTTGTTATGTTTTTTCTTCAAAATAAATTACAAGTTAAAAATTTTATCGTACTTTTAAGAGAATTGAACCATTCCTCTTGCTTAAGTGTAACCAGAGTGTAGATTAAGATCATATTTTCTTTGACTGCAATCTTTCGGATCTCGTATCATAAATCTATTAAACTCGCAATCTATTGTAGACTGAGAATATTGGTCATTGCATTCACCTGAAATCACTCTATGGCTTTCTATAATATCAATTTCTGTAGCTTGATTCGTTTAAAAACTGTTATAGGGTTCACCTGGATCTGATGGCACCCCAGGTGCTGATGGAAAACGTGGGGCAAAGGGCAGTGCAGGAGACCAAGGGTACCCAGGAATAGTCGGACAGCAAGGAAGTCCAGGACAACCGGGAGCTACCGGTGCCCAGGGAGATGAAGGTGCCCCAGGAAGAGCTGTATGTACTTCTTTCACCTTGCCATTAATTACTTTCAATTTTCTTTCGCAAAAAGATCTTTTGCTGTTGAATATTCTTGTTCGGCATATTCATCAAAGATTGTTATTTGGTTAAGATGGATTCGCAGGTAAGTCTTGTTAAAAGATAACGATACTGAAACAAACATTTTGAAGATCGGCAAGGTTTCCATGTAACATCTGCAATAATGTATACTGTGACGTGACCGTATTTATTATCATTTGTATTGCAGGGTTCCCCTGGCAAAGCTGGAGAGACTGGTCCTGCTGGTGACCCAGGTTTCCCTGGAGCCAATGGAGCCAAAGGAAGTAAGGGCCGTACAGGTCCTGGAGGCGCCAAAGGTGATAAGGGATGGCGTGGGTACAAGGGACAGAGAGGAGAACCAGGAGCACGCGGTATGATTGGAGACCAAGGAGATGATGGTCCACAGGGAAAAACAGGACTTGCAGTAAGTCACTTTTTGTCGCTGGTCATTATTCGTAATAATATTTATTTCATCTATGTGGTCGTTATAGTATAATGATCGACCGAGAGATGGTTTGCAGTATAGGGCAGCTTTGATAGCAATACAGATATAATTCTAGGGTGTTGAAATGTTAAAAAAACTTACGAAAAGTATATTTCTACTTTAGATATCCACTGATGTGATATTTCTTCCATTAAAGTTGGAAAGCATTGTTTTTTATTATCCGTTCAAGTACCATCTCTTAATTTTATAGGGACCACCAGGCCCCCCAGGAAGAATGGGTGCTGATGGAGCAGTTGGAGAGGCAGGTATAATAGGAAAATCAGGACAGCCTGGTGATGGTGGACCACGCGGTCGCAGTGGACAAGATGGATACCCTGGACCACCAGGACCTCCTGGACCTCCTGGATTCCCAGGACAGTCGGGCATGACAGGTGCCGGTGGGCTCAGCTATTTTGGTGTTCCTCAAATTGGTGCCCTTAATAAAGGACCTGGTTACGGATATGGGTATTACCAGAATATGTACTACAAAGGTGATTTTGCTGAGCAAGGAACCAAGACTCAAAGCAAGGTACGTTCGTTGTTAGTCCCAAGTTCCACTGAAGGAATCAGACAGGTTTTTTGGCTTTTATTCACAACAATCCTGTTTCTATCTTGTTTGTTTTTGTAGTTACTTTCAGCAGCTACCAAGCGTCATCTGTTCCACTGTGCTTTATCCATTCATTATTTAATCCACTATTTCTAGGATGAGACTGGTGGAATGTTCAAGTTCCTCAGCCTGTTTGAACTTCAGCTACAAGCTTTGAGAAGCCCAGATGGTAGCCAAGCATTCCCAGGAAAAACATGCAAGGACTTGAAGTCGTGCTTCGATGACTTGAGAAGCGGTAGGTTCCAGTTGTTTATTTATGTTCGTAATTGTCCATAGGCGAACGTATTTTGTAATGGCACTGCTGTTTACAAGTCGGATTTGCTGAGATATCGGCTAACTGGGCATTTCAGAAAGTTGTGAAAGTAAGCAGTATTCCAATATATGAGCATATATTCAATTTGGTGTCTTAATTCTGCCGCTGCATTTTGTAAAGAGTAATTTACTATGAATATTTTTATTAGAATAAGTTTTTTCTTTTTAGGCGAATTCTGGGTCGATCCAAATCTCGGCTGTGTAAAGGATGCTTTTAAAGTTTCATGTGACTTCAAAACTGGAGAGACCTGCATATACCCAACAAAGACCATGTTCGATAAGAAGAAATGGGTGCAATCCGGTGGCGATGGCTTCAGATGGTTGATGCAAGAACTAGCCCAAGAGACGGTATTACTTTTTCTTTGAATACCTATTGATCGCAAGCTTTGTTGCCAAGGCAGTGATTCCTTTGTTCATGGCAAGCTTCCAACAATTTTGCATTTTTCTTTGCTAGTGAAGATGCCAAACTTTATCTGCAGAGTATTTATCACTAAGCAAGGAGCGGAGACAGTTTCTAGGACCAGCAGCTTAAAGTTTATTTGCAAACAAACGCAGTCTTTTATCTGCTATCTGAACTTAATGCCTCGTGTCTTAAATTTGTACGAACGTTCTTTCAGTGTTTCTAATCTTACATACGTCGATGTTGTATACGTCATTTGAAATTTATGCTTTCTGATTAACTTAGGTTGATTATGTTGCTGACGAAGTTCAATTCAGACACTTGAGGATGAACAGCATGAAAGTGCGACAAAACGTAACTTACCACTGCCGAAACTCGAATGCCTTCAAGACCTCAAGCGGCAAGGCAAAGACCTTCGTCAAGATCATGAGCTCTGATGCTGTTGAAATGCACATTGGTGCACAAAAGAAGAACCAGCCTAAGATCCTTTTTGATGGCTGCAACGTGAGTAGTTAGCTCATCGCCTCTTGGTTTTCTTTTATACTTTACCACAACTGTCATCTAGGCTAAGTTTTGATTGGCAATGAAAAGCTCGAAAGATCTTCAGTTTTTGAGATTGGTAGAGTTACTATTTATGTGTGCTGCTCATTCTAGAAGATCTCACAGTGAATGCTGATGTCAGCCACTTTGTCATTTTTTAATTTTCATCTTAAGTAGCTTAAATTTGACAGCTTAGAAAACTACATGAATTAATTTGGGCTTTTGGAGGAGATTAAGTTAAGTGTGTTATGTTTGGGAATCCCTACAAGAGCTCGTCAGAACGTTGCTTGATTTATTCTAGATTGCAAATGGTCTTATGAATTTTCACCTCTGCAGTAAGACATCGTGGATCAATTATCTTATGTTGTTGATCTGTTACAGGTTAAGGATGGCAAATGGCACAAGACTGTTTTCGAGGTTGAGTCAACTGCAACCTCAAGACTGCCAATCACAGATATTGCTGTCTTCGACGTGGCTGATGCTGATGAAGAGTTCGGGGTCGAGCTTGGCCCAGTTTGTTTCTCTTAAGAAATTCAAACAAGAGGATAAATAAGACTATGCTCACCAGACATTTTCATTTCTAATAGTTTTTCGTGGTATTTTCATAACTGTTACTATGTATAAATTCTTCGTAAGTTCCAGATAATTCTCATATAGGTTTTTTCAACTGCGCGCGCGAGGGAGGACCGTTTTGTAAAATCAGTCGGGTGGGAATAGGGGTGGGAACAATTCTATCAAAAGTGTCACAAAAAGTCGTCTCTCTTCTTTGTTGTCCTTTTCTACTGGCGAGTCATACTGTTAAAGAGAAGGCCAAAGCTATTCCAATACGCGATTTAATAGGTCATTCAACACGGCTGAAATAGTGGAACAAAATATACGAGTTATACAGTCTAATTCTATCTTCCTACTTAGTCAAAGCATTGACTATGGTACAATTGTCTCTCTGCTCTTTTTTATATTTCGCTGCGATCACGTGATCAACAATATTGCGGTGCCATTAATAAAGTTAAACGAATACGGTACGGCTTTGTGACAATACCAAGCCCTGAATCTTTAGCATGTGAAGAGTACCTAAATCCCAATATTGAATTATAAGTCGAAACATATAAATTCCTCTACAATATTGAGTTGCCTTTCCAATTAATCTCGTTTGAAGATCCCTGTGGTGATTTTGCGAAAAGTTATTTTTGATACTTCGATACGTAGTTTTCGCTTAAAATCTTGCTAAAGTCCCTACAAATCTCCCGAAATTTCCAGTTTTCAAATGCTAAATTCCTCTAAAACAACTTTTAAATATGTTGTTAAGACAAAAACATAATTAAGATTTCTTTTAAACTGAAAGTTATTGATGATACTTTGTACAGTTAATACTTTGTACAGTACAGTTCAGGCCTATAGAATTAAATAATCCTACTCAAGTGGCTGCAATATTCCTCCAGCATTCTTGATCCTTTTCAGATCTTGCTAAGCTATAATTACAAATCTTGCTAATCTGTAATTACAAATCTTGCCAATCTGTAATTACAAATCTTGCCAATCTGTAATTACAAATCTTGCCAATCTGTAATTACAAATCTTGCCAATCTGTAATTACAAATCTTGCTTATCTGTAATTACAAATCTTGCTAATCTGAATCACCTTAAGTCAAGGTTTTCTATCGCAGTAGAGGAGTTTAATCCGCCACTCTAACCAAATAATCAATAAATGGCTGTAATCCCAAGCTGGAATAAACCATTATGGAACTACTCTTCTGCCCTCTTCCGTCCTCCTTCGCAATTCCTTTCCCCGTTCTTCATCCTTCGACTCTCTGAGGCTCTGGCACCCAGGGTAGAAACTTATTAAAGCAATTCCCCCAGAGCCGAACCAATGAACCTGAAGGTACAACATCTGAGACCTGCTGCAAAATCTTGTCTTTTTCGGAGCTGTTTTCCAATTTTGAATGAAGCTACAAGCCTTAGACCAGCCCAGTCTTGCGCCAGCCACAGTCTTGAGCCAGCCCAGCCTTGGACCAAACTTTAGAACGGGAATTCTAAGTTACGTGGAAGATTTGAGACTTTGGGTTTCAAAGGATTAAAAATATGATAATATGGAACAGCTACGGCTTTAGACGTCCAATGAGCTATTGTTTCACTTTGATAATAACTCACTGGTCAAAGGAGCAAAGCAACACATCAACTGTAAAATGGATCGGCGTTACAAACTTTTGGAGAAAGATTTGTGCGAAAATTTATTCTCACGGATACAACAGTTGTGTGTTTGTCAAGTCATGTCCGAATGTTTGTCAAGCCGACAATTTTTGTATAATCTACGCATGTGCAATGTAAATTGGTATCTGAATCTGTATTCCGATTTCAAAACAGATCTAAACGAAAGTTTGCAATCTTTAAAATAACCATGTCTGCAAAATTTTTGAAAAAAGCTTCACTTTGAGCCAAACAAATAACATCATCGTTCTCATCGTCTATCAAAAAGTGACTGTCACTGAAAGTTCACTTAACAAAACCGCATTTTCGAGGCTCGTGGTTTTTAGCACAGTTGCTCAAGAGAAAGTCTTCAAAATACCTTTGAATCAACAACCTGCTTTAAATATCCAAATGACTGGTTAACATTGGCAAACATTTTTCTGTCAATGTCAAAAATATGTTCGAAACTATTTTAGAGGTTTTTTCCGCTGAAAATTTTTGAACTTCATGTAACAGACCAATGACCTCTGTCTAATGCAAAAATGATTGAGATGCGTTCTCCCGTGCAGGGTTGCCTAGTTTGCTTCAACTTAGGCCTAGAGATTCTATCTTGACGGCTTTTGTCAAAGAGGAGCCACTGCCAGGGACCACGGAAGCGGGGGAGGGCTGAGGGGGCTCTAGCCCCCACCCAAGTAACTTCGAAACGTACTTAAAAGCATACACAAAATCACCTTGCTCTTGGTTTTTAGCATGTTTAGCTCCCACAGTCTGTAATATCCTCCGCGGCAGTAGCGGCGCCACGGGGGGACACGTCCCCCCCAGTCCTCAGGAGAATCGATTTTGTAGTTCTTCTAAATTCAATTAGAAAATGTTGGGAGAGGGGTAATATTTTGACACCGTACTTTTTGTGATGTAATCCTATGATTTTCAAACTGCCAATTTTCAAACAAAAGTTAGTCATAGGCGTTCCTTTCGGATAAAATTGGCGTTTTCTGTTGGTAAAAGGGCATTTTCTGGTTGTTTAAAGGGCGTGGCTTAAATTTTTTTGGTTTGTCCCCCCCCCAGAACTTAGTGGCTGGCGCCGCCATTGCTCCGCGGTTCTTGGTAATTGCCAACACACTACACAGATGGAATTTGTCCTGACAGCTCAAAACCCTTCCTTCTCCAAGGTGCTTGGAATTGTCTCATTTTCCCCATGACTTTGTTCCCAGGAAGTCAAAGATATTGCCCCCGGTCCATGGAAACGTTTCAGAAGCTCTTCAGATGTCCACCCCTTTCTAGTCTTCTTGCTAAGTTGGTTCTCTGTCCCACTCCCACAACTTGCTTTGTCGTGAAGATTCCTATTCGACTTCAGGGCTTAGCCCTTAAGATTCCTATACGACTGAGTCAAAGCAGAGAAATTGCCAAAAGATTTCTGATAGTTTCCGAAGTTCAGTGCAGCCAAATATGATTTGATGTTAATTTATCCCAATCTGTAGGGTGTACCCCGAACCCCCTTTTCTCGGCTCACCTACCACCTTCATGCCTGGAATAAACGCAATTTCCGCCGATTCGTCTCCAAGAATGCGATTCAATGAAAACATTGATGAAAGTCATTAATGAAAACAGCAACTGAAGAATACATAAAGAGTAATATTATGCATATGCAAATATATATCAAATACAAAGAAATACAAACGAGTACAAGCCTTGGTTGCCCTCAATTCTCGATCTCAAATCTTTAAATTTTCTCGAACATTCGCGTTCTCCCCCCATCTCAAACACTCGTTCGCAGAATATTCGATCACTCGTATTAACTGTCCTTTTTGAAACAAGTCTGCCTCCCTTCTTTGCCCTGTCATACTTTCTGCATCCCTAAATCTTTACAATTAACAAACCCTAAAGTGAAAGAATTCCTGAATAAGATTGGATTTTTGGACAAATCTTGCGTCAAAACAGATCCGAGCTCATTATTCATTACAGGGAGCATTAAAAATGCAGAAAGCGATAGAATGCGACCGTCTTTAGACGTTAAAATGCCCTTGCCTTGTACGAAAAAATAAGGAAACCGTATGTATTGATGGGGTATCTTAAATCCTCTAATTAGTTCCATTGAAGCTTGATAATATATGAAGTTTTTTATTTGTGTCTTATTCGAAGTAGGCGCTTATTCCAGGTGGGGCGGGGGACTTTTAAAGATTATCTCCAAGTTACTATACCAAAAACTCGTTCTGCAGCTGTTTCATTATCTTCAAATTAATTTTCAATTTGCAATTTCACTTAACAACTTTCAGCAATATCAAACCAAAGTATAAATTAAAGCATAAAAATAAATCAGGCCAAAACTATTGATGTATTCATTGTCTTCGGAGATTATGGTTGTGATTTAAAATTGAATTTTGCACCCCCTTCACTACTGACGCCTTAATTTTGATAATCTTAATTTTACGATGGCGTTATCGAAAAGAGCAATTATGCATGATAAGAAGCGTGCTGATTTGAAGATGTTGCGGTGTAAATAAAGAAAGAGTTGAACCTTCTGAAAGTTTATTTAGGAATCTGGTCAGTTATGCGTGCATGTGGTTCTTTTGCTTGGAAATACAATTAGAGTGTTATTTCTACTTTGATCTTTTGATGATTATTATAAACAGATTTTTTAAGTATCAGCGTTATAGTTCCAACGAAAAGAGAGAAGTTACCCAATGATGAATTGCGATGCATCTTGGGATGCATGACGTAGAGTCTACTTTACTTTGAGTCGTAAATACTGACAGCTTAATAACTGGACATCCCTTCCTCTCCCCATGAGCAAGGAAGAGGATATATTGTCCTATTTACTGTGAGAATGGAAACTGCCAATCAATCGCAGCGTGATAATGAACTTACCCATATGCACTGCTGTCAACGTTCCGTAGAAAATCAATACAGTTGATCCCTCAGTTTAGAAAAGGGCAAGGCACGTCCACGGCAAACAGTCCACTGGCTAGTCGGTTACTTGCGGATAATTTCGCAAGTCAAGCCAAACTGGTGATATGTGGATCAGTTCAAGGGAGATGCTAGTCCCGTGTTTGCTTGTTGGCGTCATTTTCATGCTAGAACCTGGTAAGTTTCGAATGTTTTATTGTCGTTTAGGTTGCCATACCTTATGGCGCAACAAAAATTGTTGTATCTGGATTGTATCTTGTGTGATTTTGTGATTTTATGTAAGATTGGTTAACTGAAAAAGTGTGGGTTTGTGTGCAGCGTCTGAATGGAGGGTTTCTCAGGCATAAAGTCAAGGGCTTTTCAGAGAAATCGCTTTACCAATTGGCCTCAGGGTAAACATGAACAAAAGAACTGGAAACTTTGTGTGGTCATCTTACTTCTTAGTTCATAGTTTGTTTCCCAACTACAGTTAGAAAAGAATTTAGAAGTATTCAAAAGATCGTGTCCTTTGACCTTTGACTTCACCTCTGATTTCACCTCAGGGCCGAAGATCTATGCTGTCTCAATTATCTGTTTTGAAGAATAATCTAAGATTTGTCATCTTTAGGCACAATGAAGGTGAAAACTCTCTGCCGTTTATGATTAGCGCCGCGAGCTTGAGTCTTTGTTTACTGCAAAATCACAAGGGTCCTGTTGTGAATTGTACAAGTTCTTTTTTCAAATGATGAAGATGTACAGGGAATGCATTCTGTATTGAGGCAATTTTGACTGCTCAACGCTTTAAAACCTAGGGCGTTTTAGGACTTCAGGGTTCCAAAGCCCTCGTGCGTGTTCTGAAATACATGCCTTCAGGCTAAGCCGATGCGAGCCCTTAGGGAAATTATTTGTATTGGTCTATTCTTTGAGGGCGAATGAGTTACTGCAGCCCCTTAGGCAAAAAGTGTCCTATCAATTTAGAAACAGATTTATCTAAAACATTTGAACAAGATAGATAGAATAAGCTGGTCTACCAAATCGCACAGGAAAGCTATATTTCTTTGCTGTGTTGGCAAACAGCGCACAAAGAAAATCGCTGTTTGTGATTAAACTGTTAACAGGTTTTGACATTTTTTGAAGTTCCGCCGAGAACGCCCGTCTAATGGTGTTACAATCACTGCCAAAAGTCTCGAAACACTAACGTCAGTTTTCAAAGGCAAGTTCAGCCACCCCCTTCTCCAGGCACCGCAGAGCGTTGAGAAAAGTGGGGGTCTAAAAGAAGTAGAGGGGGGGCTAAAACCATATAAAAAGAGGCTTTTCTGGTAGTTTGATACTTGATATTTGGCATTTTTTGCAAAAAGTGAGGGGGGGCTAAAGTCCCCCCAGCCCCTCTGCTCCGCGGTGCCTGTTTTCCTCCTAAGGAACAATGTTGATTTACTATAGAAAAAAGAAAGGGGTTATGGAGTACACTTTTTCTTGAAGGTTGTATAATAATTTTCTCAACTAAACTTTTTTCTGGGGGAAAGGGGGACGGGAGTAGTAGTATTCGGTAAAACAAATGACCAATAGATAATCACAGCGCAAAGTGTAAAGTGTTTTTGGCAATGATTGTAAATTCTTGTACAGAATCCGGTGTATATGGAAGCCAGACAATGGGCTTGGAAAACCGCTCTTATAACCCTAAGAAAATTGCTAATTTCATATTTTTGCATGAAATCGAGCCTCTTTTAACGTCTAGCGTTCTCTATGGCCTGAAAATCAAGGCTGAAAACTTCATCATGAAGTGGTCATATGTACATGGTTGATTTCACAATCTGAACCTATTCTTTAAAGCTTAGTTTTGTGCCAAATAGCAAATAGCTTGTGTTGGGGCTCTCTTGTCACGTTTTCACGGCTATCCAGCCAGGTATGGCTCATGACAATGGCTCATGACAATAATATTGAAGCGCCCTGGCTCTCGGCTCATTTTGATGTTAATGGAAACGAGGTTGGCTGCGAAATTTGAACGTCGTTTAGCTGCAAAATGGCCCAGAATCATTGCAACGCAACTTCTGAGATGCGTTTTTGGGATTGTTGGTTTGTATTTTAGAGAAACACTTGAAATTTTGTATGAAAAAGTGAAATTAAGTGAATTTAAAGTCATTCTTGACCAAGTGAGGGATTTCTCCTTTAATGTCAAAACCAGTGTGCACAATTTAATTGAGCAAAATTCTACAGCGATGATTAGCGTTTCGCCATTCTCTGTTTCAAGCTAACATTGTCAATTTTTATCTTCATTTTTTCCTAAAAGGATTGTAGTTACTCAGTACTCAGAGCATGGCAGTTATGCACATGCACCCCACCCAGACTGGAAATTTTCCTTCTCCGCGCTTTGCATATTGGCCGTGCAAAGTCCCTTTGTAGTAAAAATTCACATTATTACCACTACAAATTTTTAAATATGCATGATTTCAGGCGTGCAGTCACGCGCAGAAAACAAAATTTCCAGTCTGGCATGCATGCACCTAAGATGTAGACAAAGCAGGGCCGTCGATATTCAGTTCGGGCCCAGGAGTGATTCACATAGCTGGGACCCCTTAAAAAAGTTTCCTGTAGCCACGCCCTTCAATCTCCCGGAGAACTAGGAAAAGCCTTTTTTAGTAACAATTGTTGAAAAAATTTTCTACAAAATTTTTAAGAATGCGCAAAAACATTTTACGTGAATAAAGGACATGTGGACATACTCCCTCTGTGATAAACTAACAGGTGTTGATTCCATATAAGTTGCTGAAATAGTAGCTTTTTTGCATTGTAAATTGATCTTATTACATTATTACCAGCCCCATTGGAGCACAGGCCCTGGACCTTTTGCCCCTCCTAGCCCCCCTCAATGCCCCTGAGACAATGTAACCCTGAGTGCTTGTCTAAAAGCTAGATCTATATATTAATCTAATAGATCTACTGGAAAAGTTAATAAAAGCGCTGGTGCATCTGGCCCAGACACTTATGTTTGGTCTTCTTTGAGAATGCTTGATAATTTTCAGCTTTCATTCTGCACTTGCTAGCAATTGTTTATCTGGTTATGTTCCCCAAATTGTGAATATTCCACCAACCATTTATTAAACTTCTGACTTCTGATTACACGAAAAACAAAGAATGCAAATTCTCTTTGAAAACCATTTGCTACAGGTTTTGGGCATTATTTCTCACAAAATTATTCAAGACTTTGTTTCACATTGGTAGACTCTTGTTAAAGTGAAAAACAAGACATTATCTGCCTGTCATTATTACAGTAAAGTTTGTTAAATGTTGATGTTGCTATTTTGCATCAACTAACAGTCAGGATAGATTGACAAAAATTAGTTATTGTGCGAGTTATCGTTAATATATATTATTAGATGCTTTGAGTTAATTCTAATTTTTGAATGTAAAACTTTTTTAATATTATTGCAAACTTTAGCATTCTCCTTAATGTCGTGGAAATTATCAACAAATAGAGATAATTGATGAATTGCTCCTTTTTGAGATAAATTCATGGTACAGTTTTAAGGCTTGGGCAAAAAACAATAAGGTCTGAAACTTTGCAGTGGACTGGCCAGTATTTTGATATTGTGTTCTTTGACTACTTTAATTGTTGCTTTGACAAAAAGATGTCATTTTGCATGACACAAAACATTTATTTTAGGAGATGCTTTGATATTGAAAAATAGACTAGCATTTCTGCATTTCTTACCCTTCCAGGCAAAGTGTCAGCACAAGGACAGATAAAACCAGGCAGTTGCCCTCCTGTCCAAAATCCTGGTACATTGGAATGTCCACCAACACCATCTCTCAACTCAGAATGTTTACTCGACAGAGACTGTAATGGTAGCAAGAAATGTTGCTTTGATGGTTGCGTTATGAAATGCCAAGATCCTGGAGTTGTTCAGCCTACCCGTACACCCAATATTGATGTCAAACAAGGTAAATGTCCTGTTATCAAAGATCTTGAAACGAAGGAATGTCCTGCTCCAGAAAATCTGCAGACAGAATGTTTACTCGATGCTGACTGTACTGGTACAAAAAAATGTTGCACTGATGGCTGCAGCATGAAATGTCAAGATGCTATACTTCCACCTACTCTACCTCCAATTATTATCGGCCCAAAGGGGGATCCAGGTGATAAAGGACCTCCTGTAAGTATAAATAACTTTTTATCAAATCGTTTGATAAGCTAGCATACAGTCTAATTTTTGGTAGAAATCAGTTGAATTTCGCAGTAGATTTTAGAAATAGCTGTACAATATCCATAACTAGGCTACCACTTTTCTTCAATATGACAAGAATCCTAGACTGAACAACCAGAAAAGGGAGGTGCTTGTATATGTATATCACCTTAAAACTTTTATCAGCAGTCTTAAGGATAGATAAAATCTTTATAAACAATTATTAATGGCCATAAAACATCCAGCTTTAGTTGATAAGAACAATTTTTGCATGGTGGAAAGATATGTCTCGTAATTTTTGCTAATATAAATTTGTTATGGTAAGACTGCAGCTAATATTTAGTCTAGGGTCTTTTCAGAACCTAATTAGCACCCAGCTTGCTCATGGTACAACAAAGAGTTTTGCCAGCTTTCTCAAGTTAAGGATTTTTTGTAAGGTACATTGTTATCTTTGTCTCTTTTATTTCAAGGGCCCTCCTGGTCCAAAAGGAATTCCTGGGGATCCTGGAGAACCAGGAATAAAGGTAAGCCTATTTTCTACTTTTTAAATTGTGTTTGGTGTTGTCTATCTACACTTTCTCATAGAGATTTTAATTCATTATGTTTTAAACTGTAGTATAAAATCACTAGGTTGCAATTATCACAGCCTCTGGTGGTCAGATTGAGCATGGAATTAGTTTTTCTTTTCTTCAAGACTTTTTCAAGTAATTGTCATTCTTATTTTAAGGGTATCAAAGGAAGCAATGGAAACAATGGAAGGGAAGGAAAACAAGGAAGAAGAGGCAAGCCAGGACCTCCTGGTAAAAAATTAAATGAGACAGAAGAGGAGATCAAGCCACCTGAGCCTTTGAGAACTGTTGTATGTTCTTTGTTGGATTTCATCATTAAATCAGTTGTTTTTAGGAAAGAACTCAAAGAAGGAAGTTTTTAGGGAGAAGGGTCAACTCTACCTGAAAACTGGATATTTAGCATTATCTATTGTTTTGGCCTTTCCACTGATGTTTTTTCATTCTTCAATTTTTACAAAAACAGTAATGGTATTTGGAGCAATCACCTATCACCATGGTAAGGGTTTTTTAGGCAAGCAGTCAAGTATTCAATTATCTGTTTTACTTTCTCTAGAAAGGACCGGGGCCAGGTGACACAATAGAGGTAGGAGCAGTGACTGATCCAAACGGAGGTCAATCTGGCAATCAACCTGAAATTGGACCAGCAGTAAGTAATATCATACACTGCACTGTCTTGTGCATTATTCCAGTTTTATCAAATTTTAAACAGCTGTTGATAATACTCATTAAAGGTAAACTTGCAGAGAGCTTTAGAAAATCTGCATGCTCTGAGGAAAAAATAATATGATTTTTACATATGCTTACTATTTACCTGTCCAGGGCCTCCTTGGAAAGGCATGCGATTGCACATGCACACCTTGGCACCTACCTTGTTTCCCCAACGCAGGCCTAATTAAGGCCATTTTGCACTTTCAATAAATTTTCATAAATACTCTGTATTCTAAAATAGAAATAGCACCCCATTGCACCCCTTGATTTGCCAAGGAGTAAGATTTACTGCATGCCTGCAAATTTATTCCTGGTATGGCCTGCAGTCTGTCATAAAGTGCTTGATGCCATATAGGCAGAGAGAGCTGTACATGCTTCAGGCAACTGTTCCTTATCATACCAAATGACTGTATATTAATAACTTGATATGATGCAGAAGAATCCCAGTTTACTGAATGATTCCCAGGTGGGCTGTGAATTCCCAGGTGGACAATTTTTGCATCCCTTTATAGTTTTTTTCAAGAAATATTTTATATACAGCCAAAGTTGGAAATAAATCACATAGGCAATAACTTTACATAGATAAATAAGCTGCCTGCCATTTTTTGATACATAAAAAACTAGTGTCGACTACAAACACTGAACAGTAACCAAATCAACGTTGCTTTTTTGTCCAAATATTACTTTGCATTTTCTTACAAAAGTCACAAAAATTCATCAATTGATCATTCTAACTGAAGTTCTCAGAACTTAGTGATAATTAGATATTGCCTGATAAACAGTGTATGCTAGAATTTCTCATGCTGTTGATATTGCCACTGTTTAATTTTATTGCAAAGATTAATTCCTTTTGATGTGATGAGTTTTCATATTAATTTCTGCAGGGTATTCAGGGAAAAGCAGGAGGGCCTGGTGCTCCAGGACCCCAAGTGAGTTCCATCTTATTATTGTGCTATCTTTTGTAAACCTTGTAATTAAGTGACTGTTAAAGGATAAATCTTTATCCTTATCAGCAAAGATCTTTATCATTTGGCAGAAAACAGCAAATCAGTATTAGCAACTTTTTCAGTAGAATAAAGCTTTCTTCGAAAATGAAGCTATTAAAATGTTCAAACCTGGAGAAGGAGCTGCAATTTTAACGATGAAAAATTGATTTTCTGGAAGGAACACATTCAGATTCAGTTTCTAACATTATAGATCCATGCAGTCCATTAGGAAAGGTATAGTATTGTAAAATTGCATGTAAAAACTCCTAGCAGTAAAGGATTGGTTGATTGTTAGAAATCTTGGAAATCTTTCTTTGCATGGATTCTTGATAAAGTATCCTGAAAACCACAATTTCCACGATTCAGTTATTTTTTATTGCTTTAACACAGGGAGAAAGAGGTGAGCCTGGGACAGTTGGCCCAATTGGACCAAGCGGAGAGCTGGTGAGTTGACCTTTAAGGCTTCAATATTTGCTTCAAAGTACATACATCAAGTTATTTCCTAGCAGTTGTACCCATTGGCCTTTTTTTATTCTTTTTTTATATTTAGTTTGATATTTATTTGGAATATCCTGTTAAGATGTTTGTAAATTTTTGACCCTCACTGTGAGGAAAAGTACTGTCTCCATTTTAAGCTCTTGCTCAAATATTGTTTTAATCACTACTTCATTTTTATCATTGTCTTTCATAAATTTGTTATCAAAATGTAATTATATCTCTCATCTACAATTGCCTTAAATTTTCTTCTGTTGTCTTTTGTATTTTTTCCAGTCTTAGTGTTTTTTCTTTTGAACTATTGAGACAAAACAGCCATAGCTTTTCCTGGTTGTACAAGGTACCTGATAAATAAATATGAATCATATAGCACCCCAGTGATATTATTCATTCAAATATTGGTAATTAATCATAATTTGTTAGAATTAATGGACTTAATGCTTTTCGTTCAGGGTCCCAAAGGATTTCCAGGACCTCCTGGACTGTCAGGAAAAGATGGCAAAGAGGTAGGGTAGATCTGATTAAAACATTTTCATGTATATATTGAACAAGATTTTTCTTTCAAACTTTGGTCATGGTATACTCGGGGAACATATTTCTTGAGCAATCGCCAGCTTTATATGAGTCCTCTATGCAGAGGACAAGATAGGGCATTTTGCGAAATTACAAATTCTTGACTCTCTTTGCATTCTAACTGATATAGCCTTTCTGAAGTCTGTTAACTTATGTAATTTTTCTAGGGCAGACAAGGGGAACCAGGAACTGCTGGACCAAAAGGAGATGCAGGACCTATTGTAGGTTTTATGTTGGCTTTTACCTGAGTTATTTGTGTGACAATGCTCGTACAGTTTTTGTTGCTACATATGGAGAATTTAATGTTACTTTTGCATAAAAGAAAGATATGTCAAGGGGACAATAATATTTTGAAGACCACGCCTTCAATCTTTCAAATAAATGAGTGGGAAACGTATTGAATTTTTGTCCTATTTAGAGGAGGGTTCATTTGGGGAAAGGGCTTTCACTTTATGTTGATAAACGTGGTGAATGTTGTTGGACATTGAATGTGGCAGATTACAGTACTTGAAAAATTTCAAACTAGCCAATAGCAGGGTTTGGGAAACCTTTTTTCTTTTCATGCCCTAAATCTCATATGATGTAAGGTGAATTAGGAATTGTTTGTTTTTGATGTTATGTTAATGATTGCTCTTTTCTTGACAGCGTAGAGCTGATTTTATTTTCTTAAAATTCTTTATTTTAGGGTGTTATTGGTGCCCCAGGCTCAACAGGAGCTCCAGGTTTTAAAGGACTCAAGGTAAACTGTGTCCTTCAGGAGGTCTTTCTGAAAAAAATCATTGAAAATGACAGATGCTTTTTTAACTTTTTTGAAAATGTGGAAGTTTCTGACAAATTAACTCCATAATATCCATAGATAAGAATCTCCAGTTTAAAGCTTTTTACATTTCGCTTTTTCGCGATAGATGTTATAGATATAGCTGACTAGCCCATACTTCAATCAGCGAAGAGGTTTCCTGTATGAATTCGTTATAATTAACAAATGATAATAAAGATAGTTATAAGAGAACCTATTGAATCTAAGCTGCGAAAAAGATCTTTAACACAACTGTTGTGCTATTTCACAGGGTGATCAAGGGACGAAGGGTATTAAAGGAGTAGCCGGAGAAGATGGCGACAATGGAACTGCTGGTGAACCGGGTGTTGCTGGTAGTAAAGGAGCCACTGTGAGTAAATTTCTTCTTGTTACTTTCCTCATTTTATAATTATTTTTTCATGCTACCTACTGCAATTGTTTAATTGAAGTCCTTGCACAAAGTGCATTTCATAGTAACCCTCATATTATAGCAGTGCGGGACACCTGGGGGTGAGAAGGGGGCGTGGGGGCTTTTGCCCCTAATACTTTGGACGACAATGGTTTTTTGTTTTAAAACATTGGGAAAATGTGTCGTCATTTTATTAAAACAATCTGCCTGCCCCCCCCTCCAATATTTGACCAAGGGGCCGCCCCTGTATTATTTTATATTAATGCCAAACACAATCTCAAATACAATACTCCATTTCAAAATTTTGTTGAGAAAGAAAAAGTATATGAATAAATACAATGAAAATATGACTCTTCGGAACAGGAAAGACATCCCGGCAATATGTTTTGAAATACTTTCACAAAGTTGACATTACAGCTTTACCCCACCCTCCACTACCCTGTTGCTAAGTTACATTAAATTGACTAACACGGATACCTAAGTGGCAAAATATTGATGTGTTTTACGTTGATATCATCACATTAGATTTAAAACGATGTAGAAAAGAATTTAAAAAGTTTGCTTTTTGGTGTTCAAGCCTAATGTTTATATTTTTAAGATGGATATTTTAAGCAGTTTTCAGCAAGATGTGCCTGTTTTATTCAGATAACATCTTTCAAGCTTTAATTATCTTCCAAAATTCAGTATTTTAAATTCACGTCTGAAGGCATCAAAAGTTTGGTTATATCAATATATACTGAATTTAAATCAAGAATCAGTCAATGCTGAACATTTTCACAATCTTTTTCTATCACATTTGAAGCAGCTGTGGAATAAAGTATCTGAAATACATCTTCGTATCTGTGATTTAACTTTTTGGTATATGTGTTTGTATCTTAGCTAGATATAGCTATTTGAAGGTTTTGTTTGTTAGGGACCCACGGGCCCAAGAGGTACAATTGGAAAACCAGGGAAACAGGGTGTTATAGGAGAACAAGGTGCGCCAGGAGCCACAGGTGTTCGGGGAGTACCGGTAAGGCGGACTGACATTACTCTTTTTGATTACATACACTTGCATTCGAAAAGTATTGCACTGGCGTGACAAATAATTAATTGTAACAGCGTTGTAAAGGACATGGTCATAGAAATTTGAAACACTTTAGTGAAGCCATCCGGCGTCAGTTAAAACTTAAACACCAATATTTTTTTAGAAAACTTCAAAGAAATTTTTGCTATTTATATCTGTATAATTATGTCTTGATAAATTTTCTGTTATTTCGACCAAAATAGTCGTCTTGGAACTTTTGCATAACTTGCTACAGCTATTTAGATGCAGCAGCATATATAGCCAGGAGAGAAAGTGCCAAACGAGAAAAAGCAACTCGCAAAAGGAAGCCAGGCCTTACGGGATGAACTCAGCAGAGATAGGGCCTAGCATATTAATGTATTCAAGACTAAAACTTTGATCGAAGAATATTTTCTCCAAAGACGTCGTAGCTTTGATTTCTGAAAAAAACCTTTAGCTTATTAATTAAAGGTGTCTTTTTGTTTGTTTTGTTTTACACGCTAACTCAGGCTTGTTTCCATTTGTATTTTCATTTGTATTTTGCGGTACAGCGGTACCAAGAAGGCATAGCTCGCAATTATACATTTAAATAGTTGTGATAATCATTGTACGAATTAAACTAACTTTTATGATATTCTGAATCATCAAAATTTACGATGTTTGAGCATGCTCGTTACCTTAAAGCATTTCTGTTGTTCAAGACTGAGGAAATCTCTTCCATTTTCATTATTACCATGAAGACTACCCGAGACACTTTGATAAGTTTAGATGTTGCTGGAAGACTTGATCTCATTCTAGTTCTAATTTGTCCGATTCAAGGAAGCATTCAGTTCTCATCCTATGACATCTCTTATTTCAAACTTATCAGGCGTTTTCCTCCTTTTAAGGGACTTCGAGGTTTGACAGGTCCGCCGGGTGAAATTGGTGCAACTGGTTCAAAAGGAGACAGAGGTGACATTGGGCCAACAGGTGGTAGTGGTGAAACCGGAGAACGCGGACCCGCTGGTCCAGCAGGGCCTAAAGGACAAATAGGAGATCTTGGCAATCGTGGTCGCCGTGGAAAACAAGGACGCAAAGGTGCAACGGTATGGGAATAACTCTTTTTGGTCTTACATAAAACGTAGTGTCAGGTATTGGTTAATCTAACTTTCTTAATATTTATTTTTTTGTAGAACTCCTTGTCCCTATAGCCTAGTTTTTTCAGCCAAAACTAGAGATGTCCAAACAATTTGACCTTCGTCTGCTTTTGTGGGTTCTTGTCGACAACTACTCAACTCGTTTGATCAAGGTCGGCCTTCGGCACTGCTAGCCTAAATGCCAATCCAGATACGCCCAACTTCAGCTTTTCTTTGCAATCTTTCACTTTCGGCATGCCAACTATTTGCAAAGCCAGCTTTTTGAATCCTCTTATAAATTGGTCAATTAGCATGTTGGCTATTCGGTACTTCGCATTTTCGATTCCTCATACTCCTAGATTAATGTTTTTTGGTGTTCTCACAGACTTTGTTGTTTTGTAAGTGTCTAGAAAAACGTCTTAAAAGTCTTGATTTCGGTCTACCCCGTTCCCTTTTTCATAAATCATAAATGAATGGACCCTTTGAAAAAAATTTAGCTATCATTTTTCAACCTATATACATCGGCATATATACGAATATATACGACTCATATGCATCGGCATTGCCGACTTAAATTTATCTGAGGTCGGCAATATAATGCTGACCTTGCCTGCGTTGGAGTAAAATAGTTGACCACGCTATTTATTAATGCTTTCAACTCATTACCAGCTTTTATTCTGCTGCTTATGAAGTCTCTTTTTCCCTAGGGTGACCCTGGCCCTCGAGGACAAAGAGGAACTGTTGGTGACATAGGACAAACGGTAATACCTACATTTAAAATTTTTCATTCTAGCTGAAGTGATTCCAGCCAAAAAATTGCAATTAATTTATAATTCAAATACTGATTTAATCCTGCTACACCCTTCTTTCGAAAAAGCCTGAGAAAGCATGAACAGTTGAAAAGGCTTGTCTTGATCTAAATCAAGATTTATTCTTTTGGATTATCCTTTAAGTGTCTGAATTCGGTTTTAATTTATTTTTCCACGTTTGCAGGGTCCAAGAGGATCAGTTGGTTCTTTAGGAAATCCAGGACCTCAGGTGAAAATCTGGATTTACGCTGCTTTACTACGAAAATTTGTTTTTATTTCTTAATTGACAGTATCATTCAAATTTTTTACTTTATTTGCATTCATTTATGAACGAAATATTTAACATTGAGCGATTCATATTGTACAAAACTATTCTCAGATCCATCAGCTTTTTCTGCTTTCATTTTGCGTTGCTCAACGCCGACAGATATGGACAATAATTTGATATTTTTATTTGCACTGATGTTCATTTTGTATATGTAGGGAGAACCTGGAGGGAAAGGAGCTTCTGGACCAAAAGGCATCAAAGGTGCCGAAGGTGACATTGGAGCACCGGGTCCTTCTGGGTCAGTTGGACGGATAGGAAAAACAGTAATGAGTTATTTGTTTTTATTTTTTTTTGTCCTTCTACTTAGTGTTGAATCATTGAATATAAGCTGCATTATATAGTAGCCGTATTACAGAGAAATCTTAACATTTTAAACAGCTCTTTTTTAAACGAGCCTCCAAAAAACAGTTTCCTCAGCTTCACTTAATTGATGCATCTTAAATTTTGGTTTTCTTATCAGAAGATGATCATTAGAGCTATCTTGAGGTGAGAAGTTGGATTCAAGAGCATGCACTCTAGTTTTTATTGCCGAAATGCAATTCATCACACTGCTTTGCTACTTGTCAACTTTATTCCTAAATTGTAATTGCTAACACCCAATTTTCTAGGGTCGAAGCGGAGCTCGTGGTCCTGCCGGCGAACCTGGATTACAAGGAAAGATAGTAAGTCCCGAATTTGTAGTTTCCTATTTTGGCTCACTTTTTATTTGTGTTTTCATTTGAAATAATTGATTTTTCACATTATTTCCTATATTAATTTAAAATGCATATATATTGTGAACAGACTTGATTTCATCCGTGACACCATGAGGTCATGCAAGGGTAAAAAATTCAAGTCAAGTCATGTCTTCCAGTTTTGTTCTTTTTTACTTTTGATATTATTCATAAGATAGAGTTGTCAAAGTTTTAGGTCAATATCTTTCGTGGTTTTCGGTACTTGAAAGTTTGAGAAAAGTAAAATTTTCGACAATTTGTTTATTTTTCTTTCTTTAACATGCAAACCCTATGTTTCGTCATTTTAGCGCTATCAGAATTTAGCAATATAATATATTGAGAAAATTACAAATTAGTTATTCATATAGTTTGAGATTTAAATCGTATGTAAAGTATAAATATCGAAAATATTTGAAGTCAGGATAGTTTGTCATGCTATTTTCATCATTCTAGGGTGCTCGAGGATTGCCTGGTGACCAAGGACGGTCGGGGGTTCCAGGACAAAAGGTATCATTAAACTTCTTATTAGAAATGATAATTACGACTAGATAAAATTTGGTTCGAATGAAATAATATAAATTAAACATCAATTTATGCTAATCGATGATAAAATTTAGTTTTCATTCTAGCCTTTTTTACTTTCATTCTAGCCTTTTTTTCATTCTAGCCTTAGTTTTCACTCTTTCATGCCTTTTAGTTTATTTCGTCGAGGTTTCATTGGAGGCCTTGGGACAAACCTAAAGACGAGCTGCGAGCGAAAAAGAAGACAATTTTGGGACCACGCCCATTAATTAAGCTTAAAATAGATCTCAGAATATTTCTTGCAGCTCGTCTTTATATCTCAAAATATTTCTTTCAATATTTCAAGACGTTTTACAATTTTTAGGCATACTTTGGTCACTTTCTATTAATTATATTTTTAACACGGGATTCATTACTTTGCAATGCCCCCTTAACCTTGAGGTCCCTGCCTGCCCCCCCCCCTTGCCTCCATCTCGGCAGCTTTGGTATTTTTAATCACTCGCTGGTCCATTTTTTATTCATGACCTTAGGTCATTTGCTGCTTTAATATTTCAACTGCAATGAGAAAGGATTTCTATACGTTGCATATTTATATTGCTGCAAATTTATTCTTGGAAAATTTGACTAAGTTGCGTAGCAACGACGAACAAGACATCAAATCTCGTTGTAGCTGCTATTATTCTTTGATAACTAAACAGAAATGGGAATGCTAATTTTTTGTGTTTTATTTTTAAGGGTGCCCAAGGTGAGCGAGGACTGTCTGGATTGTCGGGGCGCAAAGGGTCAGCTGTGAGTTGAGATTTCTTGGATGTGTTAACAGTCATTTCAAATAAATTGCTGGTTACTTTTTTTTAAATAAAACTTTGATTCAATCCAGCTATCGACTTTTTTTGTAAGTTGGCCTATGGCCTAGTAGTGGTAAATATCTCTGTAGAGTATAAAATTAAATATTCTTCCAATGATGTTGAGTGTACGAAGTAACTTGAAATTCGTTGATATTTACACGCAAATGATTCATGAAATCTTTCTACAGGAAGTTAGAAAAAAACTGTTTGTACATTTTTCAACATTAAGTTTCCAAAATTAATTCTATTATATATATATATATATGTGTGTGTATACGTAAACTTGTATTTCAGGGTGCCCCTGGTGTAAACGGTGATACGGGACCTCAAGGACCAATGGTAAGCAATTTTTATATCATATACTCAGCATTTTCTCGTCCAGTAAAACACAAAATGTACCGTTACTTTCCAGAATTGAAATTTGTGTACCATTATAAGTCCCTTATTTTAACCCCGAATTTTTTTGCCATTTTGTCAGTTTATGTGCTCTTTGAACCCTGTATAAATCGCAGAAGACTCTTATTGAGAGAAGCTGTATAGAGCAATTTTCGACTTCTTTTTGTTGCATGTGACACATTTATGTCGAGAATGGATTCCTTGAATTACGTAGAACAGGTGTGAAGTACCGTGGTTTGTTGTATTCCGAGCACCCAAAATTTAGATAACTGCCCATTGGATGTTGAATTACAGAAAAATTGTCTTTTTAAAGGGAATCTGTCCCCTCAGTGATTGGTCAATATGAACAATGGGTTGCCCTGCCTAAACGCATTACCCTGCTCGCACTGGCTAGCCTAGCAGCCATAGTGAACGGTATTTGAAACTGCGAGCGAAGAGCCAACGAAAATGGCGAGTAGATTCAATTACCGGAACTGAATGATGGTCATAGAAGAATTTCATTTTGCTGTTAACGTATTTTTCGCACAAACCAAACAGGAAACAAAAGTTATTTCAACCACAGCTTCACTACATTGGGAACACAGTTATTTGATTCCGAAGCGCTGGAATCAAAGTTGTCTCTGATTGGTTTAAATCGTCTAATTATCGATCAAGCTCAGCAGGGCATGGATTTCACTCTAGTGAAAAGAAACGTCGAGCAAAACAGAGGACAGACTGCCTTTTAATTATATAAAAGACGTGTGTTATTAAACTGTTATTTTCTAGGGTGATCAAGGAGAAGCTGGCCAGGCCGGAGTTGATGGGAAAAGCGGAGTAGTGGTAATTAGCAATTTTTTCTCTCTTTTAAGTGATTCATGCTCAGTACTTCTGTCTCCTGCTTTTACCGATCTTTAAACCTCTGCAAGCACTCTATGGTTTTTTCAAATATTAAGAATTCACAAGTTACTTGCGAGACGAAATTTTACAAACTTTCTAACTAAAAAACCAAGATGCTGGTTTTCTTTTTCCTGAATTTCTTTTGTTTTTAAGGCGTTTCTTGAGTGTGTACTACTTTTTCTGGCTATTCCATGTTGCACGTTCCACGTTTTTCCTATGTTCGTTTCGATGTAAATTAACGTCATGCCTGTCTGCAAAGATACCGAAAGTCCTCTTATGCACCAAAGTTCAGGTTCTAGTAAAGGTAAAAAGAGATTTCATTTCTTGTAGGGGAATCCTGGTTTAGATGGAAAGCCTGGTGTACAAGGTACCCATGGTCCAAGTGGCAAAAGAGGTGCCCCTGGCTTGGATGGGCCAAAAGGTACAAGAGGGACAAACGGAGATGGTGGTGAACCAGGACGATTAGGGGCAAAAGGAGATAAGGTAATGGTTATGCATTTTGAAGATTCCAAAGAAAATCTTGTTTTTGCTTCTAATGATCTTTAACAAATATTTTTCCTGTGGTTGGTTTGGATTGTTTCGTTTTTTATAGCTTGTTATGTTTAATAAACAATTGGCTGAACTGAAAATTGGAATTGAAAAAAGTTGTTTGTTGGTATTGCAAAGTATTGCAAATGAAAGGTTAAAAAGAATGCCCATTCACAAAATTATGATGGCTGATTTTGGTCCAACGTTGAGCTGGAACTAATAGACAAGTGGATTCTAAAAGACTTTTTCAGTCTCCTTCTTTGTGTGATGTTTATATAAGTCTAATGTATTGCGAAAAGGTTACCCTTTGAATGAGCATTGCTATCAATAATGTCATTGTACGATACATTTTGTTTCTATTTGCTGTCTTTTCCTTTTTTAATGAGTATTACCTTGTCACAGGGTGATATTGGACCTGTTGGTCCGGAAGGGTCAATAGGACCTCGTGGACGGCCAGGAGATCGTGGACAAACAGGTTCAGTTGGACTAACGGGTGAAACTGGTGCAAAAGTGAGTTTTTCCAATAATGTCTGAATCTGAGAACGTCTTTTGCTTCTTTTGAACGTCAAGAACGTTTTTTGCGCAGCTCTTTTTGAAATCTGTTCCTTGATATTTTTGTCAAGTTTGCTATTGTCTCCTCTGCCATGTTGGATGGACAGTAACAAGGTTGAGTTTGAAGAATCTGTAGACGATCACTTGAAATGTCAAAGAACGTTTAATGTATGTTTATAACTGTGTGCGTGTTTCTTACACATTTTGATAGAGCTTTCATTTAGATATTACTTAATAAACCTGTTTTAAAATTTTTAATTGTAAAATATATTGATTGTATTATCTGAAAAGATAGCCATAGATCAATATACTCAAAATTGTCAAAAGTAATCTTGTCAATACTAATGCTTTATACACATTAAGAAATGATGCAAAGTGGACATCATTACATCAAAAGAAGAAGAGGCTGACAGCAACATTGTTTCTTCTTGCATGCTAAGTCACTTTCTTGATTTCTGTTTGTGATATTTACAGGGATCTCCTGGCTCCATTGGTCCAGTCGGGCCACCAGGACGAGAGGGTGATCCTGGACAGGACGGTGATCCTGGAGATGACGGTAAACAAGGAAGTCAGGTTAGAAAGTTGTCACCAATCTCGTCATACCACTAATTATGCCTTGTGTGCAGGTTGTCTTTTATGGATAATTGGTTTTTAAAAAATTTCCACAAAGTGTAAAGCAAGACACTCAATGCGTCTGTTTGTACAGAAACATGAACTTGAGAAGTGAATGCTTTGAAATCGCTCAGTGGTATAGTTTTAATCCAAATCTAACTGTATATGTATAATCACTTTATTCTGAAGAAATAATAACAATTCATTGGGTTTTCAAATTGAAACATGAGGCTGTTATTCAATTTCAACATTTATCATTTTAGGGAACCAGGGGAGCCAGAGGCTTGCCTGGAGAAATCGGAAGAATGGTAAGTGTTATTTAACGTGATCAGCTGTGATTTAAACTCGAGTAAGACGTGATTAAGCGCATGATACAATTCCAAACGTGCAATGGCGATAGAAAAGCACCGGCCTGAATTAACCCCCAGTATCCAATGGGAGGGCTTATTCGGAGATTCACGGTAGGCTGCTGTTGTTAAATCATGTAACTTATGGGTTCGTCTTCTTACAAGCAGAGATTCACCTTTTGACCGAAAATATTCCAAGTATCTCCGATAGGCGTCGCGCGTAGCTGCTTTTAATCCCCCCACTTTACCGCTGCTGTACAAAAGAAATAACACTGGTAAATGACGTCAAAATACATCATTACACATAAGTCGGTAGTGAAATCATCCAGTGACCGGGTGGCTTGTCGCGGAATTTTGACTATTCCTGGATGTTTGTTGCACCCGGTTTCTGTGCATCCCCTACTCCAGTGTAATTCCTCTTCGCCCATTAATCCAATTCTAAAGCAGATTTTTGCATTTTAGGGGCCGCGTGGACTGCCTGGAGAGAAAGGTGAAGCTGGTAGAGATGGACGCCCGGTGAGTCTTGCCATTTTTCGGTATTCCAAGAACACTGCGTGTTGTTGTTGTGTTGAAATGAAACCAGCTAGCGTTTGCTGTACAGCATCGAGACATCTACTACTGTCTTTCACTTCAACTCAATTTTATTTGCACACTGTGGTTCTACGGATATTAACAATGGAATGCTGCTATTACGATTTCTGTCTGGACCAAGAGAAAAGTTCGTGATTACGGGTCTTAGTTGCCCAGGGAGCATCCAAGAGACCGGAATTTAAGACATTCACGATAAGCAGAGCTCACAATAGCGGGAATCAGCTGTAATGATATTCCAGTTTTCCACGAGATTGCTTTTTTCCTATTTGCTATTGTTTATCGAAATAATCTGGATGCTAATTTTTTTATTTTGGTCTTACTTTTTGTACTTTGTTATTGCTCTCATTTCTCATCAGTTTCTTCACCGTCTTTTGCAATTACCGTAATAATTCGATTAAACGCCCGGGGCAATTAAAATTTATTATTTTTTTATATTTCAGGGCAATTAAAATAGGGAGCGTTTATTGAATTTGTTCACCCTTCCTAGGCAATATGTTTAAAAAACATCTAATGATGATCGCACATAGCGTGAAACTTTGAGTAGCAATTAAATAAGTCTGCGTCCAGTAGTAATAAATGCTAATCGGAAGTTTTAGAGAAGGAACTTTTGAAAAGAAAGGCAAATTTCACATTGTAACGTTGAAATTTAGAAAGAAGGGCGTATATATATCGTAAATTTTCTTATTTTTTCACGAAATAAAGCTAAAGAATCATTGTAGTACTGTTCTGTGTGTTTCGAATACGTTTAGACGGGGGTGTCTATTCTAGGGGGCGTTTGATAGAGGGAGCGTTTATTGAATTTTAAGATATTTTAAGATAAGGGGCCTTTATTCGAGGGGCGTTTAAAAGAAGGTGGCGTTTAATCGAAGAATTACAGTATGTTAGTTGAATAATCGTACTTTTTCTCAACCATCTACTGTTTTACAGGGAGAAAGAGGATCTGTTGGTCGAACTGGACAAACAGGAAGTCCGGGAGCACAAGGAAAAAACGGAGCAACTGGATTGGCAGGTCTAAATGGAGCAAAAGGAGAAAAGGTATGAGAGATTCAGGGAAGATCTATGGACGTGAATGGATTTTTCTGATGGGGATTGTCTGGAGGCTCATTAAAAACATTCATACTTTTGCTGGAGTAACTCGAAGTTTTGGACGGTCGGGCATGCAACGTTATATTCAACCACGGGGATGCTGAACATTTGACTTATTGCTGCATTTGTGCTAATTGAATACCCTGAACTATATCGTTTCAATTTACTGTGTACGGCTCAGTAGGCCAATCTCAACTTACACTATACGGCTAAACAGTTCCCAATCGTTTTTAAAATGATCAAATTTGAGTTAGAATCATGGTATCTGTTTTATTTATTTCGAACCAAACAAGGCTATATATCATGGGCTCAGATGCAGTGATTGTTTTCTGAAGATTTCTTACGCTTAACGATTTTCAATCAAGCAGACTGTTGTCAAATGGACGCATTTCTTTCCTTTTCTCGTCAAACAACGGACAGTTTTTCAGTATTATAGCTTATGAATCTGTTCTATGTTTATAAGAATTAATAAAATTTTTGGCTGGAGAGGTACACACTAAGATGTACGTATGTTTATGCGGGAATGTGCTTTACAGTCTCCGTATGTACAGTCATTTTATCTCCTGACTTGATTTCTTAGGGAACATCTGGCATGAAGGGTGAGCGGGGTGAAAATGGTCAAGATGGCAAACGTGGGAGCGACGGGCCACGTGGAGTCAAAGGAATGCAAGGAGAATCTGGCCCAAAGGGCACGCAAGGAAGGTTGGGATCTCCTGGCCTCTTAGGAAAACGTGGTCCCGCTGTAAGTAGAAACCAGAAATCTTTTATTATATCTGGAAGTATTATTATTCACTTCTGTTTCATGATTTTGTCTCAATACTTTTTTTTCTGCTAAAGACATTTCATACTGAACTTTGCTTATATCTATGTTTTTATTTAGGGAAGTAAAGGACAACAGGGACCAAGAGGGCCATTTGGAGAAACTGGAGTTAGGGTAAGATAAAAGAATTCATCAAAAATGTCAATTCTTAAGGTAGGATCATGTCAGTTACAGGGATGAAAGCAGATGTAACTCATGGCTGATGTAGTTCACCATGGGTATAAGAAGTAGAAGTTACAAACACGTTGTGTCTTTTGGAAGTATTTCTTAGCTTCAATGTTGATTACAGCTGATATGTTTTGACTATCTGTTTTTCCAGTTTATCTAGTAAAATGAAATGGTGATTTGACATGTTCTTTAATATGCTTCAAATACTCAATTTTAGGGTCCAGATGGATCTGCTGGACAAAAGGGAGCTCGTGGAGAACGCGGAGATAAGGTGTGTTTATATCAACCTCTGCATTGATACATGTACCAGACTTTTTTTGACGAAAATACTTTGCCGCTCGCCATTAAGCTACATACTTCTTTTATGTTACCTTAGTATAATTGAAAACTATGAAAATACTCTTGCAATATTTATTATGGAAAAATGAGTTTGTGTCAGGAATATATAACTATACATCGACAAAAGTTTTAGCAAAATAAAACCACGACCTAGCTTTTTTCGATACTTCCTCGTTACTAAGTGAATCTATTGCATTGTTTTTAATAAACTCTCAAATTTTGTTACAGGGAGAAAGTGGTGCTCCTGGGGAGCCAGGTCCTCAAGGACCGGGGGGTATTGTGGTATGCGGTTTATAGTTTTATTACCTACTAGCTTTTTGTATTACTTTTGTACTAGAAATGTTTGGCATTTGACGATCCAGTTACAGTTATATACGACAGATTTAGGAAATTTTACTGAACTTTCAAAATATACGAAATAGTCAGGAGTCATGTTGTCCCTGCTCATTCAGCGACATTCATTCAGTGACTCTGTGAATTCTGTGAATGTTATAAAGCAGACAAGCTATGTATGTAAGAGTAATTGTGAACGTTTTGATCTGACAATGAAGATGAATAGAACCTGCTTAAGAGGGACTAAACCCCGTCAAAACTGGGTTTAATATTATTTATGTTCAAAAGAGGATACACTGGACAGGCTGTCCGCCAGATTCCACGAATCTTATAGTGAGTTTAGATAAAAGGTAATACGCAAGGAAACAAAGCAAAGCGACGACGAGAATCCAGTTTATTGTGAAATCGAATTTTGAAATAGATTAAATGCAAAGCTGATATTTTAAACTAAAAGCAAATTAAAAGTTATCGTTATCAAGCATCATTTCTTTTTTCTATTTTCAAAGGGTCAACTTGGAGAAGCAGGCGAGAAGGGCTCAACAGGATCCAATGGCTCCCCTGTAAATATACTAAGTTTCTTGACGTTTTCCTTTTTGTGTTAGTCAATGCCTCTCATATTGTGTGTTAGGTTACACCCCTGTCAATATTGACTTGTTGCATTGCATAACTACACCATAGTTTTCTACAGCATAAAATTAGGGGAATTTTAGTGATTAATCAAAATTAAAGGAAAACTGACTTGTCTAGAATTTCACCATCGCAATCGTTTTTATTCATCAAAGTTACTGTGGGATGTTTATTTTATGTTGAAGCCTACGTCACCTTGAATTTAGCAATGATAACATTCTTTCTGTTTTTGCCAAATTTTTTGCAATATCCTTTGTTTATATCCGGTGTTTTTTGCAAAAGTTTCAGTGCGATTTTTATGTCCTGTGAGTATTTATAATAAAGAATCATATTATTGCAAATTTATTCGAAATTTGCCAAACATATGACATATCTTCTAATACTGTACCAGTCTTTTGTTGATAGTGAATCAATCCTTACTTCGTATTCTCTAATACTCGTAGGGTATCACTGGAAGGCAAGGTGATATTGGACTTCCCGGCCCCGAAGGAATGCAGGTATGCCACAAGCTTTGCAAAACTGACGTCATCAAATGAGTTTCAGTCTGTGCTGCTGTTTGAAAATGCCTTGTTTTGTTTGAATTTTTTTTAAATTTAAAACACTGGCTAGCCGAAACAAAAAGGAGGGCTTGTTAGCACCCCCTTGACGATTGTTTTGGTATCCATGTACCGTTTTGCTTAGAATTTTTTAGGATGGAATTTAATTTTAAAGGCTCACGTGGTTTTGGTTGAGAAAATCTTTTATACAGCAGTTTTAAAATCCTTCTTTTCTGGCCAAACAATGTTTAGTCGCGACATGTTAAATGCTAAGAAAAATTTATTTATCGCCTAAGTGACACGCAAGTAGGATAGTCAATGACCATTTTTCATCTTTTTACCAACTTTTAGGGTGAAACTGGGTCACCAGGATCCCGTGGAGCTCCAGGAAAGACTGGTTTGAAGGGATATTCGGGTGAACCAGGCAGTCCAGGACCAATTGGAACATCAGGATCGCCAGTAAGTCCATCGATTAAACTTGCTAAAATTTGAGAGGAAATATTTGAACCATCCTTTGTGTTTTGTTACTCTTTTTGCAGAGTCTTTTTTGCTTTTATAAAAAACATTTCTTGTTTCTTTTCAAGGGGAGAAATGGCAGAACAGGTAGCAATGGTGAGCCAGGGGATGAAGGACCTCAGGTGAAAAGATTTTTCTTTAGTATCTGTTCATTAATAATCTTGTACGAATTTTCACATGTTCAAATATAGATTGAAGAAAGTAATTCTCCAAAATTTCGTTTCTCTTTAAAACTCAAAATCGGGATTCTGGACAACTCTTTTCAATTTTGCCTTAGGGTGCTCAAGGAGCTTCTGGAGAAGCAGGTCCCAGAGGAATGGAAGGTTCAAGGGTGAGTCTTACAAAATCTTTCTTGCGTTTTTGGCCAACCGTGTCTAGTAAATGTTTGCTGCGCTATTCCCTGTAAGATGGGGTTAGATTGAGCGTCAGAATTTATTTTGTTCATCAAACTTCAGGCATATTTCATAGGCATGGCGAATGAAAATGAAATGCTTTTCTACCACATCGTCTTACTAGCCCTCTTTCCGTGCGATATTCAAATTGTATGTTTCTTCAAAGGGAGTTAGTGGACCACCAGGAATGGTCGGAGCCGTTGGACTTCAAGGAATTAAAGGAGATTCTGGAAATAATGGAATTTCTGGAACCCCCGGAAATAAAGGACGAGTGGTGAGTCCGTTTTTATTTATCGCACCTGTTGTAGTTTATTTCACGATTTGGTAACTTGAAAGACGACAAAATTTTCTTATAGTTTCAAAAAAACTTCCAATTACTAGCAAGAGAACGCCCAGGTTAACAACAGGAAACTTTAACTGCTAATTTTGGCAATGTGTTGCCATTCCAAAATCATAGAATGGCATTGCAAAGTATTTTACCAGAATGTTACCCTCTCCCCACCAATATATCTTCGTCCGATCTAAACTAACTTTTACCTGAAGTGGATTTCTCAAAAAGTATTGTTTTTAGTAAAATAAAGTTCTGCTGTGGAGTTGAGATTATTAAAGTGCTTATGTCTTATTTTAACATCGATGCTGTATTAATGTTTCATCCTCTTGTACTGAGACTCATACGACAATATTTGGTTTAAGTTCCATATTAAGTTCCATCGGTCTAGATCGATGCGTTCAGCCAGCACAGCCCGCTCTTAATTGTATTGAAACAACCAATGAGTTGTGATTTTCGCAGCTTGTTGGTCTAAATGCTGCTGAACTTTACGTCGATAATTTTTTATTATTGTTTGTCTAATTTAATTTTAGGGAGCAGTTGGACCGGCGGGACCAGCCGGACCTCCAGGACAGTCTGGAACAGAAGTATGTACTTGATTAGACCATTGTTTAGATTATTTTGCTTCTTGTGTTTCTCTAACCTACTTTTTGTACCTTTTGGACAGACAAATAGATTGTTTCTCCCTTTGGTTAAGGCATCTTACTTTGTAAGCAAAAACCAATTTGAATGTTCTTAGAATTCATAGTACTAAGTATTTCTGAAGCGAAATATTTTATTGCTGTTCACACATTTCAACACGAACCAATCAGCATGAAAATTTTTCACCCTTTTACACAACATTTTCCCGTTCAACTTTCCTGTGCACAGTTTTGTTTTCGTCGCATATTTGAATTGGAAAAAGTATTTCATTAAAGCATCTGTTCGTTTTCAGAACAAAGATAAGAAGCAAATTTTGAGAGATAATTTCGAGTCACTATCTCTTCCTTGAATGATTTATACTTAATTTTCAATCTAGGGATCGCCTGGTGAAGATGGTGCTCCCGGAACTCACGGAAAGCGAGGGGGAAAGGGTGAAGCTGGAGACCCCGGTATTGTTGGATATCCGGGCAGACAAGGAAGCCCGGGTCGACCCGGACTTATGGGAGAGGAAGGCGCCATGGGTGCCCCGGGTCAAGCGGTGAGGTTTTTTCTCTCTGATAATGTTTTTGGAGTGATAAATATAATTTTAACTCATTAAGACTTATTTCACTACCAAACTTTGGCTTGTTTGATTGTTCCAAAAAGATATTGAACTCTCCTAGTTTTATTATCATAGGGCTATTTCTTTCATATTCGTTGTATAAAATGTTTTGTGAATAAGTAAGTGGGTTTCGCAGTCGGCTACGTCCAATTATTTATTCGACGGAATAGTGAATTTATTATGTATATATCTGGTTTATTAACATAGTTTATCATAAAATCATAGACTCTAAATCATGAAATTTATTGGTTTGTTGCTTTGTTAAAATCCACCCCCCCCCCTCTTCTGGAAGTTTTCACCCACAAAGATTTCTTTTATCTTCAATATTCTCTTCCAGGGCTCACCGGGGGCTTCAGGAAGTGTTGGCGCTGCTGGTGACCGAGGTTTCCCTGGGCGAAATGGAGTAAAAGGAAGTAAGGGTTTCCGTGGACCGAAAGGTGGGAAAGGAGACAAAGGTTGGCGTGGATTTAAAGGCGGCCGAGGGCAAAGAGGCCTTCGTGGACAAGTCGGTGACCAAGGGAATGATGGTAAACCTGGTAAAATTGGTTATTCGGTAAGTTGAGCTCTTGGCTAGAATTCATTGTAGTTTTAAAGATAGGATGCCTATCCTGTGAGGCAAGTTTCTTATAAAAGCATGAGCATACATCCACAGGGCATTGAAATCCCTATTTCAAATAGCATTTAAATCCTCATTTTGAAGTGCATCGAATTCCTCGTTACAAAAATCGAAACCCCCTAATATTACATTGTAAAATTATATGTAACTTTAAACGAGAAAGGCATGTATACTTGGCTTGTTTTAGCCAGCAGGCTCATGAAAGTTCGTCTTGATAATATGAAGAACGCCTTTCAGCCGTTTACACTGCTGGCTGTAGATTAATTTTTTTTATATTTTGCTTTGAATTTCGCGGTTCCAAACCGAAACTTTTCTGCAATGAAAGTGGATTTAGAACAGCGGTCAAGCTGCATCACTATGTTCCTATCAACATTCAGGGTCCAAAAGGATATCGTGGAAGACCTGGTGTTGATGGAGAAGCAGGGGAAGGTGGCTTACCTGGTAACCAAGGAAGGCTTGGTGATGAGGGAGGAAGAGGCAGAAGTGGTCAAGATGGTTACCCCGGGCCCCCTGGACCTTCAGGCCCCCCTGGGCTACCAGGCTCTTCAGGCATTCTATCAGGGAGTCTCGGGCAGTTGATCGGAAATCAGCGAGCAGAGAAAGGCCCCGCATACCAGCAAGCATATCAAGGATATTACCAACAACAGTTCCAGCAAAGATATTACAGTGGAAGAACAGTTGACAAAGATAGCAGCTCAGAGAACGAAACACCAAAGGTAAGACTAGGAATGTATTTCGTTCACTGTAGTTAACTTTCGCAGTTGTCTTCATGCTTATGAGAATTTCGTGCTAGAATGGAATGACAAATTATACAGTCTTGGCAGATTCATTAACTGTTAAAATTATCATATAAAATGAGATTATCTCTAGCCATATTTAGATTGGCCTTCAGCTGTCTTTGTTTTATGGTAACTGCTAAGAGAAAGCTAAAAAATGTTTAGCCAATTTCGATACTGTTAATAAGAGTCTGTTTTTTCTTGCATTGGAAAGGAAATTATTTTTAATTCTTCCTTATTCGCCTGTTATGTCGTCCTTATGTTGCATTGATTAAGCCTTCTGTAAAGCCTCTGTTTTTGACAGCTCGACAGGGAAGGAGTGTTTAGATATCTTGGTCTTTTGGAATTGGAGATTCAAGCCTTGCAGCGACCAGACGGTAGTAGGGCCTACCCTGGAAAAACCTGCCGTGACCTGCAAATGTGCTTCTCGGACTTGAAAAGTGGTAAGTCATTTATTATCGTCAAATTTCTATGAGACAATTTTTCAATCTTTCCTGTTGGGTTTTAATGCCTACTTAAGGGCAAAAATTTTCTTGCTATAAATTAGCTCTATATCTTCAAGGCGAATATTGGATCGATCCAAATCTTGGTGCTCCAAACGATGCATTCAAGGCATACTGCAATTTCACAAGTGGAGAGACATGCATTTCACCCCAGACTACTATGCACCAGAGAAAGAAATGGGTCAGCAGTGGAAAAGATGGCTTCAAGTGGATGGTCGACGAACTGCTGAAAGAGCAGGTGATTAGCAGCATCTCAGTTTTGCATCTGTTACCCATTTATTTCATTTCACCCCTCCAGTGGATTTGAATCCCTATTGCCTTTTTACAGAAAAAAGCAAAATTGAAAGGACTTAAATTCGTCGTATATCAAATTTTCTATTCATGCCTAACTTAATAGCAAGAGACTGCAACTCTCTGCTTTGTGGAGTTTCATTTGACATGTCGACAAACTTCCTTGCCTCTTTAATAATGTTTCAAAGATTCTTTAATAATACCGACCAAATATTCTTGCATCTTTCTCTGCACGTGTATAGATTCATTTCCCACGGATTTTGGTTCTTTGCATTAACATAACTTTTCTGCAGAAGACATTATTACTAGAAAATGAATAGAGAGAACTAAGTTTATCGAACTAAGCAATCTACATCATATGACTATCCAGCATAGATATAAAATTTTTCATAAATCTTTTTATGATGCTACATCACACGATATATTCTGCTTAGATTAGATTGCTCCATGGTACAATGACACCACTAAGCTATTTAGTAGTGTACATAGAATTTCTATTAGGTAACTCATTTTGCTACTTAGAGGTCCACCGAAGGCTATTGATGTTTCCAGTTAAGCTGAGCGTGTTTTTAGTTTCCAGCCAGAAGTATTCGTATGCAGCATCGTATCGTTATAATCTGAAGCGCAGTTGATTTTGCTCTGTTCTGCAGGTGGAGTACCTTGCTGATGAGACCCAACTGAGACTTTTGCGAATGAACAGTTTCTCTGTGCGTCAAAATGTCACTTACCATTGCAAAAACTCGCATGCCCACAAAGATTCGTCTGGCAAGGAGATGACTTTCGTCAAACTAATGAGCAATGATAACGTCGAAATGCACAAAAATTCCCACGTCGTCAACCGCCCGTACGTTATATCAGACGGCTGCAGCGTAAGTGCTTAGATTTCTCTTCTTTGGTTTTGTTTGCGTATTTTATTTGCTGTGACGTCATATGTAAAGCAGTAGAGTGGTGAAATGACGGCGTCTTGTATAATTGATTTGTGATTTTTTATAGCTTTGGTCACACCCTGCAAAAACATCATATCCTGCACCCTAAATTGAATGGGTTATAGCTAAATGTGCACAGACGCTCTGCCTATCGAATATCTGTAATTTGGTCTTGCTTTTGCTCTTAGAATTAACCAGCCAAACCAGAACAAAGGTGATCTTCTTAGCAAACACATTTCTTAAACATATCCCAGGGGCCAATTTGTAACAGATCTTGCACAATAAGAGATCTTCTTTGGTGTTCTTTTAGGTTATTTGATCAAAAGATATAATTCTAAAACATGGAAACAATAAGGGCTCTGGCAAGTGTTGTTCGCAAACAATAAGGGCTCTGGCAAGTGTTGTTCGAGTCATTTGGCTACAAGGGCCGGTTTAAAGATCTTAGATTGCGATACCATATTGCTTAATTCATAGCGTGTAGGATTTATTTTTGAATCAGCGATTTTTCTAGGCCTGGCGAGTTGTGGAAAGCAATCCGTTACTGATATCTTAATTGATCTCTTAGGTAAAGGATGGCCAATGGCACAAGACCATTTTTGAAATGACGTCAAAGCTCATGTCCAGGCTCCCGATCAAGGATGTTGCAGTTTTTGATGTTGCTGATCCCGGCGAGGAGTTTGGCGTGGAGTTAGGGCCTGTGTGTTTCACATAAGCCTTGGATAAAGAAAACTCTATGAAGTGATTCGCGACATGAATTTCATGTTGCAGTTTAGGACAGTGATCGGCACTTTGTTACAGAAAGTGACAATCAATATAGCAAAAACATTAGTATGGATTTTGACATATCGTTTACGTATTTTTATCACAATCACACACGTAGTTAGAATAGATTATTGCGCGCGCGGGGAGGACCTTTTTAAAAGATATTAGTGGGCGGGAATAGAGGGTGGTTTAGTATTTTTTTGATTCGCTGCATGAAGATTTAGACATTTGTTATGTGTTGCCTTTCTTTCTTGCATTCTGTTGCACTTGGAGCTGCTTATCTTTCAATCCACCTCCTCGTAGTTTATTTCAAAATGGCGTATACGGTGTACGACCTGCATGGTCTTGTTCTGTGAATACTGCTTGAAAACTATTTTCCTCGAGTAGTAAGGAGAGCTTTGGATAACAGCGAGGTTTATGCTCAGGTGTTGAGGTAAGCCTGTCACAAATATATAAGCTGCAGCCTCTACGGTTGTGATGTATTCGGCAGTTGAAAAATTTAATGGACTGAAATTGCTTAGCACTTTGAAGAGAAGAAAGAGCAGGGCTCTGCAATTTGATTCTTATTTGTGCTTATATATTCAAAATAAGCATAATACGATACTCGGAAATTCCTTTCATCAGACCTTAGAAGTTTTGCGCATTCGAGAAGGGGGCAAAAGAAGATTCAATAGAAACATTCGAAATGATAAAAATCATGTAGAAAAATTGCTCCCAAGCATTTAGGAACCCCCCGGGGGGCTACTCCCATTATGGCTTAGCGGGGTGTCCAGTCAGGGTCAAAGAGAGCTAAAGCTAAAATGTTAAAAATTTACCCTCAAATGGTAGTCTTTATTGATAATAACCCTCAAATGGTAGCATAAGAACCCAAATTAAGTCTTTGGTAGCATCCATTTCTTTGTGCGCACCTGGTCCTTCTTTGACAAATTTCTTCGCCAAGGTAAAGTCTTGCTGATTATCTAATCGCAAGATAAACTAAGCCGTGTTGTGTTATTATCGAAACTGGGCCATTTGGTAAGACCATTAAATCGACTGGACCCCCCTGTCAGGCCTCAATGGAAGTACCCTCTCCGGGTTAGCAACACGAACTTGACAGACGTGCTTCCTTTCCGTTCCCTTTTCGATATACAGATTTATTAGTGATCTATCCTAGTTTCTTTTATTTATTAAGGAATTAAAGATTCTTAGCAAAGCTAACAGATCAGAGTTATCAGCGTTTATAGTCGCCCATACATTATTAGAAACAGCATTCATTATATGAAAGTGGAAGACTTTTGGAAAGGAATGCATTTGCTAAATAAATAGCAAAGTTGTCAGATTACGCGCAAAAGAAGGAGGGAAGCCTTGTGAATCTGGAAGGTAAAACTAAGGCAATCCACGGGGACTTGAACACGATGTAAATATATAATTTTTTGTATTGAATTGTTTGAAAATGTCTGCTTGTTTCAAACGAATCGAAAATGCACAATCGATCGAATCAAACACACGAGCCCAGTAAAGGACATTGTGTCTTAAAATAATTTAAATATTTCATGCTTTTTTAATACTTTATTTGTCAGCTGTTCAGGTCTTTTGTGGCCTTAACGTGTTCAATCCAAACTCCCTCTTAACCTCTCTTACTTGATCTTCGTATCACTCCATACATACATCTTAAGTAAGGGAACAAAAAGGAAAAATACCATCGTGTGCATCATTTGTGAATATATAATTTATTCAAATAGTTATTTACACAGAAAGATGTTAATGTAACAAAGCGAAAGAAAGCAGCCTAGTGTCATCTGTCAAAAACAATCATTTCTTGACAATAATTGCTCGAACCATTTGTTGCTTAAATTTCGATTTACCCATTGCAGGTGGGGTAGGGTGATTGTAGGGGCTCAAAAATAAAAAGGGTTATCTGACGATATCATACAAATTATATCAATACAACAATTATACAAATTATCGATCCAATGGCATCATACAAATTTTCAGCTTGTTTACTTTGATTACTTGGGTGCAAAATAGTTTTCTTGACCAAACAAATTCATTTCATTTTATCAAAGGTAAGGTATCCTGTCATTATTAATTCTTATTTATCGAAAGGGCTATTCTCTTCAATACTTTTCAGTTTCCTTGTCATAACTGAAGAAAAAATGAACGACGTTGCCAAGGCGAATTTAGAAGTTCCAAAACGACGGCAAGGTTAAATATTGCATTTCAAGCTGAACTACGCATGTTGATAGCAAATTACAACAAGATTACTTCTAGATAAATTTCTGGCAGCACATTTAATACCGAACATTGGTATAAATATCAATTACCAAACTTGTTACATGCAAACATCACAATAAACATACGGAGGGCAAACAACAGCTCAACATGAAAAGTTTTTCTACAAAACATTAACCATTAAACTTTCCGTATAATGAAAAACAAGCTTGAATTTAATAACATGTTAGTCATGGATAACAGGTGTTTAGGTGTTTTTGGAGCATGAAGGAAGACTTTTACAAATAGGCTTAAACCGTTGATTGACAAAGTCCGTCACAAAAATCATGCACCACTTTTAACAATTAGGACACTGTCTATTTAACAAATTTTGAAACTTTGTTGATGCAAAGACAAGTATATGTAAGAAATGTTAATCTTAAAATCTATATTGCTCACAAATACCAAAATCTGTTAACAGAAGAGAAAAAGATGAACTGGCACAATTCATTTAACTTTCCCCAACATAGCCTAAAGTACTGTTCTAAGAGTAAGATTTTGCAGATCTATTTCCTTTAACTAATGTTGACAAAAAAATATGCTCAAAAATTTCTTTTAAAAATATTTTTTATAAGGGCTTTGAATCAATGCACGACAAATCAGAATGGCGAAGCCAGAATCTAAACTAATCTAACACAATCACTTTACCCAAACTGCGGAAGAATATTTGCATTCTCGTGGCAGTGGAAAGGCTCACAAATCTCTGAAATATGCTTCGCTCAGTGCACTTCTTGCAGATATCCTTTGACATGGCTCGTAAATGAGCATTTTCTAAAAATGAATAGATTAAACAAATCAATCGGAATGGTTTTCAGTGCATTCAGGGACATTGACAACAAAGCAAAATAAAAGAATCTATGAAAACTTTTTGTGAGTTTTTGTTAAACTGGTTGAGGAACATTGTAATAGTCAAGTGCCCTTATAAAGCATTAACTTTTGTCAGAATCATAGTTATGTCTATACCCTTGACAAGACTAAAGCAGTGACACCCCTAAGGACGATTATGCATCAATAGAATTATAATTGAAAAACTGCTTAGATTTTAAATATCTCTAGCACCACCCCATGGCACGTAAGCTAAAATGGGCTCAGTCTGACAATTTCTGGACAAAATTCTGTCATTATATATTAGGGATGGATAAATCTTAAAAAACATTTCTGATACTTTTGGTACAGGATCAGAGACATTTGATGTATGCATTGTCTTCATATTTTGTTTAATTTTACTGCATGAAACTATAATTTGGTAATTTTGGGTTGTTTTGCATAGTAGAGTCCTTTTTAAGAATAGGACAGATATTTTTCCAGGCTGACCCTCATCATGTTGAGCCACATGGGACCTAAATTCAAGTATGTGCTATGCAAATTTGGTCAATTTTAAGTTACGTATTTATTCCCATTATAAACTGTTTCGGCACATTTCATCTTTGTTGACAAGAAAATCCAATGTATTGTACGAATGAAAACCAAATAACAGCATACCATGAGTAAATCAGTTCCATCTTTATCAAGCTGTGGGATAATCTTCTGAAGATCTTGACTTTTCCATTTTGGAAAATCTTGTTTAAATTCTTTGAGGTGCCCAACACCAGGCCATATAGTTTCATCAGGGGTACCAAGTGTTCTGAATTGAAAATTCAGATGATACAGTTCTTATAAAGAAATGATAACTCAGCTATTAGCAATCTTTTTATGTAGCATTCATTATTGTAGAATACCCAAAAATGGCTTAATGGTATTTTTAAGAAGGTTTAAAAATATTTTTATGAAAGGATGCCCTTTCTTCATTTTCAAATATCTTCCCTCAATTTGAGTTCATTTGAAAAACTTGTAACTCCTTGTAATTGAAAATCTGCTGTGTGAAGAACTTTTATGCAAATTTCAAGGTTTGAGAATTTTCATGTTTGAACCCACTTTCATTATTTCTATTTTCAAGATGATACTCTAATTTGAAGCCTATAAAGTTGGAAAGTCTGAATGTTAACAATGATAATTGGCTTGTTTCAATTTAAACTCTAACACTAAAGCTTTCTAATTAACTATAAATAGATTAAAATTGGACAAGAAAAGGAAATTTTCTTTGTCTCTACAGTTTATGTTAGTATGAAGAAAAAATATAGAAAAGCAACAGAGCAAGTACCTGAAAATTCTAAAAAGTTGATCAATTTCAGAGTCACCAGGAAAAAGTGCTTTTCTTGTCACCTTTAGAGAAAATATAAAAAATATAGTTTGTTATATTATTGTTTTAATTGTTATGAGATTGGCAGCAGTATCACAAGAAAAGAATAATGAATTATTCAATTGCTGCCAATTAATAACGAGTGTGAAATATGCTTTATTCCAACAAATTTCTTCTTCATCTTTCATATTAAGTATCTAAAAAGTTAAGCTAAATCTCAGATATACATAAAAGGGAAAAGAGACTTCAGTGGATTTTATATAATAAACAGTGTTTATCATTAACTAAATAGGTTCTAATTTGAGTATGTGGTTAACATCATTGGTACTGTTATCCTGGCCTTTATAAAGAAAATCTCCAACAGAATATTACAAGAAAAGAGAAGAGAAGAAGAAGAAAATAGAATGTTCTTAACTTCTTTTAACATACCATTTCTGCAAATATGCAACCAATGCTCCAGATATCAACAGAACAGGAATAGAATTTGCAGCCTAAGAGAATTTCTGGAGACCTGTACCATAATGTGACAACTTCATGGGTGTATGTTCTCACGGGTACCCCAAATGTTCGAGCAAGCCCAAAGTCTGCAAGCTTAATATTACCTTGAACATCTATTAACAGGTTTTGTGGTTTCAGGTCTCTGTGGAGTATTCGATGGGCATGGCAATAGGCAATTCCACTCAACAACTGATACAAGTAACTCTAAAAGATTTGACATATTAAAATATTGCATAGCAAGTAAAGAAGTTTGCTTATCAATCAATGCAAACATTTTCTTACTTGTACAGAACTTGAAAAAGGCTTTGAAAGAAGCAAACATTTTAAAATATAATACAAAAAGCTTTTTTGTCTCCTCTGAGTATAAAACATCAGAATAAGGGCCTGAAATAACACAATGGAAAATATATACATAGTTGTGGATCAAAATAGGCCAATAAGAAAAATGCAAGCATATGACCAGCATAGTTGTTCAATCAGTGCTGCATGCCTATAGAAAAATTACCACTGTGCAAGAGAGAAAACAAACTCCTTCTGTCTACACAATGGCTGCATTTTTGTTTATATGGAGATCAATTCCAAAACTGCTAGATGAAAAGATGACCGGGTTCTTCCAATTATCTGAAACATGTCATCATTATAGACTTTTTTGAACAAACCACAAATTCATTTCCCTTGATCAGCATTTTATTTTTCTTCTTTGTTTACAAAATTCAATGTTGTTGCTTGGAGATCTAAGCTTAAATTTTTTCATTCAGAATAATATAAAACATTGTCATATTTCTTATCTTAAATTTAAGCATCTTGACATGTCAACTTGAAATGTAGCATAGGTGGAATACCTTTACAAGTTTTGGTTCTAGACTCCCAGCAGGAGCAGTATCCATATATTTTTTCAAGTCTTGGCTCAGATACTCGAAAACCAAATAAAGCTTCTTATCACTGTATATAACATCTAACAATCTAAAAGAAAAGATATAATTTTAGTCTTATTCTAAGAAGGGGGATAGTGGTGTTGATTTTAAATTACATCTTTAGATCATGAATAATCATTATGTGGAACTTGAAAGTTTTCACAATGAACTAAAATTGAAATGTTTTTGTTCGAATGGCAAAGCCCTCTTATCCAATGTAACAAACTTGAGTAAGCAATGTTGGACAGTAATAACAATGTCAAGATAGACAAATTCTATGATAATTGACAAGGCTAGGTTATCTTTTTCATCAAACTTAAAATCTTTCAAAAGACTGCTAGAATAGAATTTAAAACTAAATTTACCTGACAATATTAGGGTGAGAGACTTCTTTTAATAAGGCTATTTCCCTTATTGCAGTGCTAGGAACACCATCAGTTTCCCTGAAGAAATCAAAACTGTTTGTAAGAATTGATAAATATATATATATGAATTATCATTCCCACTTTCAGCTACAGGGAAATCAATATTGAAAAGAAACCAAAAAAACTCCTTTTGCAATAAGATTGTGTGTATATTGTTTCACTTAATTTTTTGTAATTCATTGCACAGAAATTAGTTCTTGTCAATTAGACTGATAATTTTTTTCTTTCCGTGTAAGCTTTTGTTGCAGAACTTGTGAATTGATGTATGAGTGTTTCCTCCTTGTTCTCTTGCTCATAAGTTCATTATTATCTTAGTTAATTTTCAAAGCCTTAGTAGCCTAGAATTCTGAATAAAACCAAATTCAAGGAAACAAAATTCATTGCAGCCCAAAAGAACAAATTTATGTCTGCCAACAAATTTTGGGGCAGGCTATCATTTAAAACCTTAAAGCTTTTAATAGATAGAAGAAATCATTTAAATAAAAATCAGTTTAGACATTTGCAGCATTGCAGCTTCAAATACTTTTCATATTTAGATATATGAACAAGCCCAGCCCAGCCTAATATTATCAATTAGATATACCACAAGCCCAACCAAACACCAAACTAAGAATTTTGGCATTTCCATTTAAGAAAAAAGAGAGGGTGCACATTGCCAGAAAAGTTGCATCTCATAACTCCTGTCCACTCTCTTGCCTCAGTGACGTGGATATCTTTTACAGGCTGCTTATCTTTTATTTGCTTCACAATTTCTTCCTTTCGACACGCTGATTTGTATAGCGACACGTTTGTTAATTAAAATAGAATATGAGTATGAGGGCTTTAAAATCTTACGAATCGAGTCGTATCTTCTTTAAGGCTACTGTCTTTCCAGTTGATTTGTCTCTTGCTTTATAGACAATTCCATAAGTCCCCTCGCCAATTTTTTCCACCCTTTCAAAACCATCCATCCCTCCATGCATTCAAATCCAAGAGGCTCCTCCTAATTCGCAACCATGCTGAATTATTCACTTAATTTGTGAATTTAATATGCGCAATTTCAAATCTAACTATTTCAGTCTAAGTTTCTTGATAACTTCTCAAAAAATAACATAAATTTAATACAATTTTTTTATATCTGGATAGGCTTCTGCTTCTGCCAAAAAAGTTTCTATTGACGACTAACTTTTTTCGCGCGCTTTCGTATGATACGGCCTCGTTATAGAATTATTTATAAGAGGTTGCGAATGAATAGGAGGCATTCCTAGCGGGAATGTTGGGAATTCAAAATTCGAATGGATAGGCCCACGTCTTTGCTGTATTTAGATACTTGAAAATGAAGAGAAGCTCGCGACGGAAATCCAAAGCTCCAGATACTAAATGTTTTAAGGAAGAGACAAGCAAGCAAGAAGCTGTTGTTGATCAAGATGAAGTAGATCCATCTGATCTGAAGTTAGCAAGGGTGCTGCTAAAAAGAAGACTTTTTGGGATGGATGTTCCCTCGAAATTTTGGTTGAGTTTTGGCTTAGAAAACCAGAAGAGGTAGGAAGCATTTGCATCAGATTTAAAGAAGCATGTGCTGAGTTTCTAAGAGGGATCACATTTTGCAGATATGTTTTATGTTGTCACTCGATTCTCTATATTTCCAAGCAAAAAACTTCAAATACATGCTTTGCGACGGTCAAGGGCCTCGTGCGTCCATGCTTGGAAAGTTTCTAAGAATTCAATCATTCAAGCAACTTTTGAGTTTTAGCTGTCTAAAGTAAATGCCGAGAATCAAATCTGTTATTGATGATTTTTGATGATATTTGTTCATTAAGGGTTTGCTCCTCCTAAGGTCTGTTCACAAAAGTGAATTAACAATTCTAATGCCCCTTCTTTGGTGTGCAAACAATTAATGCGCAGTGTGTTAAATTAAGAACTTCTTTAGGTGTTAATTATGCATATATCTATCTAATTTTCTACTTCTTTTTTATATATTCTCATAAAGTTTTACAAAACTGACAAACTACAAGACAATGCCACAGGGATGATGGAAATACTTAGCAACCCTGTGACCATTACATTAAATAAACATTATAAATATAACTTAACAAATAAAAATCACAACTATTAAATTGAACAAAAAACACATTGACAAAAACTAAACAAAATTTATGAAAGACAAATTACATAGGAGAGAAGATTTTTAAAACTACTTAATGAAACCTTTCAGGGGCCATGGTGCATTCCATGTACTTAGGCCCAAAGATCTTCGGCATACACTCAGGTTTTTTTTGGCGTTTGGCGTGCAAACCAATAAAAATCTTTGTGCGTACTTTAAATTTTTGTAAGTTGGCATGCTAAACATGAAGCCATGTACATAGTTAAATGTAAAATAAAGACTCACACACCACAGTTTTCTCTAATAATCAATTTTCTTTGTCTGGTGCAACAATGTTTACAGTTTTACTAACTGCTTTTATATTATCTGCGTACCTAAACAAATGCTCCGGTGGACCTTCTGCATACAGTTGACATGGAATGGGCCCTGGTTCAGAGGTCTGGGTATATTTTAATGTTGCCTCAAGATTGCTTGCATTTGAATTCAAAGATAATTTTTTATGACAATAAAGAAGTTGCAGTAAAGCTGCATTTGAAAGGTCTGTTAATCCATGGGGTTGCAATATAGTCTTCACATTGTCGAGAAGAGCACTTGTTTTTAAGTTACTGCAAACCAAATGTTCATATCATCACAGGTTGCAGTGGAGCATAAAGGCTATTGTTATATTTTGCCACTCACAACCATGAAAAACAAACATGTTTCCTTGTTTGACATTTAACAATAGATAATTTAATAGTTTTTCAATCTTTCAATTTGACAATTTGAAAAAACCTCTTACTAGGCAGCTGATAGATGTTTTTGAGCAATGTGTCAAATTTGGAGAAAGCAATTCTGCTTTAGTTATTGGCCCTAGAGGAAGTGGAAAGACAAAGGTAATCTTAACAGCAATATAATTTTACAGCTGTGCACATACTAGTTACCTAGGTGATATCATTTTGAAGTTTGATCAAATTGAGATTGTTGGCTTGAATTATTTTTGTAGATCATGGCCTGCTTTTTGTGAATAAAATAACTCTTTATGCTATGTTTTTATTTCTCAATCAAAGAATTAATCATTAAAATGATAATTCTATTTATGGACAGGTCACCAGCTTTATCTAAAAAACTACTTTTTCACCCTTATCACATAGATTTTTTCTTTGTATTTTTGGCTTAGATACCATAGTTGTTTTGAAATGCTTTAACGATCATATATTTCTTTTTAGCTGATTGAAGCTGCCCTTCATGATTTAGAAGAATCATCAGAAAATTATTTTGTTGTATTTTTAAATGGTGAGAACTAAAATACTTTACTAAAGAGCTACCTGTCAAAGCTTTATATATCAAGTCTTTCTAAGATAGATGATGTTTTGTACCTTGTCACTGAGAGGGGACAGGGAGGTCAAGTTGTCCCCGGGTCTCTTGCTGCTGGGCCTCATATCATTTGTATAATTTCCAAGTGTCAAGGAAAGATTTCTGATAGCATTTTCTACAGAATATTTTCCCATGTAGGCATTAATTGCCACAGAATTTTTTCCATGTAGTCATTAGTTTTTTCCATAAAGGCATTAATTGGATTTTTTCCTGAAGGAGGGGGGCAGTGCTGCATTAATCAAAGGGCACTCTGGGCACTGTACCCAGGGCCCTAGTTTTAGAGGGGCCCCAAATTGTCTGGAATGGTCAGATATATTTGGAAAGGATTCATGAAACTTGACCAAAATCCAAACTTCAGACATATGTTCTTTTACTTCTGGCCCATCATCCTTTATCACATTACTTCATCTCTTCGGGACAATCATATGACAATGCTTCTAATATGTTTGGGAAATTAAGTGGGAGAAGACAAGAATTTAAGAAATTAACAAATATGCACCCTAAACCTCATGTGTTGTTTATTTGCCCAATTTGATTGGGTCCTGTGCCGAAAAGCTAAAGTTAAAGAGAGGAAAGGTACAAAAATTACTTTTGAATATTTCCAAATGCAATGATTTACCAATGTGGCTTCAGGTGAAAGAAAATTTCCCACTTTGAAGAGCAGAGGTGGAAAAAGTATCAACCTTGGACCTGGAACCTGGGAACGTAGTTCCCAGAAATTTTTCTGGATGAAAATATTAGCAGAAAGTTTCACAGAAAAGTTTTGAAGTGTTAAAGTAAATGTAAAAATTGGGTGACAAGAGTTAAGTCAAATCAGCATTTAATATTATTTCAACTTGCCTGTAAGCAGCTAAATATGAGCTGCCAATGGACTGTCGGGTATAGTCTCTTTCCATTGGAAAGAAATTCTTTGTGCACATTCACCATCTCACAGAAATCTCAACCACTCACCATCAAAATTTTTTTTGGCAGCTGAGCTTTTTAGACAAACCATTGTTTAGACTGAGATTAATATAGGGACTGGAATCTACTTTCACAGAAATTATTTCTTGTACTATGGTGTGAGCAGCATTGATCATAAGTTAATATGCTTGGTTAAAGTAATTTGGTGCATGTTAGGACTCCATTTCAACCATATATTTCTTCACACTTGTCAAAGAAAAGGCTGTGTTAAGCCTTCTCCATAAAATGCACCATACAATTCAAATGATTTTGCCCCTGACTCTTCTGAAACTATGTTTAGAAATTTTTGCCTTCTGATTTAAGTTTTTCCATCACGATGATTGAATAAATGCATAAATTTCTGGCTAAAGTTGATTTCCCTCTTATGTGCATTTATGCATCAAGTAAAGCCATATCTAATATGTTGAGTTAGGTCTACTCAGAGTCAGTTTCATATAAACGTCTTGAATTTCTTCAGCTAAATACAGTATTGTAGGCACAAACAGAAAGTTTATTTGTCTACCCCTTGAATTCTTGCAGAAAGTTTTTAGCCAGATACTTAGGTTCTCAGAAAGAAAAAAGTTTCTTCCACCTCTGTTGAAGAGAGTAAAGATTAATTTTATTTTCTCAATTAAGCAAAGTCGTGTGACAGGGTTATGTGTAATGGGTATCAATTTTGATCTTCTACGAGAAATTGAATTTTTTCGTCCTTCCTTCTCAAATTGTTGAAACAAGCACAAAATGTGCGAGACTAGGAAGGTCTATGTTTGTGACAACAACATATTCAATTATGCAATGTAGAATTTTGTTTTAATTCAAGATTTTGTTTTTGATAGTTTCATGGTTTTATAGGTTTGTTGCAAACAGATGATAGGACCTCGTTGCAAGAAATTGCGAGGCAGTTGAAGCTTGAAAACGTTATTGGAGATCAAGTGTTTGTATGCAATTTAAATTTTTTTTGGGTACTGCAAAGTCGTTGGTACTGTAAAATTTTACAGTACCAACGACTTTGCAGTACCCAAAAAGCACGGACAGTGAAAAAATGACATACTTTAGTACGTGGGCAAAAAAAGTCGTCTTTTAATTTTGGCGTTTTGGAATTGGTCTACATAAAAACAAAAGACCCTTTTTCTGTTATCTTTAATTTAAATTGCAAGTTAATTTGTGGCTTGCGTGGTATTGATCAAATGGTTTTGTTTTGATAAACTTTCTCAGCTTTTATGTTTGGCCTTGAAAAGGAATGCTAGTATATTTATGTTTGGTTTTTGTTTTATTTAGTCATTTTCAATATTGTTCATCTCTCAAGTTATTTATTTTGAGTTGTTGCACCAAAGATATCTTTTTTACAATTTTTCTAATCATACTAGCTTTTCTTGTTGAATTGAGTTGAGTCTGATAAAAGCACCACTTATTATTAACAACTTATTTTACCAACTGATTATTATCTTATTTTAGGGATCCTTTGCGGAGAATCTGGCTTTTATTTTGGATTCCTTTCGTAGTGGTGAGTGGTGCTAAAATATTTTTGACTGGTTTGAAGTGCCTGCCCCCGAGTATATTATACAAGAAATTTTCTGATTTTGGAAAGGAATTTATTATTTCGTCAGGTACAGTCATGTTACCTTTAAGCGTATCTTTTTAATTGTTGAAAAAGACAAATATGTCAATTGAAACTTGCTACAGCCTGATCTAACAGTTTTTTTAAGATTGGGTTCAAAATTCGAAAAATATTGATGAAGAGGCGAACAATTTAGCCCAGGAAGAGGCTTGCCTCCCGTGTGTCTAAGTGCAAAGGCTAGAGAACATTTTGCAAAACTTCTATTTTTTATGAGTAAACTTTGCGTGTCTATCAATGACAGGGAAGAGAAGTAAAAAGCTTTTTATGCCTGATCGTTATATTTAAGCATAGTCATAGATGAGTTAAGAAAGTCATTGTGTTTTACGCTCAGCGGGTCACAATCAACATACGCCAGCTTTATGGCTATCTTACCGTATGCTAAACTACTTTTCGTTACAGATTCTTGAGAGTACATAAATTAATGACAAAAATGTGAACATATATCAATATCTACTTTCGGAATAAAAATAACTATATCCATCAAGGGCCATCGAAAAATAAATGCTATTGATAATTTTCTATCTTAATTGTAAGTTTTATTTCTCTTACATATATTTTTTGCAGGTAGCGAAGAAACCCGTTCTGTCATAATGATTCTCGACGAGTTTGACTTATTCGCACAACATAAAAACCAATCACTTATATACAATCTTCTTGACGTCTCCCGTAACAAAGAAACGCCAATCGCCGTGGTTGGAGTCACTTGTAGATTGGTATGTTCTGTCTCCTTACTACAGAAAAACTTGCAAAAGTCGGATCCCTTTTGACCAGACTGAAAATAGTCCGTCTTATGCGAAGTCCGACCTACCCGTATAAAAATGAAATAAACCATTACTGATTTAAAACCGAGATTTAACATTAAAGAACCTTACCAAGCACCACTGAGGAAAAACTCAATGCTGTCACTATCAGCTGAAGTATAGATGGATTTTTATATCATCACGTGACATCACGTTAACCATATCGTAAGTACCTGTACAGCATCTGAATATTGTCACTGATGTATTTCTCAAGAGGGCTTCATCTAGATGATATTCAGATGAAATCATCGATTTATGAAAATATTCGACTTAAACATTACGCAAATATTCAACTAATGAAATTTGACTTATGCCAATCACAGGGCCGTAAATCCCGGGGGGACGGGGGGGGCTGGACCCCCCCCCCCCCCCCCAAAAAAATCTGGAGCAAAACGTTTTTTTTTGGAGAAATTACCATCATTTTCCTTGAAAGAAAGAAATCCCTGGTAGCTGGGTTAGAACCAAACTACGTTTTTCTGTGTTATTGCAACAAACCTCAGCCAATAAGGCTATTTTTGTAAGCAGAGTGGTTTTTATAATTTTTACAAGATAAAAACTTACCGTTTTCTACCGTTTTTTACCGTTTTATTTTTGAAAACAAAGTACAAAATAAAAAGAGAGCAATCTGTCATTTTATTTGACCTATTTACTAACTTTTTTACGTACATTTCTATTATTTGTCTATTATTTACTTTTATTTAGTAAATCACTTTTTTGTATCATTAAAATGTATTCATTTTTGATGTGTAAACATGGCCTACTGAAAGCACTCAAAATAAGGAAGACGCACATTTCTGTTCAGAAAGTAAATTTCTACCAATCAACACAACAGCGTCCCATATTTCCCCAAAGTCTGTCACTAAGGTTTAAGCATGATTCTTCCCCTCCAAAATTTCACCCAATAAACAATAATCTGTGTTCTTCTGAAAAACGCCGAACTTTCTATCCTGAGCGATTCTAGTTTTTTATTAAATTTAGTCTGGGGGATGCCTTTCTAGAAGATAAAATTTCAAAAATTTTCTTCCGCGTCGGACCCAACCATGGTGGGTCCTCCTACGACAATTAACTTGATTCTTAGCTCCCAAGGTTCAATTTCTTGGGGCCATCTCTGAAAAATGTTATCCATCCAATTATCAACACAAGTCAATGTACTAAGGAATATCTGTAAATACCTTCTATAGAGCAGAAAGTCTTGAGAAATCCAAAAATATTGACTTTTGTTTTTAAAGTAGTTTGCCCCTCGACTGTTTCCATAATAAATAAAACATACCCTTGTGGTGCCATGACCCACTGCATACTTTATATTCATTCGCTCTGCTGACCCCCCCAATTCACATGACAGATTTACGGCCCTGCCCAATCAAATTTAATGCATTTTCGACAAGTGGATAGGGACTGTACATTGTTGTTCGAGTTGTGATATTTCCTATGTATATGAGCTCGTCTGTATATGTTTTTGCTGTAGGCTGGAATAGAATAAGTCCGAGAGCTTCCAACCACTTTTTCAGAGCTGAAAGGTCAAATAGAACTTCATGCTTGCCTGTTTCAAAATAGCCATTATTCTCAATATTATTGCATCCAATACATATCTATTGTATTCGGTTTTTCATGAGGTTTCGCAAATTTGACTACAGTTGGCTGTTGAGATTCATAGATTCTACGGCTTATCCGAGGTTGAACTAGTCAATGTATTTCAACGTAATCAAGCGATTCTAGTCAAGCCATTCTACCTAATCAAATATTAGAAACTTTAAGTGCTTTATTTCAGTATCTAGACCTCAAACTTACGCCTTGAAGGACAGAATTTGCCCAATATTTTCTGATATATTGTATATTCTTGTCTTAAAGCTACATATATTGCTATCAGTTTGTGATTACGTAAAAGCAGTTTTTAAGCTTATAGTATATTGGAACATTTTTAAACTTTATACCGCTCTGTGCCAACATTTCAGGTGAACTTCTCTTCACAGTTATCTATTTCGCAGATTGTTATCTGTTTTGCAAATAAGACTGGTTCACTTTTCTCTATGTTTTTACACTGAAACATTTGTCACTTTAATTGAAAAATCAAGGAAAGAATTTTTTACCAGACTGCATGTTGACGTCGTTTTTTTCACAATCATCTTTGTGATTGTTTTCTCCTCCCCCGTTCTCTATTCTATGAGCCAATCCTTGTTTCGAGTCTTTAAGTTTCTAGCTTTTGTCTTATCGTCCTGAAATTCGTTTGTTCTATTAAGTCTACTCTATTCTTTTGTTCTATTAAATTTTCTGACTGTCAAATATTTTCAGGGTTCTTTCAATAATGCAAGCTTTATATTTGATTAATATTCCGATAGAAAATGACTTATCAAATATTTGTTTTTCAGGATGTCATAGAGCTGTTAGAAAAACGAGTTAAATCAAGATATTCTCATCGGAGCATTTTAACATTCAGTCAGATTGACTTTGAAGATTACATAACTATGCTTAGGTGTGTTTTCTTTCTTGGTTAACTAAGGTTGGTTATTTATAGATGGCTGAAACAGGCCTGTCGCTATAGGGGGAGTTTGGGGTGTGACACACGACCCACCTTGAAAAGCTGCCATTTCATAAACGAGAAGTTTCTTGATATGTAGGGGGCACCGTGCAAACCATTTTTTCATGTTTTGAACTATTTTTGCTGACCGCAGTGTAAATTTTAGGCTGTTATAAATGTACCCATCATCTCCCAAAAAAACAGTTTTCAACATATTTAATTTATGGTTTTTGGTATTAACTCTGCGACCTTATTTCTTCTTACATTCTACTAAACTTCTGCCTCTCAACAACTGCGAAACCCCTTAGGCCTAAAGGGGCTTGCTCAATCCTGTAGTTTCTTAGGTAAACGTATTTGGAACGTAGGGGATATTAAATTCATGTTACGTGAAGATATTTTATTGTTTTGTCTGAGTATTCGATTCGTTGTTTAGTCATTAACTGTAAGTTAATTTAAAACGACAAAAATACAGCCGAGCACCCTTACAATTCTTATTCTACTAAAAATTATCTTTTTCGGCCGACTCAATTGTGAATTGACCAATATTTTGCAGGCTATTTTTTTCATTCTGTTCTCTAATGCCTTGATATTCTCCTCTTATGAGCAACCAAACATTGACAAGCTTTTGACAAGTTTTGCAGATACGATAAGGCAACACCCTTAGATTGTTTAATTGTCGCTGATGCAGGCCACATGTTGGTCTTACAATATGGGAACAATGTCTCCCCCAACCCCAAGCAACCTCCCACAGAAAACGGCTGCTTAGAGAGGAGGGGTTTTTGAAATGGGGTGTCATTATTACACAAAGCTCTACAGTAAATTTTATTTACAAGTAGACGGTACTTCTACAGTAAATTTGTCTTTCTCTTTTGATATGTTTGATTCAGCATTTGTTAAATGTGGGACTTCTCATATATATGTATATATCCCTTAAATGATTTTTTATAATTCAGATCCATGCTGATGCTTCCAGCTGATTTTCAGTCACGCAAATTCAGAGACAGTTGGAATAAGTACATGGCGGTGGGTCTTCTTACTTTTTTCGTGCACCTTGACGTTAGCAGTCTAATGCTATCTGAAATAATTCGTATTATCCTATTTTAAAACAGACTTTGAAATCTTCGAAGTGGTAAATCTTTCTTGATATATTAAAAATGTTTCTATTAAAAAGAGGGAAGGGAGTTTTCTAAGAGGGCAAAAGTAACAAGCCGAAATACATAGAATGGTAGCTGAAATATTTTAAAATTGTGTTCACAAGACAAAATATCCGCTGAACAACATCTATGTAACTAAAACTGACGATTCTTCCTGTATAGAGCATCTAGCTTTTGATAACTGCTCTATCCAAACCAGGTTAAAAATTAAGCTAAAAATTTTATAGGTCCCGTAGGGTTTTCAATATTGTACTTACATAATCTTTCTCCCATCGAGATTTTAGTATGACGCTGACTTTTGTAATTCTTTTCTATAGACAGTGAGAAAGAATAGTTGTTATGTAAAATAATAACATATCAGAATATCTTGTAAATACCAGAGTATCCTGTGTAGTCTTATGCTAATGAAATTTTTCAGCTCTAATCTAATGTAATCTCAGTGTTGTAATTTTCAGCTCAGTTTTGTAGCACAGAGAAGACTTCAGTGACCCATTTCCGTTTATGTGATGCCTTTGATATTTTGATAAGGAACAAACAGGCCTATTGGTTTTTTATAACGTGTTCATGTCAATTTTAGGTTCTAGCAACTGACAGAGCTAGCCGGGAAGTCATCAGGAAACATTTTAACAAGTCAAAAGATATTCGTTCTTTGTCCATGTGTCTAGCACAAGCAGTTTGCAAAGTTTCTACCCAATCTCCTTTCGTTACCTCTGAAATTCTTGTGAATGTTTTTAAAGGACAAGAGAATGATAGCAAGCAACTAATCTTGAATGGTAGTTAACTTACACTTGTTTTTAGTGGTACAAAAAGCTTAAAAAAACAAGCATTAACAGTCATGTGCTTGTGTTCTGATAGGCCTATTTCGACCCACAACTTAGAATGTATATTTCCTAGCTTAGAAATTTAGATAAAAGTTTGACGTTTTATAATCTAAAGAGTGTTAGATGAAAAGCTTACTATGTCTCAAAATGTTTCCTTTTTTCAAAGCTATTTTTTCTAAAAATGCTCCATCAAAATAACACAATAAGCCTGCCAATCATTAGGTCAATTGCAGAAAGAAAGTGTACCGGATCTCCATTTTATCTACAATGAATTTTTCAAAATATGTTATATATAGATAGCCCTGGGTAAGTTAAAAAGCTTTCATTTCATAGGCGTTAAATTGATCAACTTCTTGATTTAATATTGAAAACCAAGCAAAAAATGTTTGTTGCTTATAAATTAATTAGATACTAATGCAATCGCGATCTCAGTTTTAATGCATATAAATTTATCGATAATCTTCATTTGTTTAGGCTTGTCTGTATTGGAGCTCTGTCTTATTGTTGCAATGAAGCATATTCGTGATAGAAGAAGCGGGGAAGCATTCAACTTTGATATGATATATAAAGGTTAGTCAATTTATTTACTTAGCCATCACTTACAATGCCTGCCAAAAGTCTTGGAACACTGACGTCAATTTTAAAGTTCAAAATCAATCACCCCCCCCCCCCTCTCCCCTACAGAACAATGTTGGTTTACTATCAACCGGGTCAGGATTTGAGAAAACACTTTCCTTTGCTTCCTAAAATAGATATTTCTCTAAATCATTAACATTGTTTTAGGGGGAAGGGGGCGGAAGTTGTAATTTTTTTCATGAAAGGAATGAAAGATAACAAATGTAGCGTAAATTGCTGGGTGTTCCGAGTACTTTTGCATTGGCAGGCATTGTAGACTTTTAGCAAGATGGTGGTTTCATCTAATCTGAATCTGGTGCCTGTTGTTGGGTTTAGACGCAACAGGCCAACTTATATTATTGTTTTTTCTCCTTGTATTATATGGTGGTACAAATCTTTAAACAGACTGCATTTCAACATACCGACATTTACTTCACGGATTCTATTAGACCTTGGGCTTGTGCTCCAATATGCAGGCAATAGCTAAAAAAGCTATGAGGCAGACGATTTGAAGCAAGTAACGAAAGGTCTAACATCTGTGAGAGATTTGTGAGAGATTTTGTCTAGGAAGAACCGTGATATCGACTGTTGGCCCGTTCTAATTTTGCAATTTCCTTCTATGACTTGGTGAAAATAAGAGTAAGATTCAAGATTAAGTGGTGACTTATGACTAGCAGCATTTCACCTTCTGGAGCTTTAAATTTTTTGCGGGGATTTAAACAATCGGTAATGCCTGGTCCTTTTGTTTTGATTCGCTTTTATCAATTATCACCTTAATGTTTTTCCAGAATACGAGTCTTTTGTATTAAAACGAAGCACAACAACTCAAAAATTCGACAAAAGGGTTGCAATGAAGGCTTTTGAGCATCTTCTTGCTGTTGAACTCGTCAAACCGGTGCACAGCGTCAGTCAGTCGTCCCTGCCGAAGGAGTTCCAGCATATGATGCTGCTGGTCGATGACAGTCAAATCAACGAAGTTTTCTCTTCGTATCAAGGTTGTCCAACTGATTTGAAGCACTGGGCATCAACTGAATTTGCCTGATTATGGATCCCTTGCGCTGCCTTCTTTCACATCTCTCTCTCTTATCCATCAAATTGAACTTGTAGATCATGTGCACCATGCTACGGGTTTAAATTCGTTTACAGGTCAGTTTGCCTGTGACATGCGCAGTAGTCCTCGGGGATTCTTTTGAGTTATTGGAATAATTTCAAAAGATTTATTTGTAAATTTTTTGCCATTTTTATCAATGGCTCTTTAAGTTTTCTTTCGGATGATGATCTTATTTGGAAGTATCCCGTATGTAAACTTTACAAACTTCCAAATTTTTCAAACTAAGACATCTTCAGCAATCTAAGAATTTTTTTAGTTTAGTGTCGTTATAAGTATATCTCCAAATTTTCCTCATTTATCCATCATTGAAGCATTTTAGGAACTTACTTATGACATACAAGAACCAATATACCTTACGCAAAGCTTCCAGAGTCTTACATCTCCTAAAATACAAATTTTCTCTAATTTGAAAAATCTATTTTATATGATACGATAAGACATATGACTAGTATGGTAATGAAAATAAATCTTTACCGGTCTGTCAAAAATGCCCAATGCCGTATAGGCCAGAGCTGTACACGCTATTTGGTGCATAGAACAGGTTGCCACTCCGAGTTTCACGCTTAATGCGGTCATCAGGGAGCTGTCCAAAGTATAAGATTTCAATTCTTTCGAGAAGTAAGATTCAGAATCCAAGATGGGACCAAACAAATTTGCTTCAGAATCAACTGATTGATGACAGCATAGATAACAGCAAGATCAGTAATGAATCCATGAATCTGCTTTATATTCAAAAGCAATTGCATGATTTAGTAGTGGTATGTCTTATTTAAGAGCAAATTTTGAGTACTTTCAGTTGACGTATAAAATAACTTATTTTGCCAACGTCAGCGTGTATAGTTATCCTAAAGAGTAACTAAATGAGCTGGAATTTACTATAAATGCGCTAAATTACATTGAAACAAATACGTTTATTCGATAATATTTGATTATGCTTGGCAATAAATCATCATCATAATCATAATGTACTTATGTAATGCGACAGCAATGACGGAAAGGCAATCTCTTCACAGAGTGACTCTTCACCCCGTGCCACTAGCTATTTTACAAGTATTGAAGAAGTAGCATATAGTTTAGATTATTTACAATACGAAAGCTAACTTTAAGGAAGAAAACAAATGCAGTTTATTCCAGTGCTGAGCTGAAAGTTTCATTTTGCTTTAATACGTAAATTATTGCGCATTTATGTAGAAAATTTCATGGCACCCTCGGCTTTTTATTTTTTGCAAGCAGTCAATTTGGTGGAGTTCTGCAAACACCTTTTCCTGAAACTTCACACAGGCACGGGATGGTGCGAAATGCCAGGCTCTGCGTTGGCGCCCCTTCATTGGCAACCAGTCTAGTGTACCCAGCGTAACCAGCTCGAAAGACTGGGATGGGATAAAAAAAATTCGACCACGCCCTTCACATACTCTGAAAACGTAGGAAACGCCTTCGAATTTTTGGAATTGCAAATTTTTAAGCAGCATTTTTCATAAGAGGGGCTTTTTTAAAAGAACAAAAATCGAATACGATCTGATCAACCCCACTCCCCAAGGGTTTTTCGACAGATTTCGAGAAACTATAAAATTGATCTTTTGGAAAGCTGCGATCCACATGCCCACCCCAGTCCATCCCGTGGCGACCCCACTGAGTGTACCCTTTCTTTCTCTTTGGCGTAGCAGCCTAGAAGAAAACCAACAGTAGCATCTTGAGCCTTATGCAATCTTTTCAAGAGGCGCGACGGAAAAGGCTGAAAGAGAACGTCTACAAAGACTACTTTGACGAAACGATGAGCAGCTCAGCAATCTGTTTTCAATTTGAATGGAATGAGATTTGTTTGTAGCATGGACATTAAATATCATAGAAGCATGAAGAAGTTACTTCAATCATAAAGTATTCCCACGAAGTTAGGTATCACTTGGACTTGGCCAGGTTAGGTATCAATTTTTGCCGCGAATTTTGCAGGTCGAATAATTGCTGCCGTTTTTATTTCGAGAAGTTTGAAGCATGCCAGTTTTGCCGAAGTGAGCCGTTTAGAAGGCCCTGTTCACACGATACCGGATTAATTTCGTATCGGATCACTTTTCATGTCGGATAGGCCTTCTGTTCAAACGATGACGCTTTAATCCGATACGCTCCGTATCGTTTTTGCGGAGTCAAACCATTCTGCTGCGAATGTGGAATGGAATCATATCGGATCGCTTTTGAGCTCGTGTGAACGCATGAATCCGATACGGTTTCGCTCCAGAACCTCTGTTTCGAAAAAGCAGCTTCGTTTTCTCGGTTTTTAAAAACAGTTTGGCACTCTTTTCAAGACACAAACTCACAGTGGATCGCAGTTACACAATAAATATGTTCCTTGCGATGATGATGAGCTTCACAAGATTAATGCAAAGGAAAATTAGATTGTTTGAAAATTGATTTCGAAATACTTCTTCTTCAAAACTAAACAGCGTATCAGTTCCGTCACGTCAAAGATTTCAATCAGTCAGAAAAAGAGCGAAACAAAAAACACATTTCACGTTGCTATGCAACTGCTTCAAGACAATGGATTTTATGGAGCAGTGTTGAAGCGTAGCTTCATCGTGTGAACCACATAATAGAAAATCTCTATGCTGTGTGTGAACAGGAGTGAATTCGATACGAAATTAAACCGGTATCGTGTGAACAGAGCTTGATTTTCGTATCGGATTGGGTCAGTGAATCCGATATGAAATGAATCCGGTATCGTGTGAACAAGCCTTAGATGAGACTATAAGAACCATCGAGCCAAGAAATCAGAACACGCTTATCAAATTTTGTACTTTCTTTTACTGCCGAATCTCCAAACACAAGCCTGTAAAACCCTCGTAAATTCAGTGGTTTTACAACACACCAGAATGCCTCTCTCTCCCCGACTCTTTTCGGAAAACCTCCTCAAAAATGAACTTATGGCCCCTTATTTTGAACAAATATTTGCAGATATAGAATCAGTGATGTATACTGCCTAATAAAAAGCCTTTCGGAAAATTTTTCATGTAAGTAGCACTTTAAAATACCTCATATATTTTAGTAGGAATTGGTTTATGATAATTAAATTAGATATTATATTACCAAAAGTATGATTATTCAATAAAGTATTTTTGTGGTTATTCAATAAAATGCAAAAGGCAACCAACCTCAAATGGCAAAAACTCATTGAATTGAGGGGTCCAAATCGCGAATTAACGGCAGTAGTAGGGGCTTATTCGAGGGGGGCTTGTTGACAATTTTTAGTTCTAGGGTGGAGGCTTATTCGAGGGGGGGAGGCAGCAATTCGAGGAATTACAGTATTATTCATTATCATAGAGATTTTATTATCCTATCCCTATGGTCATAGAAGAATAGAAAAATTCTTTACTTTGACCTGAAAAACATTCTCTTCGTTGATTGGCCAAACAACAGTTTATCGCACTGTTACCCCCCTGTCACTTGCACAATTCATCCCCATAATAACTTTCAAACAGAAGACAGTGCGAGATTGTCGTCTGCCTGCATGCGAACAATGTTGTTATGCGTGAGCATTGTGTCATGAGTTCATTTGAGTTAAGTTAAGCGGCAGAACCGACAGTTTCTGTGCAAAGCAGAAGCACTGCTCACTTTTTTCGGGAAGATCTTTCTGTGTGCAAGAAAATACCATAATGGCTAAATATGCAACGAGAAGATGGCCTAGTTGGTTGCTTTGCTTCGGAAAGGTTGCAATGGATCCCGCCGAAGACGAAGGCTTTGAGAAACATTTTCCAAATATCGGACTAACTGCACAGGCTTCGACCTCGTCAGCCTTTGAATCTGCAGGTAAATTTTTATTGTTCTTACATAGGGAACGATGTTTTGATAACCGGGGATTCCATCAGAGATGGCACTGTGGGACAAGAGTGGGATGAAGATCCAAGCAAAAAGACAAAACAATACCAAAAAATAAAATTGTAAAATTTGTCCAACTGTTCCATGCTCCCCTTAGTATTCGCGTCCCTGAACCTGGCACGAGGCAGAAGTCCCAAGGGGGTAGGTGGGTCGTACTTTCCTATATGGTCTATGTCAGCAATACACCAATTCGACTTACGGCCTCATTTTTAAAAATTCTTTTGTACAAAATTTTTGACCTCAGATTCAGATTGAGAGCAATGATTTTATTTTAGTCTAATTGTAAGTTTTCATTATCATATTGCTCACTATATTGATTTTATGACGACATAAAGATAAAAACTTTATAAGGGATTTGACCGTGATTGGCGACTAGGGGGGTAAAATTTCCCCCCGAAACGATTTTTGCGGTCAAATCCCTTACAAGTTTTCAAACTTCATTTCCCGGTAAAATCTAAAATGCAAGCTCAAACAATATGAAAAATGGTATCCCGCCTAAAATTATGACGATAAAACTAAATCTGAGCTTAAAAAAGTCGTATAATTAAGTTTGGAGAAATTTCAAAAACGAGGTCGTAAGTCGAATTGGTGTATATTTTGTTTACTGAATCTCTAAAGTTTGTGATAGGTGGACAGCAATCTCTGACACGCCTTTGTGAATAGATTTTTCAAACATTGTTATTATTAGTAATTTTTCGGTCTTTTTCGACCTTTTTTGTTACAACTACATTACAATTGTAATTTACAGGCAAAATCTGTTCAGTGGAATTGAAAGTACCTTTAAGGTATGTTTAAAAACCAATAAAGATTCTGGCAAAGGCAGTGGCTCCGTTGGTTACATATGATATTCACCCGAAAGTAAACAAAGCCAAGCATATATAATTTCAACTTGTCGGTACTAAATCCAAAAAAGACCCTCCTTTGGTAAAATTGTACCTTGCGGTGGCAGAAACTACGCCCCCCACCCTTTAAACGACTTTTTTAGACTCAAGGTTTGGTTTTATCACCATAGTTTTAGTCCGGATACAAGTTTTTATATTGTTTGTGCTTGTATTTGAGATTTTAAGGAGAAATGAAGTTTGAAGACTTGTAAGGGATTTGACCGCAAAAGTCATTCCGGGTGAAACTTAACCCCCTAGTCGCCAATCACGGTCAAATCTCTTATAAAATTTTTATCTTTTTTCTTTATGTGTCATGCGCTAAGGCGTTGACGATCTTTCTCCTCCAAACTTCGCTATCTTGACATGCTTGAATGAGTTCTTTTCCATTTTTTCTTTCAATTCTTTGATTTTGCTCAAATACGTCCTTCTCTGTCTGCCTTTTTCTCTTTTACCCTCTACTTTTCCGGTTAGCGGTAGGTTTCTGATGCCTTTTCCCCGCATACTATGTCCCAAAAATGTCATTTTCCTGTTTTTGATGGTCTGTAAAAATTTTCGCTTCATGTTAGCAATTGTAGGTACTCGCTCATTTGACATTTTATCAGTCCATGATATCTTCTGTAATTTTCTTATAAACCATATTTCTGTTGCCTCGAAACACTTTTGCATAACAGCTGAGATATTCCATGTCTCACATCCATATGTAGGGATGGACCAGATATAACCATTCAAGATTCTCTGTCTCGTTGACATGGTAATGTTTGAACTTGTTAAAATAGATCTCTTTTTGTCTCCGCTTTGTTTTATCAGGTTTGCCATCAGATGTTAAAAGGCTTCCTAGGTAGTTGAATTATTCGACGTGTTTTATTTCGATTCCACTTGCTTTAAGCGTACATGTGGTCATAAATCACTATCGTGAGCAATACAATAATTACCCTGGGTGCCAGTACCAAAGTTTTTCTTCTTCCCTCTTCTCTCTCCTTCGCCTCCGCAGCTCTCATTATTTTTTGCTGCCGTTAAATTTTTGCGTCTTTGGTACCCAGGTATACAATAACGAAAATTTCCAAGTAGATTAAAATCATTGCTCTCAACCGAATCTGACGTCAAAAAGTTTGTGCCAAAGAATCTGATGAATTTTTCACAATGAGGCTGTAAGTCGAATTGGTGTATCGTGATATCAAAAATCATTTATGGATTGTTCTTCTAGCTACTAAATTAAAGGGCATGGTTCACGTATATTTCTTAAGGGTCCCGCCCAAAAATCACCTTTTTTCATCACAATGTACACTGATAAATTTCTTTAAAATTAGGTATGATCCAATATGTTTTCCTGTTTTAGAACCGTGGGCCTGTGCCCCCCAAAATGAGAGCCCGAATTTCCGCAAATGGACTACTTTTTGTCAAATTTCCCTAAATTTTTTCGGAAGAAGCATCAACGGAAATTCACAAAGAGGCCCAAACCTTGTGATACTGATAATGATAATACTGTCCTTTATAAAAGGTTGCCTTTTAAGCAACAAATGTGATCAGCAACAATTTATCAATAAAGGCCCTGTTAGAAAAATTTAAAGAAGAAAACTTTGCAATAAACCTAAAATTGAATTAATTAAAATTAGAAATTAGAGTTAGTCACAATAACTTTTTTGAATCAAAGGATTTTTAACAAAAGACCTTAATTTTCTCTCTTTTTGTAGTGTTTCTGAGAAAATTTTCGTTAACAAACAGGCCTTGTTTGTCAGGTTTAGGCCATAGAAAAAACGAAACTCCGCCAATTTGTGCTGGCACCAAGCTATTCTGGATCTGGTTTCTTAATCTAATTCCTAAAAAGTAATTACTCGTTTTACAACTTAGACAATGACCGATTTCTTCGATCAAATTCCCATATTCAATTTTATGTATGTCTTCAATGGTAGAGACATAGCAACCAAGCTAAAGCTAAGGGCATATTTAAGGGTTTACTAAGCACAGTTACTTAGAAAATGGTAAAGTAGATTTCTGTCCACTTTTGCCTCAAAAAAGCTCTTTTGCTCTGCAGAGAAATGAGGGGCCATAGCCCCCCCCCCCCGGTTTCGCCGGCCCTGCCTTGCCGATATTTAAACATTTTTATAACCACTTTCATTTTTTTATGATTGTTGATTGATATTAGCTTAGAGCTGTTGTTTTTCTGCACTCCGTAAATTACTTTTTGTGCTCTATTTTGTTTTCTTTCAAATTTCTTTGACATTGTTTCTGAAGCTTTAACGACTGGCATAGAGCAGTGCATTGTCGGCAAAATTAAGGAGGAAGGAGCAAAAACAGATAATGAATCGCGCGCGTAAAACAACAGCTTTATTCGAGCATTTGCCTTTTTAGTACTCTTTGGAGGTGTTCGTTTATATTTAGAGTTGGGTCCAGCCAAACCCCAAGGTACTTAAAACCGTCAGCAAAATTTCCTTTTTTACATGATGAGGAAGATGGGTCAATTGGCAATGAGTGCTGCTGGTTACCTTGCTTGGGAAGTAACAAAAAAATTGTATTTTCAAAAGCACGGCAAAATTGCACCAGTTGTCTTTATCTGCTACACAATCTGTTTAAAAAATGAAATTGTTTTCAGTATGATTAGGAGAATTGCTTTAATAAAAATTGCTTGAAGGAGTGCATTTCCCAGCGAAATAGAAGCATCGAAATTCGAAAAGTTTCCTTTCCTACGGGGGCAAACATGGTGTCTTCTCGGGTAGTTACTTTATCCTGTCCTTGTCTCGATGTACAGATATATTAATGTTGAAGTTATATGCTATATGAAAAGACTTTTACGATTAATTGCATTGGTTTTTATTGTAAAACAAAAATTGTGTTATTCGAGTTTTCAGAGAAAAGGGGTAGGGCTAGAGTGGGTCCCTTTTTAAAATATGATCCAGGGACCTTCATATTTGCCACGCTGTCCCTGCAACTAGTTATTTCTTAATGAATATAGCTCTAAGCTTGAATACATGGCTGAAGATAAAAACAGGAAAAAGAACTAGAAAGAAGTAAACAATTAACAATAGCTGAAAATCGAGAAACATTTCATCTTCTAAGGTGTATTTCAAGAAGCAAAAAATGACATTTTTTATGGAAATGAGATATTTACAGACATGTAAACTTTGACAAATTTAAAAAAAGCAGATCCCTACCAATTATTTTTTTAAAAACCCGAGAATGTTTACACCAATCGTTAACAATTATTCTTCCTGGTGAACAGAAATCTTACAATCCACACTGGACTATTTTGCTATGGCGCCCATGGTGTGGTACATTCCTCGTGGTATCAAAGAACTTAAAGATACACGTCCAGGGGTAAAGTGCTTGGGTTCTCAGCCACCTGAGCCCCCTTGCTAATGCCAATTAGTATCAAATTTCTTCTCTTTGCTTTTGTTCTTGAAACTTTTTGCGCAAGCGCCATTCTTGTTATTTTGATAGCACTACACCTCTGCAAACGAGGTTATACACTTTTTTATTTACAAGGAACCTAGCTCATGGCATAGTTCTTGAAGTTTCTTATTTTTGGAACTATTTTTATCGAATTGTACAGGGCCGCTGGACGCAGGTTTGAACAGAGGGGGCCAAAACGAATTGAAAGGGCACGAATATTTTTTATCCGAAAAATTAGTAAGTGTCAAAAATGGTACAGATTTCATGGTAATTTAGACATTTATAAAAATATTTAAACACACTGGGCATAGTAAGAACTATCTTCACTGAAAGTAGATAGATGGCTATGTACTCCATTTAGGGACCATGCACTCTTGATCATAATTATTTGTATAGCTTCCCACCTCATGGCCTTCAAGTTTTTTTAGAGAGTGTAAATCTTTCTTCCATCTATGATTTATACCTTTACTACAGTATGCTGTACTTATTTTCTTTATAATTTGCACTGTAAGTGGGTTTGGCCCCGGGTAAAAAGCAAGCTCACATCATTCTTTCATACTTATAGCAGGCGCATTATGCAAAAAAAATGTTCAAATTTATTGCAACATACCATCGAATCCAACCCAAAATATGAACTGAATGGAATTTTCAAATTCTTAGTCTCTATATACTTCAAAGCCAATTCCAGTCCCTCTTCCTTTCAAAGCGAAGTTTCAGTCTCTATAATTATCAAAAGCCCATTCGAATAATGATTTTAATTTTCTTACTTTTATATTTAAACAATTAAGTCCCCCTTGGCATTCGCGTCTTTCCATCGCCACTTGAACACATAAATTTGTTTGTCTCTGTGGAATTTTTTTAGCTACAAAATTTTATGTCTAAGTCATCTTCACGCAATCGGCTGAAGGTGCGAGCACATTCTTCACTGCCATAGCAAAATTAATTTGCCACTTTGATTAGGTTTATCTCATCAGTCTTATGAACGAAACAAGTTTTTAACTCTCCTTAGACTTGATCCCAGCGGGCTCAGACAGTTGGTCAAATGTATTAGATGTGAGTTCCGAAAAACTCTGAGTAAGGGTGGTCTGGAAACTAGAATTCTATGACATAGAATCTTGAAAATAGGGTTGCTTTTTTAATCAGTCAGAGGAAACACAAAAGGGATTTACAGATATGATGTTACAGATAGTTTTTTAGGTAAACCAATGGCATATTGAAGTACAACAAATTTTGCAGTAGCATCTAGTCTTGTATACTGTTCTAATCCTAGATAAGAAAATTAAGACTTTGTTTAAGTCTTTGCTAGCATGTACTCATTGCAGGGAAAAAACTTGTTCATTTCTTCATAAAAAGTAAGCAATATAATGCAATTATAGTTTTACACCACAAGGGATTGTTGTTAAAATCAAATTTAATGAACTCTGCTTTTTGATATACCTAGATATAAGTTTAAGAAAAACAAGGGTTCTACCATGAATTGGTATCAAAAATTCCTGCTCAAGCTTGAATATTCACAGTGAAATAAGTTACACAAGTTTGGCAAAGTCAAAGAATAGGGTACATTTTAAGCCACCCAGAATCAGAGATAGGGGTCCAGTTTCTACTTTCAGGAACACATACAATACACATTGGATCATTTGACTGTGCCCGCCGAGGACTTGATGCGAACCTTTCAGTGATGCATTTGTTGTTGAAGATATACTAAAGAATTTTTTTCGCGAAACTGGCAGTCTCCTTGGCAATTAATATTGTTCACCACTTTACAGGAGCTTGCACTTTTTGCATCAAGACCAAGAAAAAGTTTAAGGAAATTTTAGTGAATGGTCCTCCAACAACGCCCAGATTCAAGTTGTTTTACTTAGCTTCTAAAGGTAGAATATCTGGCAGTGAAAAAATACACCCAATATATTTTTCAAAAAGGGGCATTTGTTTTTACTTTTTGCAAACAGGGGGGTCTGTGCCCCCGTGGCCCCCTTGCTCCGGGGGCACCGGCGGCCCTGATTGTAGTACTATAAGTTCCTTAATAGTTTTTCAAATTAGCTGCACATTTGGTACCATAAAAATTGCCCATAATACATTTAAATTCTTCATTAGTTTCGCTATTCTTATCTGTAGCTAGAGTGATAAAAAAACGGAAAAAACTAGAAAGACGTCGGACATATGAAAAAGTGATGAAACACTCGATAGCTATCTTCGTAACACACAATTTTTGTGATTTTTAACTCCAGTTGAATGGAACCGTCTTTATAATTCATGATTGTTTGCAATGATAGAAATTTTCGAAAATGAAAAATTTCTTAGGGATTTTGTCTCTAGTAATAATAGTTTATTAGTGATTCCTTATATGAAAAAGCGCGTAAAGCCAAGTTGTTAAAAAATTGCTCAATCGTTGAAACACCGTCGAAAAACTACCCACACGGAATTCCCATGGCCTGTGCCATCTGGTGGGCCAAGGGGGCCAAAGGAGAAGGGGCCATGCCCCTCTCAATTTTTTTCGCAAAACAGTAAAGCTGTTTTCAAAATCTTTTGTTATGGTGTTAAATTTCTCTTGGCCTCCCCCTCCCACCTTTCAACCCATGTCGGAGGTCATTCACAACATGGGATCTGCAGGGGATGAAAGTACAATTTTTTTTACATCGTCTGGATTATTCAGACATCTTTTGAAATATCTCGTCTCCAATGGTTATCTATTGTCTTGTTAAAAATTGTTTTGACGGTCGACAGAAAGAACAAGCACAACACAAAAGATGAAAAGCAATCTAATGTAAAATCTCACAATCACAGCCAGGCCCGTGGCACAATACACTTTTATATCCGTCGTGTGTCTTTAAAGCGTTTTATGATTAATCAAGCATTGTTTTTAGAGCTTGGAGGAGCTTCCCCACAGAATGTGGCCCCCACTGATCTCTATAAAAGACAGTGGTGGCCTCCCCCATAGGTATGGGTTGTTGTTGCCGTTGCTGTTGTTGTTCAAAACATAAGAGAAGAAAACATGATTGTCAACATAACATCCTATCAACAACTTTACAAATAGTAGCTATTACTGTATTTCTTTTGATGCAATCCTTAAAATGTTTAGAAAAGTTATGGAAGTATTCAGTCGTTTTGCAGAGGCAAGACCAGAGAAAATCCCAGTAACGGCAAGGATGTTTGCAGAAAGTGTCAACGGATTTTCAAGTCAGTACGGAGGGGAGAATTCTCGAGGCTATACTGCAGCAAATCTTGCAGGAGAGTCGTACAGATATCCTAGCTATGGAGATTTCACAGAGGCCTGTGTTATGGTATGTAAGCTCGCTTCATGTGGCCTTTCGTAGGTAGGATTTATTTGTACGTCACGATGAGACTACGACAAGTGTCTTGCCTTTGAAGTTAGCCTTATAAAGCTAGTCATTCTGTAAAATGCATTCAGATCTTCCGACCAGAAAAAATATTCAGCATTGATTCTCATTTAAAAAAGCGCAATTTGTGTGTTTTAAATTCATTTTTTCACAAATTTAAGGGTCATTCCATGCAAAACCATCAAGGCCATGACACTCACCAATTCTGATTTGCCTGATTTTTTTAGCATTAGCAGGGGTTTTGGATGTGACTCTATGTTGAAAATTTCATGTCATCTACTTTCATGTCATCTACTTTCATATTATATCAAAAGCCCCCAGAGTTGAGGAATTCTTCAGGCTACAGTGTAAGTATGTAATGCTTCAAGAAGAATGCCAAAACCACATTTTAGATGAATATGACTGACAGAAAGGAAGCTTATATAGCTTTGTAGCATGTCAAATTTCCAAGATTATCTGCAAAACTCCAGGATTTTTCAAGAAAAATTTGAAAAGCTCAAGGCTTCACAATTCAAACTCTTTGAGAAGATTCAAAATCACATACTGAAGCCTAAACTCCTGCAATTTTTTACAGGAATTTATTACTGGACACGACCAATCATTCAGTCAAGTTGACAATTTAGTTGACATATATCAATATTTCCTTTAATATTATATTTCACAATAACTAAGTTATCTCTTCACGTAGCCCTAAAATCTATTCAAATATTGGAGAATCTCTCAAAACTCCAAGGTTTCTGAAATAGGCTGACAACTTTGATGCCTCTCTGTGTGGAAGGTTCTTTTCGCATTAGACATAATTGAAAAATTTTATCTGTTATTTTAGGGTATAACACCATGGAATTTATCCATAAAATTTGGTATTTTTTACAAAATGCATTGTCAGATCATATGTTCTACAGGTGTTAGACAATGAATTCTCAGTGAATTCTGAGAAATCAAATTCTTTACAGAAGGTTTACAATAGATATAATATGATTTCACTATAAACAAGGCTATAGGTTACCCAAAATACATTGTAGCTTTGATTGTTTGTTTGCTCACAGGTCCATTTCATTTCATTTCATAATTTATTTGTTAACACAGGTTAAAAAGTGGCAGCAAAATATTTACATAACTAAAATCGTGCCAAAATTAGGAATAAGTTTACACTGTTCATACAGTTTCTTTGTTTTAAATTACTACTATCCTAATACATGTGACATCTTTAGGGCTAAAATTGTTAATAATATATATAATTTTTCAAATCCTTGTTTCTTGTGACTGAGGTTCCTTTGATGAAAGTTGTTGTTTTCAGTTCTGTTATTGCCTTATGTTTTAGTTCATATTTGAAATTTTCAATGTTCTCCTTTTATGACCTTGTACATCTCTGTTGCTACCTTTTTGTTGCACATCCAAAGTTTTTACAGCTGGCCACCCCAAAACATTGTTTGAGTCAACCGTTTTTGGAATGTTCTTTATCAATTTTGCTGCACTTATATGCTGACTCTCAACTTTCTGAAACTTGCTGCTTGCGCATGTTCCCTATACAGTCATTGCATATGTGGTTGTTGGTATTACAGTTTTAAAATAAATCTCCTCTAGCACTTGTGTTGGCAGGAATTTGACTTTTTTCAGCATGGACAACTTTTTGAGAATTGCTTGTACACCTTATCAATATGTGTGTCCCAGTTTAGTTTGTTGTCAATATACACTCCTAGGAGTTTACTGTTCTCCCTATATTCAATAAGTCCTTCATCAAACCTGCAAGCTGCTTAGGTAGAAGTGATGGCAGCTTAAGTTTTTTGTACATTTTTTTAATGGATGTCAAGAGTGTAGTTTAAAGAACAAAAAGAACGAAAAAGAACAAATTCTTATTAATGGTTATGTTATCAAAGAGAACCTATATGCTATTCGTTCAAATGGCTCATGTAAAAGATTATATACAGTTTAGAAATTATTCTGCATAAAGTAGCGAGAAATATGAATTAATTTTGGAAACTGTAAATTGGCAAATTTACTACAATAGCATGCTAGTATAAAAATTTCAAAGAATGAAATCTTATCAAATGCTAGGGGTGATTTTATTTTATATGACTGTATTTTGTAGAGAACATATGGTCCCTGGTGGTGTGAGGCTCCCTCTGCACCAATTCAAATTGGCAGAAAAGAGGAATGGTTTCTGGCAGAAGATTTCATAGGTAAGCAATGAGCTTATATGTTATATTTAATCATAACATTTATGAGAGGGGACTGAAGGGGCTATGCCTCAAAGGAATTCAAAAAGTTTTTGCTCAAGGCTAAACCAGAAATCATTTTTAATAACGTATAAGATGCTCAGTAGATTCCTCTTCAAGATTTTGGCAAATTCTTCAGAATGGACTTCTTTAATGTTGATGATGCTCTGAATGCTGCTGTCTGAGAAAATAATTTTAAAATGGGAAAAAAGCAAGCATTTTGAGTCATACTTAAGCTTTTCGTCTGACACTCTTCAGAGTATAAGGCCCAGGTTAAACGTCGTGCTTCTCATGTGCCGAACCTAATACAATTGAGTTCACCAGAAGCGCGACGTTAGCGCGGCCGCCAAGTTAAACGTCGAACCATGGTCGAACCTAATGCGCAGAAAATTACGGTCGGGGCGGTATCCAAGCAACAGCCATCGATTAAAGATCAACATAATTTTTCAAAATGGCCTTAACTCGCAGAGCGAAAACCTTACTGTTGAAAAGTTTAATTTCAAAGCGTCGTAAGCGTCGAAATTTGTTGATTAAAGGAATGGCCATTATTCTACAACAGAGGCTACTGACATTGAGGTCGTTTCTGCTGGCAGCTACGTATTTATTTGGCGAGTTGACAACATCACGGGCTAGGGTTAGGTCATGCAGAAGGTTGCCAAGAAATACAGGTTGGTGGGAGAAACTGTGGTTTACCTACGACGATAAACGATTCAAGCAAACACTAAGAGTATCAAGATCGACATTTGAATTTATACTGACAAGAATAAGACCGCAACTTGAGAGACAAACGCTTACTGAAGAACCCATCTCTCCAGAACTTCGTTTGGCAATCTGTCTCTATCGTCTTGGTAGAGGGGATTATCTTTACAGCATAGGGGAAATGGTAGGCCTAGCACGTTCAACAGTCACAAGGATTGTCAACGAGGTCACCCAAGTAATTGTTTTCTGTCTTTGGGAACAATTCGTATCTAATAATATGCCAAAAACTGAAGATGAATTCCAGAGCAAGATATTAGATATGGAAGAGCTTTGGCAGTTTCCCTGTAGTTGGGCAGCTGTTGATGGATGCCACATCCCCATTAAATGCCCACCTGGTGGCCAAAGTTCTCGAAAAGAATATCACAATTTCAAGAACTTCTATTCAATTGTTTTAATGGCATTAGTGGATGCCAAATATCGTTTCATTTGGGGAAGTTGTGGCTTCCCTGGGAATTCCCATGACTCAATCATTTTGCAATCAACCTCTTTGTGGAAGAAGATAAAAGATGGAAAAATGATTCCAGAGATCTGCCAACAAATAGATGCTGTTAAAATCCCCCCTCTTATTCTTGGAGATTCTGCCTTCCCCTTTGAATCATTTTTAATGAAACCTTACACAAATGCTGTTTTGACAAAAGAACAACGCTATTTCAACTACAGACTGAGTCGTGCCCGTATGGTCATTGAGGGAGCATTTGGCCAGCTTAAAGGAAGATGGCGGTTCTTGTTGCGAAAGTCTGAGGGCAATGTCTACGAAATCAAAGTTGCTACCTTAGCCTGTTTAGTTTTACATAATATTTGCCTTGATTGTGGAGACACTCTGCCTTCAAAGCTTGATGTATCAATTGACCCACAAAGCAGTCAAAGAAGAGACAGAGCAACAATCCGTGACCTTCTTCTCATGAGTACCAGCAGAAAGATTTTTGATGCACGTGATAACAAGGCAGTTCAAATAAGGAAGACTCTTGAGTCCAAATTGGCAAAAGAATTAGCTGAGACTTCTAAGAAATGATCATAGATGAAAACACAGAGTTGAACACAGTGACTTTTCATTATTCTTTGTTAAAAGTTATGGTTCCAATTTGACTTTTAAGATATTAACCTTTAAGATATTAACTTTTAAGAGTATTTTGTTAGATAATAAAGTTTTCATAACTCAACATCACAATTTCGTGAAAGTTTTCTCAGATGTCTCATTGACACTATTCAGTTCTTGCATGAAGCTGTTATAAGCAGAACTGCTGCCAGCCATGTGATTCATGGTATTATGATCATAAGGATGTTGCTGGATGACTGGATTCATGTTGCTGTAATTCAGAAATTGCTGCTGCTGTGGTGGCATCGTTTGTTGGTTCATGATCAAAGAAATCACTGCAAGTTCGTGTTTCCTTTCTCTTTCCTCTTGTTCCCTCATGAATTTCAAAAAATCACTCATTGGGTCTTTTTCAGCAATGTTTTTCATAAGGCCCAGCATCTCCTTGAATTGCTGTTCCTTGGGGGGACTCTTTTTGGTGCCCTTCATGACTGGGATGAAAAATTCTGGTGTTGATTCAGCTGGAGCAACACACTCACTTGTGGAATCAAAAGATCGCTCACTTGGTTCGATGGCTTGTTCCGGCTGGCAGCTTTCTCTTGTTTTCACCAGCTCTAGCAGCTGATTGAACCAAACTCCGTAATTCTTTTCTTCTTGGAATCTCTTTATTCCACTTGCAGTTTTCATTACAAATGCTGCTTTCTTGCACTCCCCAACTACCTTCTTAAATTTATTACGGAGCTGGATTACAGTGTAGTTGCAATTCTCATTTCTAGCATGAACACGCTTTTTAAGTTCTTTTAAAATGTTCCCATATATTTCACCATTTTTTTGATTTTTGACATTCTGGAAAATTAGTTTTTTCTTGAAATATTCATTGGATACAATGATATCAATAAAGTCAGCAAGTAAAGTGTCAGGCCAACTTGTCTTTCTGCCAGATTTCTTTTCTTTCTTTCTTTTTTTTAATGGTGGCCCATCAGCATTACTCTCATTCCCACTTTCAAAATCTGCTTCCTCATCTTCTTTGTTACTGTTAGGACTAAAAGCAGAAAAATAAAAGTGGTAGGCAAGCAAAGTAGTAGTAATTTTTAATGATAAGCTTGTAATTTGGCCTATTCAAGAATAAGAACCAGGAACCCACTAAACTAATATTTATTCAGAAAAGGCTTGAATATGAAATACATACCTTGATGGTGATATCAATTCAACTTTTGATGACTCAAACTGTTGCACCTTACAAACAGAACAGTAGCCTACACTCCGGCATGGAATCCAGCCTTGGGTTTCTTCATCTAACTCCTCCAAACAACAAACTGTACAGACTGGTACCCCGCAAGTTATGCAGATATATTTAGTCTGCTTCATACATGATTCGCAATTGTCTATGTTTCGTGAATTTGATGCCATGATCGTTATACTGAATATGAATTGAATAAACTTCTAAATTTTCAAGAACACGAGTGAAAGTGAAGTGAACGATGACTCGTCGGAATGGCGTAAGTTTGTCGTTGGCGCCTTTTTCCTATCTCATCTGCGCATGCCTAACCTCGTTTTAACGTTCAAAATAATTAAAAATAATTTATGCGTTAGGTTCGGCACATGAGAAGCACGACGTTTAACTTGGTGTCGTGCTACTGCCGTGCGGCACGGCAGAACAAGTCGAGCCAGAGACGTTCTGTCGAACTTAATCGATTCTGTCGAACTTAATTAAGTTAAACGTCGAGCTTCTCATGTACTTAATTCAGCAATTAGGTTCGGCGCATGAGAAGCACGACGTTTAACCTGGGCCTAAAGCGTCAGAACATAGATCTTTGTCAGAACAGAGCAGCTTTGTACCACCAAAAGTTTGTTTGCTAAATTCTTTTCAAGAGGGGATTAGCTGTTTGTAGGACAACCGGTAATAAACACTTAGAGGGAGCAGGGGGGCTGTCAGCAATTATTGTCATAGAAAGTGAAACTTGAAGGGGAAGTTGAAAAACAAATTTTGTGTATTGTTATTTTTGCACTGCACTCATACAACAAACGTGTTAAGAGAATTACAAATAACTACATCAGCAGTAAACAGATTATTAACGATTGCAATCTTGTTCTACTCTTCTGCAGTATCACAAAATTGAATTTCACACGAGCGTTTTATTTTTGGCTAATACATTTTACATTTGTAAAAAGCGCCGGTCCGTCTTGTCACATTGTTATAATCTTATCCAATCATAGGATTTTAGAAGGTCAATGTTTAATGCCAATTCTTTAAACGCTGCTACATCTGAAGCTACAAATAAGCTGTTTATTTTACCAGCAGATAGAGTTTTTGACATTTTGACATTTTTTCCAGTCTTTGTAATATGAAAAAAACCGCGTGCACCGTTTCGCGGGAGAAACTGCTCTTGCTCTTGGATGATAAATTTCCAGGAAGTGATTAGCCATCATTTGAAGATTTCTGGAATGAAAATGTTTCAATGTTCATAGATCCTACGGGCCGTGGAGATTTGTCCATAAAATGTCACTGACTTCTGTATTATCGTTTACGTAAAGGATACCATCGAGGAGAATCATCAAAAATATCTTCAATTTGATGGGGCTACCTTTCTCAGGATATTATGGAAATATGAGAACAATCAAAGCGAGGAGTGGACAGATAATTGACTCAGAAAGACGAAATGAACACACTTTCTATTTTTTACAGCTCGGGCTTTAAGGCTGACTTAAAATCTTCAAATGATGGCTGTTGAATTTTTAAGGAAAATTTTCCATATATTCATTTTTTTCGTTTTGAGCGCGCTATATTTTGCACGCCTTGGACAATTTGGAGGTGTGTGGAGCACGCCTTTTATTACGATGACTGGTTTTCTAAATCGTTGCAAAAATTCACACCGACCTCTCTCGAACGAATTCTGTAGCTTTTCTTGACTAATAAATAATAATTGCTTGAGGGCCTTTTCTCAACACTAGAGTTTCATGTTTAGCAGCATCTAAAAGTTAGGTATCTATTCTCTAATTAATTTACAAAATGAATACAACTAAAAGGACGCTACCCAACTTCCAAAAGTTGAGATAGAATTCTCAGAAAAGATAAATCTGGGGCCTTCATCTCATAGTTCAAGCCTTTGCTTTGTTTCTGCCCCATTCTAGAACTGCCCCCTCCGTCTGCAGAATATTTTTGTATAAATTTGGGAGTTTCCAGTGTGTGTCATCTCAGCCAGTATTATTAACACGCTCCTTTTATACCTACTGTTTGGATCAGTTTGTGTTTCAATTGTTCTAGAGTAACATTTTTCGTAGAAACTGGGCCCTATCTCAAAACAAAAGTTTTTCTTTGTCTTTTGCTCCGAAAGTTTGTCATTTGCATAAAAGATGTTAGATTTTTGATATCATCTCATAATACCTACATTTTCTGTCAGCACAAACAAACATTCTTTCCTGAAAACTATAATTACAGCTTTGCAAATTCATTTTACAGACTTGTACTACCCGAATACTGTGAATCCTGAAAGAATTGATATATACGAAACATACAATCCTGGCTCTGTCGTTAGGATATTGGCTTGTAACAAAGCTCCACACGAGTCTTTCATAGATGGCGATAGTGTATGGTGAGTGAATTTTAGCGTACTGATGTTCTCAGCTCAGCGTCTTTCTTTAACGAAGTAAGAGTCTAGTTCATTTACTTACCACTCTCAAACCATAGTTGTATCCATGGTATTTGTTAATTGCTTTATTTATTTACAACTATTTCATTAACTATTCTTGTTAGCTGCATAAATTTATTTCTAAAAATTCTCTTTAAATATATAAAAATACAAAGCTTGATTAAAATTAATTTTTACAGCTGGGAAGTGCTGTGGAGTGGACCTCCTGTGAAACTGGCACCGCAAGCAAGGCTGTTTTCACCACCTATAAAGACACCAAGTTTTGCCACGAGGTGACTGGGCTCTCTTACACCATATCAATGATAAAAACAGAATCTCCAAGCAGTCTTGTATTGACCATGATAATCTTTTATTGAGATTGAAAAAAACTGTGGTCTCCATTTTATATGATCTTTGGTGTTTCCTGGTAAAAGAAGGTCGCTTATCATATCCTGGTAAAAGAAATTTTCTATGGAGCTGATAAAATATTATATTCTATGCCCCATCTAAATAGCTTTCAAGAAGCTACCAAAAGGTTTTAGAAATGATAAAGCCCTGCAAAAGCTAGAGGATTTTGAAAAACCTTCATTACCTCTTTTGCCTTTCGACATTTTACTTGGCTTTTCATTTCTTGGGATCATATTGAATTATAGAAATTCTGAATTTGTTTGCTTTGATTTTCTATCTTTGATCTATTTTTCTTGTTACTGTTTTTGCAATTTTGGCATTTTTGATTTTAGGAATATATTTCTTAACCATTTGAGCAGCAAATTATATTCTTCGTTCAGTTTAGTATCTTGAACGGGAAAATTAAATCTTTTCAGGTTAATTCGCATTGAACTAAACCAGTCTCTGTGTGAATATTACACTGAACTTGATGCAGTTTACATGACTGGTACAAGCTCACAACTGGACTCAGCTATGCAGAGGTCGGTAGATGACGCGTTAGAATATCTGGACATTGGCAAATTATCAATCACAGATTCATCAGAGCCTGCTGAGAATGGTATAATTGATACTGATTCAAAGGTTCCAGAAATGGACAGAGAATGTAGCGGACTGTTTCGGTTTATTCCTGTAAGTAGAGGAAGAAGTATTTTTATTTGAAAATGTAACAAGTTTAACTATACTGATAACTCAAGGCAGGGACATTGTGGTGATTTAGTTGAAGAATGGAGGAGGCACAGAGGCAGAGTCGACAATTTTTTTGTCTTGTTTTTTCAACTAGACTGACGCATTGAGCTTTCTTAGCTATGGTTTAACTTTACCGTATAGAGACAGTGAATTTTAAGACAATGCCAATGAATTACAGAATTGTGGTTATTGCCCTTAAACCCCCGGCAAGACGCATATGTCTTGAGATGTAGAAAAATGATCCTTTGTCCAGGTATTACATAATATTCTCAAAAGCTGTTTTGAAACCAAAAGCTTCCTCCTTTCGCCAACCAGATCCTTTTACTTAGGTTACCGTACCTTATCAAGCCACTACTTAAGGGTTATGATTGCTATTAATTGTCCGTTAAAGAACCTCTTTTGGACAATATAATCATTTTCTGAAAACATGGATTTTGATGTTTTTCAAAAAATATTTTTGTAAGATAGGCAGAAGCACAGTTTGACTGATTTCTTATTGTAGGCAAACAGTCAAAATATTCCGATAGGATTATTTGATATCTGTACAATATCCTAAATTAGGTCAGAATAGTAGTGAACGTTTAAAATTCCTGGGGATGGCATTTTCCCCATTTTTGACCACTGGTCACTGCACTTCCTGATAATGGGACTTAAAAATGTTTAAAAATGGAATGCAGGGTGTTGTTTAATTCAAATATTGAATCGGAAAAAATGAAATATGTCTTTTGTATGAAGAAATCTCACAATATCATTCCATACAAAGCTTGCCTACTAATATTAACGACCTACATTTCAATTCTTTGTTTCAGGATGAAGTTATAAGCCATCTTTTAACATATTTAACGTTTAGGGATTTGGGAGCCTTGGCGCAATGTTGCAGGTTTGCTAGTTTCTCAAATTGTTGGAACATGATTTATCATTTCATTTTCATTTAAACTCATTTATACGCGATATCCATACAGTTATGATATTCAAAAAGAAAAATGCATTGCAATATATATTTGCTAAGGATACTCTCAAAGATTTCAAGTATATTGCCTGTTCTTCCATGGATTCGATTTTATCTTAGTTCTTTTTGTTCGTTCGTTGTTTAAAAAATGAGATCCTTTGCTTAAAATTCATTCTGTGTTTAGTCCTTATCTTGTTTGTTTATGTCCCCAATTAGTTTAGTGGAGATATCCCAAAATGTCGTTCGCTGGCTATTTTGCATTCATCGCCTTTCTTGAGGACACTATAACAACTTAATCTTATTTCAGAAACCAGAAAGTATGCACAAAGTATGTAAATGCTATATCATAACTCTATTTTTCTTTCCATAGATTTTTGAGATCTCTTTGTTATGATCCCTTATTTTACAAAGAATTAAATTTGAAGCCTTTCTGGTCAAAGGTAGGTTCATCAATCCATAGCACTCAAAGCACGTGACTCAATCTTGTTTCCTAAAGAAATTTCCAAATACTACGTTCTATTCGCCATCTGAACATCTAGCAGTAAGGATAATTCCATTGGAGTTGTGACGTAAAGTAGAGAAACTGTTATCGTTAAAATTCTTATTAAATCTCCATTTACCAACACAACTTTTTGCAGAAAACAATTTTGCTCTATTTCAGATATCCAATAAAAGTTTAGAAGGATTAATAACGAGATGTCGCCATATTGAAAAACTTGACATGTCTTGGTTAGGCCCGCTTGGTGCAATATCTGTTCCTGTCTTCAATAAGTGAGTGAAATTAACGAAATATTCGCATTGAAGTGCATTGCAAGTTGGAGCATACGCGATACAGTCCTGTTTTGGAGAATAAATTTGAGCTGATGCTTTGGAGAAAGACAGGCCTAGCTAAATAATTATTGCAGCTTATTTTTGCTCCTGATTAATTGAAAAAACTACCATTTCTCGAGTTTGCCTATTTTATGTGTTCATATAAACATGCAAACATGTAAGCATATTTTTGTTTGCCGAAAGAATTTCTGTTCAACTATTCGATATTTTTGATTAATTTTCCTTATGGTCTTGCCTTGTTATTTTCTTTTCTAGGTTTCTTACAACATGTGGCTCCGAACTCACCCATCTACGCCTATCAGCTTGCGATTTTTTAAATGAAAATTCGGTTGGGACGATCACAACTGTATGCACAAATCTTTTAGGTAAGTTCCATTTAACTAATTGAGCAAAGGTATTGGCTTAACCCTTCCGCCTCCAAATCATATTCTTTAAAAACTACTGAGCAAATGGCTCTCCTTTGGAAGGGCTAAATTGCAAGGTTGGAGATATTAAGTTGTTGTACTTAAAACGAGCTCTAGCTAGTTGCTTTTAATCGTAATACTGTGAGTTTCATTTAATCAAACTCGTAAAAAGGATCCATCATTCAATTTGCCACTTAAATTCTACTTGTCTTCACATTCACTGCCAAGTTCCCTTCGCATTTTCAAGATTCTGCACTGAATCATATTTTTTTCCAAAGAGCTTAACTTGGCATCATGCAACTTCGAGCGACCTGAATATCTTTCTTGTATAAAGAATCTAAAGAAGCTGCGTAATCTAAACTTGTATCGCATTCCTATACCAGATTCGATACTGGCATCTATTTTTATGTAAGTACATTTCAGCTTATTCCATTTTCGATTCTTCCAAATATTTTATTACATGCAAAATCATTTGAAAAGGTTTATGATAACGGGACGATTGGTTTGTAACAATCAATATTAACTTATTTTAGGAACTTATATGAAGAAGAATTCCTTGTTGAAAGAGCTCCCTCAACACTTACGAATGTAGAGTACCACTCTAATAATTTTACCCTCTTTTGGCAATTTTCTTCATTTTTGCAAAAAAAAAATCCAAAGCTTCAAATTAATTTTCACCATGATCTTTCGAGGAAGTTCCAGGATGCCCATGAACATTTTGGATTATCAGAGTTCCAAATAAAACCAATTTAATCAGTGACAGATCTGGTGTCGCAATTAGAAGACAATTTCCCTTTCCTTACCTTACATAAGGCTAGTTTGGATCCCCTCTTTTACTATCATTTTCCCCTACTTACAAGGGCTATTACCAACTTATCCTCATCTCCGATGTGTCCCCAGATTCATTCCCTGAAGACTAATGTAACACTTTTCATAACTTGACTTTTCTTAAGCTCCTATTTTTAATTTGTATTATAACAAGAGGACATTTTTTTGTATCTATTGGACTTTGGTATTGTATTGGTTTGATGAATAATGAAAGTTGCTGTCTACCGTTTTGTCACAAAAGTGCTCGATACCGTATAGGCAAAGCAGTATGTTCTATACGCCAAAGAATGTATTGGCATTATACATAGACACTGCATGTATACATGTAAACACTACATTTAGGCCAAGTATGAATTTTGTAGCATTTAAGGTTACGGTGAACGTTTTTGACGCAATATTCGGTTTTATTTCCCTAAAACCAAAATTATTTACGGAATCAGATTAATTTATACATCATTCGATGCACAAGAACGTGGTGATTCCAACCATATAAGAATAACTGGCAAATATTGTAAAATAATACTTTCCAGTCAAATTTATTGCTTAGATGAGGGTACCACCTTCACAAGCTATTTTGTACCCGTGCGTTTGCGGTAAAAAAATCTGACTTATATCAGCAGAAAGCGCAGATCCTTAGCTGCCGAAGTTTATCTCAGATTTGTCAAATTCTTCCTCCCCTTAAAAATATACCCTGTCAAAAATTGGCAAAGAACTTTTCTTCCCTCTCATAGCTGTATTTGGCTATAAAAGACGGACCAGAGCAAATACAAAAGTTTTGAGACACACTTTGCTTACCCGACATCTGCCCTGGCCGTGTGCAAATTTTTGAGCCATTCGATTGGTTCCTTGGGTACAAAATAGCTTTTTCGCACCTGTATGTAGAAGAGGATACATTCGTAAACAGTGTAATCCGGGTCAAGTCACTTGAAGCTTTAAGATCAATAAGCCTGTTTAAATAAAGACAGCCGTACATGGGATACATGGATGTTCCATGCGATATTGTAAATGAGACATGCGACCACAACCGGAAAGCAACGATGGTTGGCTTAAAGCCCTGGAAAAACGTCTAAACATTTCACTAAACATTTCACTCAACTTTTGTTTAGTGAAGTTGAGCAAAGTTTAGCGAGGGTGGCAAAACGTGACTAAACTTTCCACTAAACTTCACTCAACTCTTTTGAACTGTGAGCTGTATAGGACGCTGTGGGGTTGTAGTGGATCTTGCATAGGAATTTCAAGCAGTGGATAAAAATAAGAATTGGATGAAGCGATGAGGAAGGAAAAGACTTTTTAGCACATTGACAACAAAGTTGACTGTTTAAGAAGACACAGTGGCGTACAACGAGATATTCAGATGTCTCATGACGGCTTTTTGGTTCACGTAGAGAAAGGAAAACCAACAAAATTGACAAAAACCTTTGGATTTCCACAGCTAGAGCGCCTGCGCGATCAGAACAAATGTATAATTGGTGGCAAAACCACTAAACACTTGCTAAACAACACTAAACAACGCTAAACACTTTTGACCAGGATCAAACTCAACAACACTCAACACGACTAAACAGCATTAAATAGGGGGGCAAAAAGACTAGACTTTTCACTAAACAAAACTTTTGGTTAAACAAAAGTTGTGTGAAATGTTTATTGAAATGTTTAGTCGTTTTTCCAGGGCTTAGCAGCTCAAGATATTTTCAGACCTCAACTAGAAGTTTTGACAAAGAAATGACGGAAACCTTCGTTTACATGGGATTTTTCCATTTTCAAAATTTCTGTTGGTTTCAAATTTGGTATCATTGTGTGCCTTGAAAGTTCGGTTACTTGAATGTGAAAAAATCGAAAAATTGATGTTTTTTCCAGGAAACGTTTACCGTAACCTTAGTGTTATGTGTTAACAAATATTAAGGAAAAAGGTATTTATTATTATATTATGAGTCAATTTGCCTTTGAACACTCCGGCGTTCCTAGATCAAGCCTGGAGCTTCTCATGATATATCTGTTGCACCTTTCTTCGATTTCTTAAGAAACAATTTACGCTGTAGTGTTTGCGACAAGATGCTTCTAAGGAGCTACCTCTAGTTTATAGCTTAATGTGGTCATCAGGCAGTTGTTAAAACGAGTATTGGTTTCTTTGTTTTTAAAGACGAGCCTTTTAAAAGAACGGTATTTCTTTGCCCAGGAATTGTTCCAATTTAGAGTTCTTAAATCTTGGAAGTAATACTGCAATTTCAAATGGGAATGATGTTTTGGAAAATCTTGGGAGCTATTGCAAGTATGCAATGTATTTGGTATTACATTTTTTGTCGATATTAGATTCATCAAGATGTAGAAGATATGAAAGGTGGATATCATTGATAGATATAAAAGTGGCTTCAGCTGTCAATCAATATTAGCGAATCAATGAGCGTGTGAGTGGGATCCCGCTCACTGATTGGTCAATTTTTGATTGAAAGATGGCTTAAGCCCCTTTAGTACCATCTGTCGATTGCCTTTAAGTAAACCGATTATCTGGTTTTTGGTTTATATTCAGCGGTTTGTTAAGCCATAAAGGCTATTATTATATTCAACCGGGATCCAGCCTTTATGAATGGACCGCAATCTCCGTAGCATCAACTTCATGAAAACGGTTGCATCGATATTTTGTAGATATTGAAAATTTTACTTCTAGTAAATAGAAAACGTGTAAAAACTTTATTTCACTTCCAAAAGTTACTTGACATTGTTAGATGACAGCGTACATAATGTTTTCAAAGTTATTTCGAATAGTTATTGGTTTTATTTGCCTGGTTTATTGGTAAAAATTCCTGTTTTGTGAAGTTTATTGAAAACATGATTTTCATATGTGGAGCACAAAGAACATGGATTTTCATAAGCAGTTTTTTTGAGTGCGTTTTTTTATGAGAATCGGCAAAGCGTTTTCAATGATGTGCAAAGAGATGCAAATTTTCCTGCTTCGATATTTTCCGCATAATGGAGATCTGGCTTAAGTCTTGTTCGGAGAGTAAACAAGCTTATTCATATAGAAATAAAATTTTAATATGATAAAGTTAATATTATAAGCTTTATGCGGGAAACATCACTACTTTACTGCCTTATTCGAAAATACAGGCTTGCAATACTTTGACATATGTGCAGACTTTTGAATACACAAAATGCACTGTCAACTAGGTCAACATTAGCACTGAAGTTCTTGACACGTTTCTTTAAGTCATGTTGTATAGTTTCCTTTTTTGGAGAATTTTCCCGAAAAGCAACTGCCTTTGAACATATGCAATAAAACATTGGTGACTTATGCGTTTGAAGTTACAGTTGCTTAGAAATATTTTTATACCGGCTAATCTATAAAGAATTTGATAAAAATATAAGGTTTCAATTTCAGGAAATGCTACAAAACTTTCCAATTCTTAGGCCTAGCCAGAATTTTGTAGAAGAAAAGTGACTTTTCTACGAAGATGAAAGCTAATAATTCATGCATATTACTATGGTTATGAAATGCTGTTGTTGTGAATAGCATCTTCGCTCACCATAGGTAGTATTTTTTTAGTGCTTTCGAAGTTTTTGGATGTTTTTTGTTTCTTATTGGCAGTGTTGTTGTTCTGTAGAAACCTACGTGGTCTTGATTTATGGAGGTGTAAAACTGTTGACGCAAGAGGCATCATCTCATTATGTGAGTCATGCCCTGGTATTGAAGAGCTTGATTTTGGTTGGTGGTAAGTAGTTTACTTGTGACGCAACAATTTTGTCAATAATAATAATATGTAACTATAGAAAAATTGCAAGGCTATTGATCAGTCCAGTTACTTTATGAATGTTCTTTAAATGCCTATTCCATGAAGGCTCGTAAAAGTTTCTTATATCTATTTTTTCTCAATTTTCAAGTGCTAGCATCAAGTCTAATGGACAAGCTGTTATAAAAGTTGCCGAATCATGTCCAAAATTGAAGAAACTTTTCCTGACTGCAGTAAGGTGAGTGTCATAAGTTATGCAAAACTCTTTTTAATGGATTTGTTAACTAACCATCTCAGAATGCATAATAAAATCCTTGCTTGGATTTAGAATTGTTACTTAAGGACATTGAAGGATAGTTTCTTAATCAGACGATTGAGAGTGATATTCGTATTATAAGTGATGTAAGAATTACTTAATCACAGAGACATTTTTTCAAAGTTTCAGTCCTTCAATTTGTGGTAGATAATGTAATGCTTGGACTATTTCTATGACATGAAACGAGTCAGGTTCTCAGAGAAAACAGGAAGACAGTCAATTATAAGCTAGAATAATTCATAATATATGTAATAAGCGATAAGGTTTTAATTAATAATCCGAAATTTTTTCCACTTTATATAAAGTAAAAGCTACAATTTAATGCACTGTTTTTGATATATAAAACACTTTTCAGGTTAGGAAACGCATATACAGTTTTAATTGCTCGAGTTAAATTTTGTTGAACCCTTTAATTTTAGAAGTACCAGTGATGAAGATGTTGATGCCTTGGCGAAGAATTCATTAGAGCTGGAACAGTTTGATATGCTAGGGACGGCCAATGTGCATCCCAGCTCGGTTTTTAGGTAATAAAGTGGTCATGTGTGTTTGTAAATTTCAACTAGCAAGTGATAGTGGACTTGAGCATTGCCTGCAGCAGGTTGCAAATAGATGTGTTTATTTAGCTTTTAGCACTTCCATTATTGGTTTCCAAGACGTTTGAAGTTTGCCTCTGTTGGGAAATGAGAAAAAGGATTTTACAAGATCTTTGCCACTTTGTAGTTATTTTATCTTTTTGGAAATCAGTCATACAAGCTATGTTTAATTTTCAACAGTTTTTGTACTTATGAAAGAGGACAGCTATACTTGAGTAGCTAATTTGTGCAAGTCTTTTGAACGCTTTTTAAGTTGATACCACTCATTTTTTTTCGTAGGCTCCTTTCGAATTGTATAAATTTAAAGATGTTGGATGTTTCTTTCTGTTCGAGCATCGATGTTGAGACGATCAATCAGTGGCACAAACAGTTTCCCCGAGTATCAATCAAAAAGAGCTTTACAAGCTGAAGTGAATGGCAAATCCAACTTCGCAACACTGTGGTTAAGCACCACATCGAGGCTAGAAAGCTGCTTTCCCACCTGGCATTGTATTTTGTTGTGTCATTAAAATCGAAAATAATTTCGTTCTGAAATCAATAGATCACACGAATATAAAATTTTGTTTGACAAAATCAAATTGACGATGACAGAGTTAAAATTTTCTTTACATCAATATTGTAAGTTTTGTTTCAATGTACTGTAATATTTTTATTCTTTAATCATTAAATAATTTTCAGTGATAAATTTTGGGATTTCGTTGATATTTGACTCCATACATGACGTCATACATGTCAAACAGCCTACTTGAAAAGATAAAGTTGTTCTCGTTAGAAATTTGTCCTGTTGGAAAAGTTTAAACGCATACTACAGAGTAGAGAGATTGCTAGAATATTTTCCTACAAAATTTTGCTTGATTCCCTGCAAATAAATCTGCAAATAGTCCCTGACTTTTTTTTATCTCAGATAATAGTACAGAATAAAATTTCTTTTTGACATTTTTCTGTCGTGAATCAATAAAAACTTCAAAATTTCGAAGTTGAAAAAAAATAAAAATTAGCCAAGATTCCAGTAATGTTAACAAGTTAGTGCTTGACATGTCGCTATGATAACAGACATCGTTTGATTAGTTCTTATTGTATATATTCAAATTTTTACTTTATTTGTTTTAAAAACGACAAACTTTTAAAAATAGCTTTAGTTTCTATTTAAGACTTGACAAACTAGATTCGAGTAATTGAATTACCGTAAATCCTCGAATTAGCTCAATGGGGGCTTTTTTATATTTTTGGATGGGGTTTATTTGAGGGCGACTTATACGAGGGAGGGGGCTTATGAAATTATCTAGAACATGCCGCATAAGAAATAATTTTTTAAATTTATTTCTTTTACAATCAATCCAATCAAACACAATGTTGCTATCGTTACTCGGAAAGGAAAGCGAGAAATTGGTTTGGTTGTCCCAGTGAAGTTTAATACAGAGAGCAAGAACAATAACATAAACATAACATAAGAAATGCTGTAATGTAGGCTATAAGCCTGTTACAGATCGCTTCTAATCTAATTGTTGTTGTTGGTAGGGGATGCTCCTGAAAAACATGCAAGTTAAAACATTGGAGTCCATGCGCAATGGAAAGAAACCCATTGGATGAAAACGAATCAAAGCTTGGAAAATTTGAATGTATGACGTGTCTCAGTTTTTCCGGAACATCCCCTTGCCCAGATATTGGTGACAAAACTGCTTGAAAAGCAAAATTTATCTGGAACTCGCTGTGCATAATGAAGAAGACATTATAAGAAGACCTCGTATATTTTAGTAAGAATTTCTTTATGAAAATTTAATTAATTCTTACCAAGAGTATAAATTTTTGTGGTACTTCAATAAACGCCAAAGGCAACCTCAGATGGCAAAGATCAACCAGTCGAGGGGGCTTATTCAAGGATTTACGATAGAAGTGGGGGCTTATTGACAATTAGTAGTTCAAGAGTGTGGGCTTATTCAAGGGGGGCTTTTTCGAAGGGGGACGTTAATTCAAGGATTTACCGTAAATGTATACATACGAAGATTTTGGTTAAAGATGATCTTCTTCATTACCTTAACTTCATATCCTTTATTATGTTGCTAAAAGACCATTGCTAGTCTTCAAGTCATAGATCCGGTAGAGCATATTTGTACTTAGTTTGTGCATAGATAATTGTGATTGACATACCCTCACCAGAACCTGTCTGTTGTTATCGCCTTTACATTGTATTTAAATAATAATATAAATGAATTTATTTTGCACTGAGTTCTCGTTGTCTGTTGTTGGTTGTTAAATTTAGTATTTAGCATTGAAACAATCATGTCATCTAGCGTAATCAGGGGTATGCAAACGTCTTCAAAAACTGGGGCAAGATAAAAACTGGGCATAATTTATATTTTAGAGACAAGACAGCTGAAAAAATTCAGGGGCCCTATCCCCAAGCCCTGTAGCGGCGCCAGCTACTGCAGAGTGGGAGGGTTTCAGTGCTTTGTACCAGGTTAATCTTCCTTAGGAAATATGAAGTACCCCTACCTAGCGCTTTTTAATCGGTTGCTAGAAGAAATATGTAAAACAATTTGACAAAAGTAGGGGGTAACAGCCCCCCATACCCCCTCTGCGCAGTGTTACAGGCTAGGGTTCGCTGTTACTTTTATGGAATCGTATACGGTAAGAAGCGAAGACGATAGCGTGCAACTCGTGTCGAGGCTCGAGACTGACTAATGATCATAAGATTATTACAACAATACATTCTGAACACAAGCAACATAAATTAACGTAATATAGCCCTAGTCAAACGATCTAACATTTACCCTACATTTCGCCTAACATTTTTCTTTTATATTGGAATGTGACTCAACGATGGTGGTCAAACGTTCCAACATGTCATCGCCAACATTTCACCCAACATTTTCACTCGCAGATCGAAAAAGGACTGGGTAGAAGTTCGCGCTGAAGGCTGCACAGTTTCGCGACATTTCGATCCGAGAAAACGAAAGGCGATCACTGCCTTCTCTTTTTATTTTCATTTCAGATATTTCACTGTCATCGCGGTATTTCAGGACGAGCGTCGCATCCCCTATCAAAGCCGTGGCCTAAATTCGACCCCTGCGCTTTCTTGCAGCTTCTCTGTGCTACCGGCTTTTTAATGACGCTTTACGCCTCTTTCGCACAGAATTCTTTATGTTTCGCTATATTGTCCATAATTAACATGAAACTGATTGTAAGCAAACGCGACTGTTGAAACTGGTGTTGGCATTACACGCGCTGGTGTTGGCATTACACTGCTTTCTTTCAATTTTTTCCCTAGCTGTGCTTGTTTTTTTCTATGCTTTCTAATAAACGCCTCACTGCAACGTATACCCGCGTGCTACTTTTTGTTGTTTCTCGTTAGGCCCTTTTTGCAAATTTTCCCCAGAATTGAAGAATCTTTTCTGAAAAATGCTTTGCCTTTTACGGAGAAAAGCTGTGATCCAACGAAGTACCGTTCTATTTATTTCATCCGGGTTTAATAAAAGGAAATTTGTCTTCTTTTCGTAGGTTTAATAAAAGGAAATTTCATCCGGGTTTAAAAAAATCAATGATAATCGATGACATAATTGATTATTTTCATTTCCATTTCGATTTGATCTCCTTCGCTACTCGGCACGTTAATATTTCAACTATTAATTGGCAAACTAAAACCAGTGAGGACCAAACTCCTCATTACAATGTTTCAGGTTGGGTGCGCAAGTGATGGGAATGATTACCAGAAAATTCGAAATTTTCCCACTTAGTAACTATCGTGTACTTGTTTATTGCTCCTGCCGCAATAGTTTGCAAGCTAGCAAAAACTTAACCTACTTTACCAAAAATGGTTCCTATTCTGTTTAACGATTGAATGAAGACAGTTTTGTGATATCAAAGAAATTCCAATACCCTTTTGTATGACTGGCCTTGCACGCCTATTTACTATTTCTTCGCTGAGATCATTATGTTGTCAAACGATAGTACGTATATAAGAGCCAATGCTTATTTTCTTGTATGTTGCTTCTAACTGCTACTGTCAAGAAAGTTAGCCAAGTCACGGTATTCAAAATGGTACTTTAAGGTTTGGAATAAGCAGTGGGTCTTAAAAAAGAGCAAACAATTTAAATTTGTATTTCCACTATTTTCGATATCAGAGGATAACTTCATTTTGCTTAATTGAAAAATCTACTACTCGGCAACCTGACACTTGACAGTCACATATGAAATTTTTGTAGCACCGCCCCTGCTTTTAAACGGTATATGTATTTACATTTAGATAAATAATTTTTTTTTGATAATGATGATGATGTCATTTATGTGGAATTTGTGCGTGAAAGGATTGAGTTGAATTGGCAAAAAACCCGCGAATGCCTCGATCTCGATGTGATGCTAATCTTCAGAATGAGATGGAACGCGGCAAGTTGAGAGTATGTTTTGTGCCTGACGAAATTGTTGGAGATCAAATTAGAAGTTATCGTGTAAAAGGTAAATAATAATGATGAGGAAAATTAATATTTTAAGAAATCATTCTACTCGCAAGACATTGTGGTATTTTTTTATTTAGATGCAGGAGTCAAGTCTACGCATATTTCTTTCAAAGTTTTTAGGCCGGACTTTCCACGATATCTCCACTGTGCAGGCTGAAAAGCCCGGTGTACTGGTGTGCAAAACCAGATATTCTGGCATGCTGATATCCACCAACAAATTTGCTTTTATCTAGTTACAAAACTCAAACTTCTGCCACTGGACACAATTTTTCTGGGTCATTTATATCCAGACAGAGTATCAGTCTCGGATAAGTTTTGAATTACTATAACTACATTTAATCAAAAACGAAATTTTTAAGTAGGGTAAAGCTCAACATGCATTTAATTATAGCACAACTTTTAGCGACTGAAACACAATAAAGAACACTCTGCATCACATAATTTTAAAATAAACAATAGTTGTTTAATTCTCCCTGAGCAGTCAAAGTAAAGATGACCATGTTCATTTAAGATCCTTTAGTATGCCACACCAACAACCTTACAGTTTTGCAGGGGCTGTATGCAAGTCCAAAATTTTGAGTTCCTTCTCAGTTTCTGTCATTCCATTTTGTTATCGAGCATACCTTTGTTTTAGCTTAATCAACTGTGATCGTAGTAACAAGCTTATTTGAAGCAGGTTTATACACTGTAAATGTATTATTAAAATGAATCCCCTATTGTAAACCATAGACATAATTTGTCCTGCTGAACTATCTTGAATCTAGTGAGCAAAGAAAAAAACACTAATAAATTTTCTATTTGATATTTTCTTAGAATGTACACTAAAAGAACACAATGATGAAGATACACTTCCAATGAAAAGATCAAGAGGAAAAGATTCTGTCTCTACACCAAGAGGTAATTAATTTTCTTAAGCAATAATGCATCAAGTGTTATTTTGTTTGATTAGTAATTGGACTTATATGTCTATTGTGTAAGTCTTCTTGTGTAAGTTTACCAATGCAATTTGCCAATAAGACCTTTTGTCAAAATTCAAGGCCGTTACAAATTGTTAACTTGAGAACTAGTAGACCCAGTATGGTTGTAGCCATAAGTAGCAATGTTTAATTACTTTTCAGCATGCAATCTTTGTGTGTTTGATTACTTTATGCTCTACCTTTTTGGAAAAATATAAGCTCTGTGATGCATAATGATAATAACTGAGCATCACACTGTCATATCAAACTGTCAAAAATTTCAGCAGAATTTAGGGTTTCACTGGCCTTTTCAAACTGATTTTCTTGTAGAATACAATAGTATACAATAATTTTTGTAACCTACTCCGCAGGCCTTTCCCTGAGACGAAGGCTATAATACTACAAATAATTAAAGTGAGAAATGTTACACCATGCTGTCAAATAGAAAACAATTTCTTTTCAAGTCAATACATATAAACTAGGCATTCGCAAAAACGCCACATTTAACCTGCAAAAGCAAACAAAACTTTTCTGTATTCCAAAAAAGTTATGTTCCTCTTCTATCTCGTTTTGAGGAGTTGTAATACATCATTTAAAGGTAGTAATACACACAAAAATGCCTTCTTCATCTGAATAGTGCTTATAGAATTAGCAAGGAAATGTATGTTTGCCTTTGTAAATACCCAAATATAAAAAAATTAACAACAGTTCAGCAAGGGCTAAATAGCCCACACAGCCAAACTGGCAAGGGCTTTTTATAGCCCATGTTGTATTTTTTCCCGGAGAGGCCTGCTACTCCATGAAATATCTGTTGGCAGCAGTTTTAAGGCATCCATCACCCCTGCAAGGATCCAAAATTTTGTCTGTCAGTCGAAAGTGATGTTTTATGGAATGTATGATAGGAATCAAATTTTGCAAAACATCATAAAACATCATAAAACATGGTGGTCAAACAAACAAAACATGTTTTATGCAACAGTTTTGGATGAAGTTTTATTTTGATGTTTTATTCGTTTGGCCAGGGCTTAAGGTTAGTGTTTCACTGCCACTCACAATTTCATATCAGTAAGTATTGATTTAAATTTTTGAATAAATATGAGCAATACTCAAGTATTTAAATTTTTCTGAAAAAACATACCTAATGAAAGTAGAAAATTTCCTTGGACTGAAGTTACTGTTGACAAGAAGCCTTTTCTAACAAAAATAGTTAAAGCCTGTTGCTTCTCTTCAAGAAAATGTTGTATGCTTGCTATCGTGAGATAAGTTTCAAAGGGGAGCACTGTTAATTTTTCCTGTTATACTGTTGGCAAAAATTTGGCGAGCTGACAAAGAATTATAAGTTTAATACCTCTTGAATATTTTTTAATTTTTTCTTTTTTATTAGATTCAATTGTATTTAGAAATGTGTTTTGTCATGACTGATTATTTTTAGATACATTCATACATACGTTTTGTGCATATTAGGCAATAAAAAGCGGTGGCTTATTAAGACATGGGTGGATATGTTCACCTATTGCTTATGTTAATAATCACTTATCAGTGCAATATTTTTTGTTAGGCACAGCTACAAGGATTGAAAAAAAGGTTAGCAAATTATTCCACTTTTTAATACATTTTGTGTGATAATACATTACTAGCTGTGTAGAACAGGGCAGTAATAGTATGCAAAGAATTTCCTTTAATTATCTGATTTATTATCTTTTTTGCTAAATAAACTTAAATACTGTAAAGGTTTAGCCTTGTATCATTGTTCATTCCTTCAGAGTGATGCTTTTGCCCACTTTTATTGCTTTACTGGTCGCCCTTGTACATGTTTGTATATATTGTGTGAAAAAGAAATTAAAAGAACCAAGAGACATAGAAAGCTTAAAGTTGAATGGTAGCTAGCGATCTAGCCCTAAAGTGCTTAAAAATGCTCTTGTGACCTAGTTTAACACTGTTAAAAAACTGCGTTGTTCTCATTATTTTCCTACGAAAATTAGTATTTATAAACAAACATTCGATTGATAGCCTCGGTGTTTTTATCTGTTTGGATACAAGTTTAGATTTAGAATTTTTACAAAATTCACATGCTAGTTTGTGGAAGTCTAACGCTACGAATTTCATTTTTTGGGTAACATTCACTGCTGAACAATACCCGGCCATATTTCAAAACAGTCAGTTACCTGGATCTTAATAGCAAGATTTTGTTTATTGTGTCTCCTAGTAACGGATAAGTGTATTTATTTCTGTCATTATTATATTTCTTTCCCAAGGAGAAACTGAAGGAAAACAAAACACCAAGCAAGAGCCCGAAATCGCCAAGAACTCCAAGGAAAATTCCAAAGAAGGTAGATTAAGCAAACTCTCTGTTGTTTTTCGGGCCTTTTGTATCTTTTGTTCCATTTGATAAATTTGTAAATTTTCCTTTTTTATAAAGGTCTGTTGTTCCAGCTTTGCTAGAGAACATACGCGCTAAGTTATTATCAAGATAGAACCTAGAAAAGCATGTGCGACTATTAGAGATGGCAAACAATTCGATTCTTTCACGTGAAACGTCTAAGGGGCATTTTCTTATTACCCTCATTTGAAGCCCGCCGTGAAATTCAATACAATTTTCCTTGAAAATTACGGAAATGTGGGAAATGTCGTACTGAAGTTCTATAGGTTTTAAACTTTTGATGATCAAGAGAAAAGTAAGCGGAACATATTAAATTTGTGCAATTTGTACATATCGTTTGATTTTTTGGGAAATCGATATTACTCTCAAAACGACCAATCCTCCTTTCAGCAATTATGTCTGGTATATGCATGAACTCAACGTGTTTTTTAGCTTTATATTTTTTGCTATATTGTAGCCTGATATTACGGCAGGAGACGGTAATGAACGGCATCTTAGAGAAAGGAAACGCCCTACAGATATCCAAAGTGAGTACGCAGGGTTCTTAAAATTGACTTATATTTTTTATATCCATTTTTAAAACTCCAGCGCTCTTTATCATATAAAGGCACTTAACATTATGTGTTGGCGAAGACCGTTCGAATTTTAAGAATAATTTCATTCTACTTCAAGGGGTAATAGCAACAGAAAACTCTGAAGATGACTCTCAATCAAGTGATGCTAATGATGACGAAAATCAAGTTGATTATCATGGTGACTCTACAGATAACGAGGTTACGTTTAAAGTCCACGAGAAGACAAAAAAGAGGACTGGAGTTCAAGGATCTACAAAAAAGGAGTATGTTATTGTCTTTGAACGAGGACGAGCAAAATTTGAAAAGCCAAGATTTTAGAACTTGAGGAAAAGATTTTCCTCTCTATTCAGTTATCATTTTGGTGAATTTCTTTTGGAAATTGTTTCATATGCCTTGAAAAGTTAGCGTGACACATTCCAGTGAGTATTTCAAGGCTGGCACTGTTTGAAAGCTGTTCTATCGCAAGTGATTTTCCGTGTTAACTGTACTTGTAGAATGATATTTAGAATAAACTTGCCAAATGTTTGCCAATACAACTTACTGTTTGTAGAATAACCTAGGTTTTTGAGAGATATTAACCGTCACGATTTCTAAACACAATGTGTTGACTAAAACGTTTCAGCAGGTTAGGATAAAATATTTTGTCGTTAGACCCCTTATCTTGCTGCCTAACTGTTATATATTATTTTTCTCGGTTAACTCAGTGTTAAATAACTAGCTAGCCACTGAAAAACTTAAATGTTTGCATTGAATTGTAGATCCCTTGTTTTTAGCATGCATTCACTGCGATATAACTGATCCAGAAAGTAAACTGGGACTGCCCGAAGACACGTTAGATGTCGAGTAGAAGCAGGAAAGTTTGATTTTAAAACTAAAATGTTGTAGTTCTAAAATTGTCTTACCCTCATGTTTTAGAGAATTGAAAACACCAGCCAAGGAGTTATCAAGATTGGTATGTATTATCAAGAATCGAAAGGCTTTCTTTACAGCAGTCAAGTGCTTATGAAATCATTATTTCATTATGATACCAGGCAGCAAAATATGTACTTCATCTTTCTATATCTTTTGTCTTTACTGAGATAACCAAGTACTTAGTAGAAAAACCTGAAACAGCTGTTTTTATGTTTCGTTATTATATGTTTCTCACATTATCATGTTCAATTTCCTTTTAAACAATTTCTTTCTTACCAGCTGCTGATGATTAAAGTATTTGTTTACGTATTGGAAATACACGTAAATATGAGCACTGGTTGGCATCTGAAAACTCAACTCTTTAATGTACTGCACTGAACTGTGTCTTCACCTAGATTTGACAGTATCTTGGCCAATTATATCTTTACCAGAACTTGTTTGGTTGGCTAGCAGATTCTTTGTTTAGTTCTTTTTTTCTATTAATTCTGTTCAGCCATTTCTGTTTAAGTGCAAGTAAGGAAAATAAAATTTGCTGTGTTTTATTGCAGAGAGAAATGGCAGAGGAATATTTTGCTGTGCACCATCAAAAAAAGATAGTGACTTCAGACAGAAACCTTTCGAAATTACAAAACCAAAGAATGACACAAAATGTATGCAAAAACCTTATCCTCTTTAAAGATAAGTCTTAATGCTAGAAGGTATAAATTAACAAGTTCTTAAAGTTTCGCACCTTAGCCACTAACGAAGTTTCTCATCTTAGCCACTAACGAACCACAAAAGAAAGACTGATTGGTAATTCAGTTTGCAAAACAATTGTAAGAGGGGCTTTTGGTCACATGTTTGCTGACAAGAGCCTCTGTTTTTTTCTGCTTTGTCTTTTTTTACCAACAACTTATAGACATAACATCTCAAAAGCCAGTTGCTCGTTGTAAAATAGAAAGGAACTTACCGTTGAAGAGAATAATCAAGTCTTTCAATGTTAAAGACTTGAGCCATTGAAACCCTGCGTGAGAGGTTCGATGTCGGAGGGTCTATTACGTTCCTGACGTAAGCTTTTCTGACATTATCTATAATGTTGTTAATAATCAACCATTCACTTGTTCATGGCAAAATTTCGCTATCCATGAACAGATTGAGGACATCAAACAGTGGCAGACACTTGGTCAAATATTGGGGGGCAAGACTACTGTTTTGATAAGATGACGTCGCATTTTCCTATTGTTTAGAAAAAAAGACCCTTGTCTCCCAAAATATAGAGAGCGACCGCCCCCTCGTCCCCCTCGTCCCCCTCGCCCCTTCGTCCTCTCGCCCCCTCGTCCCCCTCGCCCCCCTCGCCCCCTCCCCTGCAGGTGTCCGCCACTGGCATCAAAGGAGAGTGTTGACAGTGTGCTTTGTTGTGAGAATTATGTCATCATAATAACGCGTTGACCGCCACACACCTATGTCATTTTATTGGTCATTTTAAAGGAGAGCGAGCAGAATTATTTTATTTTTGTCATAATTATCAGATAATTTTACCCGTGAACCTTGTTATCTTACAGTAAACTTTTTGTGATATTATAACTGAAAATGAAACTTAAGATGTTTTATAAGCAATGGATATTGAAAATAAATGTCAACGTGGTCGGAAATTTCATTTTCGCTGCCTTCTTTAGCTAATGGTTTCATTTGCGTGGTAGGAAAATCGTTGGTCGAATTTTCCAATTCTTCTCATTTCCGTCATTGATGTTTCATTTCCCGAATCATAATATCCAAACTGTTCTCATAAGCATATGATTAGCAGACTGTCTGTCAACGACAATGCATAATTTTGCAAAATATTTTCCGACCCAGTTTTGATTTTCAACAAAAATGGGATAAATAACACCCTTAGACATCTGTCTCGGCCCTTTTAAGACTTTCTACTGAACAAATTTTTGCAAATGTCCGACAAGATTATTTTGCAAGATAGTATCATTAAATCATTTTGATTTTTGTGATAACTTTTCTGTGTCGTAGGACTTGATTGAACACCTATCAGATGCATCTGGAAGCCATCACCGGGAATGCTCACGGTTATTTAAACAACATGTCGCCCTATTTCCAAAATGGATTTTTCAATTGAGGTAATTTTAGAAATTCCAACTGAAAAAATATCCACGTTTCTTCAAAGATTTATTGACACCCGTTTGCTATGAAAATTATTTATAGCTTATTATAGTGATTGCAACTATATCTTACTGTTTCTTTATTTTCCTTGCTATTTTTAAAGTTTACACTACTGGTGGACGAGGTAAAAACTGGTCACATTTCTACAAAGGGAACTTACAGAATAAACGGACATTATGAGTCGCGTAGTTAATCTTATGTCCATTAAAGTTTTTCGTTTGGCTACTTCAAAATAAGCACAATTCTTCTAATTCTGTTCGAGTATCATCTTTTGCAAGCTATTCCCAATTTTTCACGAGAATTTGACGTCATTTTTTCTTTAAATTACAATACATTTTTTCGTTACTCTAGACACGGCTTCAACGTTCTTTTACATGGCCTTGGATCAAAGCGAAGATTATTGGATGAGTTTAGAAAACAAATGCTCCCAGATTTAGTCCACATTGTAGTTAATGGATTTTTTCCAAGCTTAAATATAAAAAGTGTGAGCAAACATTTGTGCATTTTATCCGCTTTCATTCTGCTTCTCTCCTTTTTGTTCTTTAGAGAAGGCACGTAATTCTGAACACCTTTTATATCCACTCTGAATTCACTTTTCAGTTTCCTTCATTGATTCCATCCTTTTATCTTCTATCTGCATTTACCTCACGTTCTTAGATATGATGTCATTTTAAACGATATGATAATATATTTTTGCGATCAACCTCGACTCCGTGTCATATCCTCTCCATCTCCCTTCCATCTATTCGTGTCTCCAGTTGCCACTGGCTAATAGCATGATTTTCCTTTATTGAGAGAGTGTAATAACCACACAGATAGTAGTGTTATACTCCACTTCCATGATGTCATATCCTCCTTTTCTCAGATTTTGAATATGATTACTGAAGACATTATCAAGTATAACGGAACTTATAAAAGTTTGACCGACCAATGTGATGTTATCAAGGCGGAGTTTAACACAGGTGACAACACTTTGTATAAGATACATTCTATATCATTTTTACATTTCTCTTTATACAGGATTTTGTTCTCTGCTAGAAATTCTTTTTTCAAGTGCTCTCCAACATGCACTTGATAACATATCTTACAAATTATTTAAAAGGCGCGAAAACTGCAATTTCATGAACACAAATAGCAAGAAGGAGGGGGGGGGATTGCCTAACATTTTTATATATAGAATATATGGAATAATGTACAAGTTTAAATAGTTTAAATACGAGCAAAAAGTTTAAATACAGTGTTCAGACAACGATACACTGCTATGTATTTTCCTGGACCAATGACTCTCACACAGAAACCTCTCTAGTTAGTAGTTTCTTTCTATTCAGAGCAATGCTGCATTCACTTCTTGGCAATTTTAATTTAATTTAACTGTACAAGCTATTAAAATCTTTTAATATGATGTCAGGATGGCACAATGGTTTGGGTCGTGGTCTACGAACCAAAGGGTCTGGGGTTTGAGTCTCGACATTACCAAACTTTCAGCCAGAGTGATGGGAGTCGCAAGCTCTCTGCAATTCCAGGCACGAGGTGTGATCACATCGAGAGGAAGGACCAGGACACTGCTCATAAAGCAAAGCTCGTCAGTGTCCTAAAACCCATGTTCGGACGCATAACACCAAAGGCTGCCATTGAAACATACCATCATTACAAATGTATATGTTTAACATTGAAATTTAGATTATTTATAAAAGATCTTTTTTGTTTCATAGAAGATGCAAAAGAGCTGTTTCTTATCATACACAACATCGACGGGCCAATGTTGCGAAATACAAAGGTATTTCAGCTTGCATGCCTTCTACTTGCCTTTCCCACTCAACCCATTGAGTGGCTTTCTTTAAATCAAGATAAGCAAAACTTCATATAAAAATGAGGAAAATCACCTGAGTTTTACGGCTAATCTGCTGAGTTTTTGAAATCCGCCTTATTTTGCCTCTTTTGATGATTGTTGCTCTTTTCGACCAGCTCCTCTATCTTCACGTCACAATTTCCCTTCTGCTTTCGGCTCGATAAAATCTTTTAAGTAGATTGATGTTGCTTCATCAGTAGGTATACAAAAAGCTGGGAGTATGCGCTCATTGTCTTGGAAATAAGCGACGAAGAAATTTAGATTTTAATAATAGTATTGTTTTGAAGGTGGAAATTGTTTTTGATATTTTTCAAATTCCACATAGACATGCATCAAAAAGATATATTCATTTGCAACTCTTATCATTTGTAAATTAAAGAATTAAGTCAGCGTTGAATTTGATTTTACAACCTTTTATAAACCTGCCAATCTTGAAATGCTTAATTTGTTCATTGATTATCGCAAAACTACAACTTTTCGGCCCTTTGATTTCACTGTCATAGTTGAACCCCTAGGAATGCAATCATATAAAACATTACTAGCTAAGTAAAATGCAATCCTGCAATTTCTCAAAAGCTTTAGAAGTTAATTCTGGTCGATCTTATACCTTTGGATCAAAGATGAAACAGGCTCGACCCAGGTTACTTTAAACAGGCTAAATTTTGTAGTGTAAACGGGATTTAAGGCTGCGTTTTAGGTCCACTTAAGTAACAAATAAAGGATTTTACATTTAAGAGAGAATCCGTTGTCCGTAGGTTTTCATTTTCAATGTTCTGCCCAGAGGAAATTTTTTGCTGATAATTTTGCCGTTCTTATGCGCTTTTGCTGTTATCGAAAGTCTTAAAAATTGTTTTGTTTTCTATTTACAGGCACAGAATGCTTTGTCGTATCTTGCGTCGTCATCAAAAATCCATATCATAGCGTCAACAGACCATATAAATGCTCCAATAAGTTAGTTTCTTTTTTCCATCTTTTAGTATATATCTATTAACAGAATTTCTGCTTAACGCTACATAAAACTATTCTGCTTTTCCAGCGATGCTCACAAAAGAGTGGTTAAGTGATGACATCACAAAAGCGTGTTTTTGCAATTTCAAATTTAGACCATAAAAATTTCGAAGTACACCTTATGATGCTTCTAATTATTCAAAATCATTCAAATGAGGCGTTACTACTCTAACAGTTGGACTCACATCGTTTAGTAATACTTTGAATGTGAAAATCGTCACCTGTCTCAGTGTCTCTATGTCTCTGTGTTTTTTTATGCCAGGGTCTGAGGCGATCACCAGATTAGCTGAATGTTCTATTCTAGCAGATAATCCCCGCCACCTCTTTTACTGCTAAGGGCTTGTCTTTCTTATTCAGATCTGGCAGTTTTTTAAAGCTGTGTTTTAGAGCTGAGATGGGTACTTTTTCGGTCTAAGTTGTAATCAACCCACGCAACATAACAATAAAAATATATTTTGCTCGAAACAACATAAAATGCCTTGATTACGTTCCCAACATCAATTGAAGTGTTTTGGATGGATTTTAACCTACTACTTTGAAGAAAAGATCCTAGTTATTTTTCAAAAAATCAGTGACCACAGAAGAAAGTATTGAAAATAAAGTTTGGAGAAATCTCTTTGTAAAAAGCCAGATATCTTTGCTGCTCTATCTAATGGTTTCTTCAGAGTTTGACGAGGCTACTTTCCGGCTTCCTTTGTTCCTCCTCTCCATTAGTTATGTTTAGAACAGACTCACATAAGAAGATTCAATTGAAAGAGTTATTTTCTTTTCTCACAGTCTGGGATCAGAACCGGTCTAGTCGCTTCAACTGGCTTTGGTATGACGTAACAACATATGATCGATATATAGAGGAGACATCATTTGAGAATTCATTGCTAGTGCAGCAGACAGGCTCATTGGCTCTGAGCTCATTAACACATGTTCTGCGAAGCTTAACGCCTAATGCAAGAGGGATATTTAAGCTTCTTGTTCAATATCAGCTCGACCATGATGGAGATGGGTACTATACTGGTATGCCTTTAAGCACGTATCCTTACTTCTGGTAGTCATTGAATTTGGTTACAAATTTTGTAAACAAAGCTTGAATTACGCCTACTAGACAGATTTTTAGAGACATACCTGTCTGTACGGGGAGGCAGTTACCCCATATGCATGTAGCTACTGGTCATTAGTTGAAAGGGTAATCAAGGGCCTAAGTCGCACTTTAAATTTCTGACTACAAGCTGAACTGGATACATGATTTCTAGTGTCGTATTTCAGCATCAGCTATCAAATTGTTAAGCTAACAATAGATTCTAAAGCTTTGATAAATACAGTAACATGTATAATATAATAGGCAATTATCAACATCTTCTTTTACTTTTTCATGAACTGCTATTGAATACCGTTATGTGACGTGTTTTTATATTTCCAGGGATGCCCTTTGGAGACCTTTATCAAAAGTGCAGGGAGAACTTCCTGGCGAATAGTGACTTGACACTGCGAGCCCAGTTGACTGAATTCAAGGATCACAAGTTGATCAAGTCCAAAAAGGTATGTTTAAGATACACGTCTATATAAGTAATTTATAATTACCCAGACCTGTTGCCAATTATTGGGTGTATTTCTGATAAAATTATGGGACGATTCTAGAGACTGGATCATAAATATCTCGAACCTTCGGCAATCCCTGTGTTTTTTGCTGCTATTAGCATTAAACTGTACTTGAAATATGCCGTTTATATGGGGCGTTTTCTTTTCATTTTCTTTTGAAATATCTTTTCATATACACCAAAGGTAGGTTCAGCTTTAATGCAAGTTTCTAGCAGATGTCACTGACTTTGTACAGGGCGTTTGTCCTTCTCAGAGTTGTCCGGACAAATTACTTTTATTAAGCCTTCAGAGTTTTATCAATCGTTTCAACTAGACGAGCAGATTTCGTGTAGTTCTCTTCAGCTTGTTTTGCAGGCCGTCAGTTTGCAATTTTAGGCCATGTACACCCGCAAGGCGTGATTAATTGAATTTATGTAGCAAAAAGGAAACACCGCAATGCGACGATAATGATCAACAATAAATACACGTTAATTGGTGAAGGCTTATATTTCGCAGCCTGCTACCGTGACCTTTTCTTTATTCACACAGTAATTGAATTTGCTAAATGCTGAGACGCAGTCCCTAGTTAGGTTTCTCGGGTGGTGGGAATGCTCGTGCCATAAAATCAGTGTCGAAAATATATTTTTTATTTTTTAAAATGTTTATTTTAAATTGAAGTGAAGATAATTAAACCTGTTTTTCATTTTAGGGTGCAGACGGAGTAGAAACTCTCTCCATTCCATTAAACTCATCAAACTTAAAACAGTTTATGGAAGACAACGAGCTTTAGGTAAAATCTTTTGTAAATTAGTATTTGTAATTAAGAAAATGATTTGCCGTTACCGGCCGAAGTCCTTTGCTATTTCAATGGCCCGCTGATGACAAATATAATATCTAAGACTTTTTAAATTATCATTTCAAATTGTGTTGCTTTCACCAATAAATGCCTTTCTGCTTCTTAATAACTGACAGCATCCTTAGAGAGATGCGGACAGCTGTCCTTCTTTGAAAGAGAAACATGGCCCCGTTTACTTGGGAGCTATTGCGTAACGTTCCATATTGTTTTGTTCCAAAATGTGAAACGCTTAGGGATCGTGTTCACACCGGAGCACTTTTAATCGTTCTGTTCCGTTTACAAAGTTGGAGCGCTCTCAAAAGTATTACGAAAAGTCAAACGGTACCCAGTCGGAAGACTTACACGTCGGTCTGTCACCACAAGTTGACACGTTAGTAAGCAATTTTGGATTAGGCCGTCAAACCGCATAAATAGCAAAATCCTACATGCCCCTTCATTGGGACAGCTATAATTTTAGGGGTAATTTTTAATGTACAAAATGTAACTTAGAAAACAAAAAGCTTATGTTTTTTATCTTAGATTCCGAGAAGGTTATGCTAATTCATGTAAACCCACAAGTCATCTTTTTATTAGATTTATCGTTAAAACAGCCTCAAGTATTTTACTATCTAGGTTATCCTAAAAAATCAGGTGTTTCTGAGGCTTGTATTTGTCATCGTCACTATCCCCCTATAGAACCAATAAAGGAACCGCCATCTGATATTTTAAAGAGCCGAAGTCAAAGAATCGATCTTTGGTGCGGAGTTAAGGTAATTTTTCTGCAAACTGAAAGAATTTTTTTTAACCATAATCCTGGCCAAAAGGTTAGTGGACTGGAGAAAAAACCACTTAGATTGCAATTTTACCCCGAAAATGTTATCAACCCCCCCCCCCCATCCATTACAGCAATGTTGGTTTTTTGAGAAGTACCCAAGTAACAGCAATCAAAATAAGTAGAAATAAGCGTATCAACATTGACTGTAGGGTGTGGGGAACGTAATTTTTCAAAAAGACTTCAATTTGCAAGCCAGTCCAATAACTTTTGGCCAGGATTGCAGGTGAACACAGGTACGTATACAGGCTCGTGCACATTGTCACTTAAGAAATAACAATTGCCCATTAAACCCAAGAGTAAACGGGAGACTACGATGAGTTCATGGCAACTGCATCTCTCTTTGTTTACATTTGCTTCTTTTTCACAACACTTTATTAGTTCTCCACTAAGTTATCTGTAAAAACTGCTTAAATACTTGCTTTATGCTTCTTCGCGAGCTTTCAAAACCGTTACATCTGCTAAGTTAACAAAACTGCCTTTCAAGCTAATCTCTAATTCAAATCTTGGACTGGGCTAGCCTTAGGTACAAAACAATAATAAATAGAATTCTTGGTGGAAAGGTAGATGAGAGGGATATACCACACTGAGGATCATCGGGAGTTGGGATGTCTCGCAAACAGGGCCATCAGACCACAGAGAGGTAGAGTGATTGTCGATCGAATAGTGATTATCTTTTATGGATATCAGCCACAACATAATTTGGAATTCTGGTTTTAACACAAGTTTTTTCCAAATTCTAGTCTCTAGGAAGAGAGGTGGAAAATCGACTTTTCTTTCCATTTGCGTGGGTCTGAGAGCCTTTTCGCTTACCCAATAGCTTTTTAAGGTTGTGACAAGGGCATAGAAGGCAAACAAGATAAATAATGTTTATTAGTGAAAAATCTTGTGTCTATCTGTTTATCTTCTGTCTAACTTTACCATTTTTGCGAGTGTCACAAAGTCATTATTTCAATCACTTCAGCATTTACAACCTTGAAAATGGTGTAATGCAAGAATTGTTAAGTGCTTTAAGACGAACTGGCATCGTAACCTGATCAATATGACCCGAAAAATAAATCATTGAAATTATGATTTGTACCATATGAGTGATAACAATGAATTTCCAGTGCAGCTTCCACTCTTGCATTATGGGTATATGATACAGATCGGCTTGAATCTTAACGGCAATAGTATTGAAAAAAAAGTCAATCGAAGCTGCCACACCTATTCTCGTCAACGCCTGGTAGAATAGCTCGTACCCATTGTATCTTTGACCGCTGGTTTCATCTCGCATGTAATAATACATTGTTATGTATACAGATGAGCAACTCAGTATTACGGCAGATGTTTCAGTCACCATGCCTATCAGGGTCTGATCAGCGAGAAACACTGGAGAACTTGTAGTTTCTCGCTTGAGGACAAATTTTGTAATCTTGTTGCGAATAGGCAAGGCAAGTTTATCAAATACGTTGAGAATACCATGGACAATACTGATGGCTACAAACCCAACGAAGTTTTCGTTACTTGCTTGTACCATTCGGGCAACTAATGTTGTTGAAACCTGAAGGCTAATAACTAGCATCGTTCCGTTTTCAAAGCATTTATATTTGGCCAAGTTACCAATTATTATGTTTGTAATGAATTTGGGGATGGCGAAGATGACTGGCAAAAGAGAGCACATAAATGTCTTAATTGATTCGCTCGTTTTGTGATACATTGTAAGGAAAATATGATTAAACAGCAGTGACAGTACTATTCCTGTAATAAACTGTGTACTGAGTTTTGAAGACATCAGAAATACATCCAGCTTGCTTTTTGGATTCTTCAAGTATTGCATTGCAACTTTAGAATGATTTAGAAAAATAATACCAAAAAATATTATGTTGCCAACTATCGTTTGCCATCCTTGACCATAAATGCCGTATGCGAAAAAGAAAAGCCTGAAAATGACATCGACACTTGCTGCGATTACATTCCAGTATGGTATGGTCATCTTTTTGGTGGCTGACCATGATATCTGCGGGGCCAGGCAAGATAACGACCAGAACTGGATGAAAAACGCCTCAACAACCTCAGTGGTTAAACGCATTCGCTGAAATGCCATTGGAATATCATCCCATGATTTACCAAAGCAGTATGAGCTTAAATTCAAGTTGAGCCACCAAATAAGGACTGCAATTAAACCAGCAAAAGTGGCATTTATAGCAGTCGTTTGCATGCCCAGATTCAGAAAGGTTAAAATGGAACGGCACAGTTTAGGCGATGGTCTGTCGGCCTCGGTTTCAGTTTCGGGCCTTTCGGCTTTTTTGCGCCCTAAGAGCGGACTTGTTTCACAGTCTCCAACATCCACGATATATTGCGACTTTGCAGACAGCGTTTTCATAATTATTTTCAGCTATCTGTTTTTGTATCTGCAATTAACAAAAAAATAGAAAATTGGATCCTATTTAATTGTCACGGGAAGGGAGGGGGGGG